ATTCTTACATGTAAAAGAAAATTACGTATGCCACGAACTTTCCTTGAAATCGAGCTGTACTTGAACGCTTTACTTGAAATCATCAGCATTCAACAGAGATTCGTACTTGACTGGCTCGTTTTTGAGCCGGCGTAAAACCTTGCTCACTTCTGAGAACTGAGATTTGTTTTTGGTGTCCGTGTGAATTGAGGGGGGCTTGGAAGAATTCCAAGAAGATAATTTCCTTCCAGTAGTAAAGTTGCGACCGTCTCCATGGTTGCAAGACACCTATATGGCATGGTTGAACTATATAAGGTTGACCCATGAGAAGTTCCACCTTTCAGTTCAGCTTTCTTGTTACGTCACGTAGATCGAGAAACGTAAACAAACCTGTCATTCTAGTGACTGATTGGATGACTGGTTTGAACGCATTTCAGTGATTGGTTAATACCCGTGACGTCACTTGAGATCACTGGCGTCTCAGGCGAACAACGAACTACATCCGCAAAAATGGGCTTCTGATGGGTCAACCTTATACTAGTTCAACCATGCCTATATGGCGCAGGATAGCACCAGTCAATTACACTTCTTGCCCCCAACGTCTCGTTTGACATGTTACCTCCCTTCTGCTGGGTGTCCACAGCGGAGTAGATCAATTCAACCACGGCTTCACACCCACCCATGGACACAGCCACATCCAGAGCAGTATAGTCAAATGGGGTAAGACAGGATCGCAGCCTTCATGGGGTAAGAAAGGACCAGCCCATGGCGTGCATTCTAATTGCACTGAATTCAATTTGACAAAAGAATATGTTAGAGCAGTCATTGCCTGTCATTTCAGTGTTTGTTTCAACCCTCTTCTGCAAATAATGAATTTCTGGCTAATTTTCAAAGAAAACCTATGTAAAGAAGGGTCACAAAATAGTTAACCCTGTTTGGGAAATAAGCTCTGTCTAATGACAAAAAATTTTTTGGCCAGGTTTGTGGATGTAGGCAGGTAACCTCAAGTAATAGACAACTTTTTAGACATACTAGGCATTCCTACTTGCTACCATCACTGCCTGACATGTATTCCAAAATGGGGTAAAAAAGGACCGGACATGGGGTAAGACGGGACCACTAAATGATCCTGTTTTACCACACAAGTGGTCCTGTCTTACCCCACAAATGGTCCTCTATTACCCTACAGTTTATCAAAAATAGTTTTTAAATGAATATATTATTGTGTAGTACATGGAGTATTTTGGTCAAAATTTCTATCTTTTGCTCAAACTTCATTATAACTTGTTAGCTTTTTTAATTAGAGAAATTTAGTGCACTATTTTAAATTGCATCAAAGGGATATAGAAAATATGGATGTCTATTCCCATTAGTGAACTGGCTGCAGAACTATGTGTAAGATTAGGTGGGGGAAAAATCACTGTGTGAAACGTGAAAAATAATTATGAACACAACTCTGTGACAGGGCGTGAGCTATGTTTGAAGAAGTGCACCACAAATGCAGTTAGCAGGAAAACACATGACATCTGATACTTTTTATTACTGACTCTTTATTACTGACATCTGACACTTCATTTTTATTGCCAATTTGATACATTTTTCAGACAATGACACTAATGGAATATACATGAAGCATTTAGCAGTGCTCTACAATGAACCAAAGCCAACCCATTATTACTATGCTTAACAAAGTTTTCTCGTGACAAAAACTTCAATGTGACTGATATTAGAGTTGACTTCTCGCAACATAAAACAGTAACAAGTGGTTGTTTAATCAAATAATGTGGTTCTAGATGGATAATATTGAATATCAGATTAGTACTTTTATTAAAAACATTGTAACATAAGAATTACCAGTTGGTCCTTTCTTACCCCAGCCTGGTCCCATCTTACCCCAATGGGGTAAGATGGGACCGGCTCACTTTTTTTAATCTGTACAGAAAACTATGTTAGATGCAAAACGTCTGAGTTGTAGCTTAGAAGCCCATTGCATAACTACACCTTGTGATAGGTTTAGGGTTTTTCAGTTATTCATGGTATAGATGCTACAGGCTTGTTAGTGATTTTGGTCCTGTCTTACCCCATTTGACTATACAGAGTTCCTGCCCAACCTTCTCAAACACCTGCAAAACACTTTTAGTTAGTTTCAGTGCGAATGATTTATAGAGCATTTATTTACTTAGTAAACATAACTCCTCAGCATGTAACATGGCTGAGGAGTTACGTGTTACGGAGGAGGAGTTACGCGTAAATTAAACAGTGTTTCGCGTTTTGATACTATACAAATAACATTCTACATGCACATATATTGTTGATGTATTGGATTTGGCAGAAGTTAGCGACAACGATTTTCCACATTTGATACGTGCTTTGCACATCAATCATCACCAGCGACTGAGTGTGCACTACGTACTGAAATAAATTGTGCAGGCAGTGCAGCAAATCTTAAAGTTGTACTGTTGTTGAGTACCGTTGTAAATCAGTGTTTGAGTAGGGCGTATATTCAAAGCAAGATGTAATAAAGCGGCCAGTTTTGAATTTAACTTCAAGCCAACTTGTGGCCAGAACAGAACTCGCTATTACTAGCATTAGAAAAATATTTTATGAAACTGATTTGCTTTTAGAGCATATGTTTTTTTAATTAGCCTGCGCTGACAGTTAGTTCAGAGTAGTACCATGATTGGCGCAGAGAGGTGCTGGTTCGCAACTCTGTGCACCAGTTTCTGATCAGAATCGGCAAGGAGGTCGGGCGCAGAGCAGAATTGTAGCAGTGAGTTGCGAGTTCGAGACCGCAAAATACTGTGAATGTTTTGCGATGTTAAGAATCGGTGACAGGCCTACGGCCTACTGAACGCTGAAACCGCCATTATTATTATTTTAAAAACATGATTTCAAGATCATAAGATGCAAATTCAGGTTATTCCTTTAAGTCACCAAGGCTTGTTTAATCTAAAGCTTCAAATTCAGAGAAAATCTGTGACGATAAACAGAACGAAGCATCAATTGTTTGCCTTTTCACATTGATAGTATCTTCTGTACCTACTTTCATCAAATCAAATCTGAGGCTGATTGAATAAAAACAAATTAAAACTGAAATACTAATATTACAGCAGGCGTCAGTTTAGATGCAAATAGAAACGAGCATGACAAATGAGAATTTGCCTATTTGTCACACTTGAACAAATAAATAAGCAATGAAAGTTACCTAGAACCTTAAAATTTGGTAACTGAATACAATTTTCTCTCTCAGCCTGGAACGATGCCTTTTTATCCACATAGAAAGATTTAAAAAATGCGGCTTCATCGAAGGAGCTTGAAAATGAATTGCCGTTTGAAAAAGAGAACTCGTACTTCTCCTCTTTGGCCACACAGCACGACGTCTTCACCAGCTGTGAGGAGACTTCTGGGAGCTGCGGAAACCAGGTCTTGAGGGAGAACCCCGACTTACCCCATACACAATCGTGCATGTAAGTACAAAACTTGAAGTACGTTTCATTCGAAAATTGAGGATCAAAGTCAAGATCTTCTTCAGACTGCCTTTTCTTCACCTGAAATTACGTAATTATTGGTAGCTCAGAACAATTTACATATTCAGTCCTAATCAAAATGCTGTATACAAGAGCATAAAGATAAAACCGCAAAAAAAAATTCTACGAAAGAAGCTCATAGCCCTTCGAGCGATTTTGTTTGTTTTTTACAGTATAATGGGATTTCTTGTAAGAGGTTGAGCTGCATCCAAGCATTAAAACATAAATTGTAGGCCTATAATGTCGCTGAAATTGGTACTAGGTATACAAGATTATCATATCACCAAATCAGTTTACGATTACATTTTTGCAAACAAAAGAATTGTTGTCAAGTAATCTGATTAAAAAATAGTGAAAATATTCTTGTTTTTAACAATTTAAACTTATTTCAATGAAATGCGACACAAAAAGTTAAGACTCAAGTATTACGTACGTGGGGGAGTGAACATACGAAGTTGAAAAAAGTATGAACAGCTGTCTCGCCTCCAAGCTTGAAATTATTGCCTTGCAGGGCCGCTTGGGCCGCCCATCAGGCACAGATTGACTACCCGTCAAACACTGCAACACTCGCCGCGGATTGATGCATTCATCAAGAAGGTGAGCTAGAGGGCTTGAGCAATCCTGATACCTGGATAAAAATTTTAAAAAAGAATAATCTTCTAAAAAAACTACTCGCACCAATCCATATAATTAGGTATTAAAAGATTGCATCTTATGCAAATATAGAGAAAAGGGCCAATATTTGTAAAATATTATTGAGCTCCTCTAATGTATTAAATAATGTATATTGTATATTTGTGTCAAAATGCCACCGAGGTACATTATTCTTCAAGTAAATTGCAACACGATCGATAGATGAAGACAATTCAAGCTGCATTGATGAGATAACCTTGTTATGTAAAGGATTAAGGGAGCCTCAATGATGGTAGAAATAGAACTCACCGTTTTCGTAGAGCTAATTTTAAATTTTTACTAAGGTCTGCCACGCCATCTGACTTGCCGTGGCCGGGACTAGGCCGTGTTAGCCAGCTGTCCAGAAGCTCAAGAAAAACTTTCGTTTGCCAAGTTCTTCTGCATGCTTTTGGTTGTGCGAACTGGCGCGAGGAGAACGAGGCAAACTGGCGCGATGAGACCGAGGCGAACTGGTGCGATGAGACCGAGGCAAACTGGCGTAAGGAGACAGGAGAACGGTTGCGAGGAGACCGTGGCGGACGGGTACGAGAGCGAGGAGAAGTAGCACGATGAGACTCGAGCGAAAGATTGCTTGGCAAGTTAGGAAGAGGAATATTATTGATTTTACTTCCTTTAGTGTTGAGAGGCGAATCACAAAATACAATCAATTTGGTCCACTGATGGTCATATTCCCCTTTGTGTTGCTCTCTTGAATGCCGTTCGCCATAGCTTCGTGTCTTCCGCGCGAGTAAGTGGCCGCACTCAAGGCATATATTTTTTCCTTTTTAGCTTCTTTTCCTTATCACCGTCGAGTGGTTCTTCAATGATGAAAGAAGTCGGTGGATACTTTACGGAAAATCTGCTGGGCGGCCTAACCCGAAAAAGAAATCAGGAACTTCTGGGTTTAACACAATGGCTTCTTCCGATGATATCGAGCTTGAGTTTTCGGTGAACGGCCGGAAAACCTGGTCAACTCATAGTGCCCAAAACACGTACAACTTAGATTTCGTGAAAATGATCCAAACAAACCAAGAAACTCAAGTCTCCCGACGTATGAGACGGCGTCCCAAAGCTGGGATACTTACTCCTGGCTCGGGTCCTATAGGAGACTACACTCCTACACCAATGCCTGGGACTTCTTTTCTTAAAAGGTACAAGTGGCAGTTTATGGATGAACATAATAACTGGATCGAATACGGCAAAGTCAGTTCTGGTAATGACCAATCTTGTGTAGTAACGTCCACGTCCGCAGACTTGGAGCGACAATTCTCTAAAAATCCTACTTCTGTGATCCAACTCCAGAGCAACACCCATAAGTACAGCCTCGATTTTGCCTCAATGAAGCAAACTAACTTGCAAACTCAAGTTACCAGGAATGTACGAAGGATTGTGGAGGACCGGGATCCTTCTCCAGGTTTGAGTTTCCTAAATTTGTTTCAGGACGAAAACGAGAATGAAATACTCGGTGACGAATATGAGTGGTTTTTCTTCGACGAAAACAACCAGTGGATCAAGTATGGTCAAACTAGCTCCGGAAATGATGCAAATTGCGTTCCTTTTCAAGGATCTGATGAAATCGAAAAGCATTTCAGGAGCCAGCCTGATCAGGTGATGACGATTAAAAGTCGCCAACACACATACGAATTGAATCTGGCTACCATGACTCAAACAAATGTAAGTACTAAAGTACAGCGTCCTATGAGTCGTATGATTAAAAATTCTGATGGTACTAACGGAAATGTGGCCGTGTCCTTGCAAGTAGCTTACGAATGGTACTTCAAAGAAGACGATGGGTCTTGGGTTAAGCATGGGTCCAAAGGTAATTCCGTCAACGCCGGCGATATCGAAAAGTATTACCGATCTAACCCCACCTCTAACTACAACTTCACTGCCGGAAACCAGTCGTACGTTTTGGATTTTGTCAACATGACACAAACTAACACCTCTACGGGCAAAGTGCGAGAGGTACTTCGACGTAAGCAGGTCGTATCCATGACAGGTGCTGCTTGTGGTTCATCTAATAACCACGTATCAAACCAGCCATTCGGTCAAATCCCTTCCGGACAGGCGTGTTCTGCGACTCCTCTCGCAACAAATAATCCTGAATACGCCAAAATTCTTGCTCTGTTGAGGTCCCACATTCAGAATTGTAGTCCCAATAATATTCACAAGGTCAACAACCCCTACCTTAAAGCAGCGTTTGATATCAAAAAGTCTCAATTGCAGAGTCAATACCCGAGTGTGGCTTACAGAGAAGAGCGCCTGTTCCACGGGACAAAATCAGCCAACATCAAAGCAATACTTGAAGAAAATATCGACTGGAGACTTCATGGATCAAATCGAGGACAATCAATTGGAAGAGGAGCCTATTTTTCTAACAAGTTCGTAGATTTTATTCATATAGCCGCGTACTTTAATTGTTGTTTAAAACTATGTTTTAATTTGATGTTACATAATATTAAAACTCAATTCGAGTTAATTGGACACAGAGCAGTCCTCTTTCTGCACAAAAGCATCGTTATGTAGTAAAGGTATGACCGCGCCCTGCCTAGATTTAAGGCGAAATTTTGCGAAGATTTATTACTACTTCCATTGTCTTTACTGATGCTAGAGATTACGAAGTTGAGTGTGGATTTCTTTCACTATTGAATGAACGATTAGAAAGAACTATTGTCCAATAATGAACCAGCTCGAGGGAGTTTAGATGTTTTGTCCAATAATGCTCGAGGGAGTCTCGATATTTTTTCTGCTAATTTTATTTGAAGAAATAGTGCTTTTGAAATGGTTACCATTAGACTTTTCTATTCTATTATATAATTTAAAGCATTAATTGATTTGCTTATAATTGCAGATTGTATTTTAATTTTGAAGAACTTAGTTTAGTTACTTTAGTATGAGTTGTCTTGGTCGTCTATTTATTGACAGTAATTAACCATTCACAGCGTGTTTTTCGTAATAATTTCGTTTCCCTATAAATTATTCCCTTCAGCGTTGAATTCAATCCCATGCTTCTCAATCAGTTCCACAATTCATGGTGGAAGCATCGTTTTGAAAGACTCGAATCTAACCACTCGACTCGAAAGACTTGAATCCACTTGACAGGCTGTTACGCAATTGATTAATGACCTTTTTCATCGCAACAGTGCCCAGACTTCTCGTGGCTACGGAAATGCCATCTTCATTTGCAAGGTCCTCGTAGGCCTCGTGACGACCGGCAACTCCCAGACCGTTAAGCCGCCAAAAGACAGGTACGCCAAACTGTCAAAATTGCCTGACTCTGTTCTGCCACGACTTAAGTTATGTTTAGGCTGAGAGCCTGACCGAACTGAAGGAAAGCAAACTCTGTTCTGTCACGACTTGAGTTATGTTTAGGATGAGAGCCTGACCAAACTGAAGGAAAGCAAACTCTGTTCTGTCAGGACTTAAGTTATGTTTTACATGGAGACTTTCATCTTGTGGAATCTGCTATTATTAATATATATTTCTATTTCCCTGCTGATAAATTTTCAACTACTCCTACTGCAGTTCAATAATGAATTTTTCTGCAAATCTAAGCCGGAAAGTGTATATGATGTGTGACAGGGATCTGCTGCAAAGATATAATTTATTATTACTATTATTATCATTATGACGTTCTTATTATATTATATAATTTCATTCATAAATTTATAATTTGTGCAGCTCCAACCGCCCTTTTGACACCACCGTGGACCAGCCAGCCAACCCGTCTGTCTTTGTCAAGTACGATTCTCAGGAGTACTACCCTGAGTACTACGCTGAGTTCTGAGGCACCTAACCCTGAGTAGTACGCTGAGTTCTGAGGTACTTAACCCTGAGTAGTACGCTGAGTTCTGAGGTACTTAACCCTGAGTAGTACGCTGAGTTCTGAGGTACTTAACCCTGAGTACTACGCTGAGTTCTGAGGTACTTAACCCTGAGTACTACGCTGAGTTCTGAGGTACTTAACCCTGAGTACTACGCTGGGTTCTGAGGTACTTAACCCTGAGTACTACGCTGAGTTCTGAGGTACTTTACCCAGAGTACAACAACACTGGCGCGAAAGAATGGAAACCCTCTTCTCATACTTTTTTCCGGTACTACACATATAATTACCAATTTCGTTAGCAATGCATCTATATAGTGGGTTACCTGGTACTAGGTATATTTTACATTCATTTCTTCTTTGCAATTCCCTTACATTCGTGTGTTCACCAAAGTCGAAAATTTCAATTATTTGTCATTCTTGCAGTAATATAATATAGGTATTTTAATCTTCATTGAATTTTGTAAATAATCACAGGTCGCTGCAGATTAAGTCAATTTTTGTAGTTCAATTTAACCAATTACATGTTGGATTGATTTCTAGCACAGTATTGCTTGCACTCGATGTCCCGTATTATATTATACGGAACGTCTATTACATCCTCATGTCTGTCCGTCGTCAGTATGGCTGTGATGTCTGCGTCGTCACGCATGTCTCTCACGTTGAGCCCACAAGCCTTAAATATGCCAATGTAAGCAGGAGACCTCATCTTAAATGAAATATTTCCTTCACGAAATGTACATGTTTTCTTATAGTTCAAAAATTGTTTCAAGGTCATCATTTAAGTAACTGTTGCGGCATGAATAATGGAGCACATAGACATATGGACTCGCGGCAATAACGAGCGACTCCGATGTCAGTTGAAGAAGAACATTTAAAAATCTTTTCTATGTGTTTTTCGTTTTGATTTAGCTTTACTAGTATCAAGTCAGAGGAATATCCAGTAATTTTTGTTGTGGGCATTTTATTTACGTTTGATTTTCTATTTTGAAAATTCCGTTTTATGAATTGCAGTAAATTCAAAAGCTGGAAATTTTCATATCTTTAACCTAATGATATCGATGCTATATCAAAACGAAGCGGCTGGAGGAAATTCTGGCAAAGCTCGCAGGAGCGAATGTGAATAAAAAGCTATTTTACTAATTAGGTTAAAATCAGTCTCCGTTTGATGAAGCTATGAGTGCAAAAAGTGCTACGTAAACTGTAAAGCTTGGCGTTTAGCGCTGTTGTGAGGCAATGGTCATATTACGTGTTTTTTTAATAAAAAAAAATCAGCAATGTCGACATTAGAAATCACCACAAACACCATCATGACGCTGCCGGGATAACAACAGTGAAAATTCACGGCTATATTACTTATTGTGGCTCATCACTAGAATCGGCTACTGAAACTCCGAAGATTTTGTTCATACCTAGAAAACTCATTGTGTGCGTGATCGTTAACACTCATAAACTATGAATATTTGAGAAACCCTCTCATATAAGTAATTATTAAAAAGAAAACCAAATTAGAAGTTAAGCCCGACAGCAGGTATAATCAACTTTTATTTATACTTTCGATTTTAATTAATGAGCCTTAGAAGTTGAGCGTCGAACGAACGCGTTATGTACTGGTCAGGTTTCAGTTGCCAAGTGCCTCCAGACCCAAGGCCACGTGTTGCAAATTCCGCGAAATTTTACATATACGGGTATTAGTTAAAAACTTTGCTATTATCTTGGAATGAATATGATCGATTTTTCTGCTGTTTTTGTTGTTGTTTGTGAGAAAATTTTCAAATCTAGTTGAGCGAGAGGTTTAACTTCTCAGCTATTTGTTCTATCATCTTGCTAGTTGCTACCTTCATTCGAGTAGCATATTGCAGACATTCAGATACAACATATTGAGAATTGTTTCATGAACATGATTTTTAATGTAATCAGATTGAAAATATTCTGAGCAAATAAGACTGTGTGATATCGAACGAGTTCACATCGAACAAACGAAGTTCGTTTCCAGGACAACTTTACCACTTATTCGTTCATTCTGCGGAGGGCAGTCGTCACATTGTGTTCGTGTGTGCCTCGCCCGAAGTGGCATATTGAAACTCCACTGCTTTCTCGTGCCTATAAATTGCCCTGTAGCATATTGGATTACACATTATTGCCCATGTGAGCTTGTGAAGTTTTTGTCTTCTACTTGTGTGAGTTTTTAGGTACTAATAAGCGATTGAATGAATTTATTGTTTACTAAAGAAAGAAATTGCAAAGCTTTTCGATTCGAAACATTTGGATGTACACGCGCGCCTACGGTCAATGATACCTAAGCCTCCATTCACTAGTTACTGTGTAAAACTCGCCAATGTTTATAAAAAAATTGAAATGTTGATGAGAAATTCCTAAATAATTAAGTTTTTATGCATACAATGTCTGAAAGATGGCGAAGGCTATCTAAATCTCGCAGTTGTGTTCTTTTCTCATTTCGTGAATGCATGACTCAGCATGAGCATGACCTACGCAGAAATTTCGTTGCGATAGGGAGATAAACATGAATGTCCCACTCTTTAATAGCTAATTCACAATATTCGCACAATCGCACTCTATTACTTACAAATTTAACAACTTGTCACTCTTCAAAACTGAGATTTTGATTATGATTTACATGTACTATTGTTTTAAAATCAATCATAATCGAACTTCTAACAGGCAAGAACTTTTTGAATTTGAAGATTAAATGTAGTTTTTGTACCGCAGAAATGTAGCATTTACAAAGTTATGAAAGGGATGACAACATTGAAGTTTGAACTCTCGATTATAAAATACATCATCTATGAATGTATCTTCGATTTACATTTCACGCTCGATTCACTCTCGTCGAGGGGTTTCTTCAACGCAAAGATAAATAAACATACGAACGAACTAAATCAGCACAAAAAATGAAATATACTCATGTTATTATCATTCTTTTGCAGATATTTCAACTCAGAAATTTTATTTTATTTTCTCGAAGATATAGTTGCAATCGTTCAGAATGGCGCCTTCCATCTGGGAAAAATTGCTGATTACGACCGCTGCGCATCCGCATATTTGCACGGACTTCCTGATGAATTCGTGTCAGAATAACAAGAACACGTGTCCTGGAGTGCACTGTAAGTTTCCCTTTCTGTGGCAAGTCGAGATAAAAGAAAAGTGGCACAATATTCCCGAGTTCCACAACAAGGAACTCGAACTGGAGTTCAGAGTTCCGAAATCTGATGGTGTCAAACTAACTGCGGTTGATCCAGCGAACAACGAACAGCACTTCAGCGCTACAGAAAATTGGTACGCTGATTTCGATAAAATGACTGTAGAAAATGATGGTCAACGATTGAAAATTAGGCGTTTGTCTACTGTATCGAGTGCCGTAAACAAAAGCAATTTCAGTACGGACTACGAGTGGTTCTTCAATGATGAAAGAAGTCGGTGGATACTTTACGGAAAATCTGCTGGGCGGCCTAACCCGAAAAAGAAATCAGGAACTTCTGGGTTAACAAAACATGTATTACATTACACAAAACACATTACAAAAAAAATATTGTACATTACAAAAAAAAATTATTTCCCATCTGCCAAGGTAAAGAATTGAAAAATTTGTCTCTATGTATGGGTATATTTCTCAGTCTAAGTCTGAGAAAATTAATAATATTGTTAGACTCATTAAGCTTCAACTGATGCATTGTCCTAGTAGAAAATTTTGCAATGTTTTTTATACAAATTTTTCTCAAAAACAATTTTTTTTGTAGAGCAATTAGGATTACAAGATGATTGACTTGGCTAGCTTGTTACCCACCCAAAATTATTTTAAAACTTTCTTTCTCATCTACAGACAGGTTAAAAATTGTCTCACTGTTTTTACAAATTGTAGGTACGATTGAAGTAAACTTATTAGATTTTGCCATCTTGAAAATATAGTCTCAACTCTCAATTCACCTTTAATGCCCAAACACCCCATTAGCTATTTTATTGATAAAATTGGCTTTCATTATTCATGTAATAAATTAGGACTAGGTAATGAATAATGTCAGTTGTCAGTACTAGAGACTTATAAGTTACAGTGTCTTATGTATTCTTAAATGATGCAGATATTTTAAATGTGATTCATGAATAAGTTTCATCAGTGTTCAGACCAAAGAATGATATTAATTATAATTGGAAATTGAAATTACACAATATAGATAGCCACCAAATAATTAGAGTAGAATTCTGGGAATGTGCATTCATACATTCAAGATTGATAATCATTGATCCAGCCTAGTAGTACTAGGTAGTAGTAGCATGATCAGGCAATGCCAATCAGGTACAAAATAGCTATTAGGTAAATATAAAATAAAAAATGAACTATATGTTTGAAAAATGTGCAATTAAATTTTATTTTATATTTACCTAATATTTTATACCTGATTGGCATTGACTGATCATGCTACTACTACTAAGCTGGATCAATGATCATCAATCTTGAATACAAGAACACACATTCCCAGAATTCTACCCAAATTATTTGGTGGCTCTCCACATTCACATATGATTCATATGTGCACATAGCACATGTTTGTACCTATATTACCCCTTGCCCCTGCCCTGGGCCCCTGGGTTCCCCTGCCAAATTTCACCTTGCAGCACGGCCAGCACCAATCGCCAGGATGCACAAATAGGCTATTCTAATAGTAATATCCAACTATGAGGATTATTTTTCTTTGATATCAATTATATCATCATCATTCATCAATAACTTTATTACCTAGGTAATTTTACATATCTGGTAATTTTCCTCACTTTCTTAGCCCCTAACATAAACACAAACAGTATTTTGATTTAATCTCTATAGGCATGCCATTAGCCATTTAGCCTTACCTGCTGCCTTAGTAGCCTAGGTGCCAGTGTCACATCAAATACAAGGATCTGATTCTCACAGTCTCGCTGAAACATGTACAACATCGTAAATAAATTGAGAAGTATCAGATTAAAACTGACATAATTAATCAGAGATAATTAGACATCAACTCACTTGATATAAGCGGGATTCGTTGAGGAGAGAGCTTCATTTTTTATGGTCATCTTCTGAATGATCGGACAGGAACTCCTTGCCGATTACGGCTTCTCAGTATGTCGGCCCTGTTTGTTTGTTTCGAATTTATTTCTTTTTACACAATAGAATTGCTCAATAAGCCCTATATACTTAGAGACAGACTAGCTGAAGCTACTGGGATTTTTTTAACGATTTTGAAGAGGGCAATTTTTTTTAAATTGATATCAAAATCGGCACAAAAACAACGTCTTTCGCGACAGTATTTACATTTTGGGCCCACGGTGACGTCACAGTCGGAACAACAAACGACATCCGCAAAGAGCAGCTGCGCGTGGGTCAACCTTGTATTAATTCAACCATGGTTGGCACCTGCGTTCACGCTAGCAGCACATGGCGTGACATCTACACCGCGCTAGTGCTAAAGCAGTTGCTCAGACGGTTGCTAAGCCAGAGTGGTCGGAAACATGGGGTATTCTGCTCTCTGGTCGAATTTAGTTCGATCTTCACGCTCGAAGCACATGATCATGAGGTGACTGAGCAAAGGATCTTTCATTGCAGCAGATTTTATACTATTTGTCTTCAACGAACTTTTTTGTGCCATGATAAACGTTCTCCTGTGTTTATTAAATCTAGTAGGAGTTTAAGCGCTTAACTACGGTCTATAAAATTTGCATTTATTGTTTATATAACACATTGTTATTCAAGTGCTCCCAATATACTCTTGTAAACAATTACGTGGACTTTCGTAATGGAATTTTGGACAGCAAACGTATCATTTGAAAACGTTCTGAAGCGATTGTAATATTAATAAAAAGGTGCGTTCCAAAAGATTAGGTTTTACTCAAATTTGGATGAAGTCAGAAGGAACCTTTGTGATATTTTTTTTCGATAAAACTCTTTGGTGTAGCGACAGCTTGGTAGTCCTATCAAGCTCTCTGCGTAATTAATTGCCGCCAATTCTACACTGTCTCCACGGCCCTACTGCGTCACCTACTGTACATTGGTTTCTTTATTCATTGCCTCGAGTTTTGGTTCTACCATTGCCAGGAGTAATGTGGTTCCCTTCGGACTTAAGTTAGTATTTTAATTATTATATTTTCGGCGAATCAACGCCATAAGAACATTGAAGAGTTAAAAATTAAATTTACCCGTATTGAAATCAAGCCTTAAGTAATCAAAAGATGCTATCCACCCAAGCATATAAAAGTTCAATGCTGACACAGATTTACAGAACGCGCAGGTGCTTGAGCCGTAAAATTACGGGAGTGTGAGCCATTTTCTGGTAGAAAAATTTAACTACTTTCTAAATGGGGATGAAATTATTGTAATTAGAAATCTTTTCCTAGGGACTTGAATTAAAAAGGCCAACGTTTACCTAATTCAGCGTTGATAACTTATAAAAGAAGGAACATAACATGTCTTAAAAATTTGTTATGAGTGGTTACCATATTTACCAATGTAAATATGCCGTAATCACTCATGGAAAGTCTTTTACACTCTTCTAATTTTTATCCTGTATATAACTGATATTTTTATCGTTGAAACGACTGACAGAAGAATACGTAGAAATTTACTTCAACAATGAATGCTTTTGTTGCTTCGTTTTCAATTATTCCGCTAATTATTGCAATGCTTAGAACTGTTAAAGCCAAGCAATGTGTTTTTTAATTTAAAAATGAGAGCTTTGGGACATACCCCACATGCTATTCCGAAGGTTCGCGTGCGAAAGCTATTATAAGCATGGTTGAATTAATTCAACGTTAATTCAACCATGATTATAAGTACGAATACTTTTACGGACCGTTACTATTGCTGACGAAAACGCACGCAAAAATACCGGTCCCGTCAATTTTTAAGTTGTGTTATCGATGATCAACATTATCAGATATGTGAGCAAAAATAAGCAAAAATTTACACTGAGAGAATATTTCAAACAAATTTCTCTTATGATGGTGCTTCGTTTCGGTTCTGACAAACATTCGTTTTTATATATCAGAATATAAATAAGTAAATATAAAAACTCATAGAGCAAAATTTAGTGGCTCCTGAAAGTCTTTGCTTCTGTGGTGTTCCACGTGTTTGATTCATGATCTATTCCACACCAAGGTCTACTCAATCTCAGCTGTAGAATTTCCTATTAAAACTCCTTTTATTTACATTAATTCCCCGAAAAATTATTAAATTGAGCAAATCATTTGAAATTTTCCTCGACTGTATTCAAATGCAGCATAAAATTAAAGAAAATTTTAAAACTATAAATTCGCAAATCTTATAAAATACCAATGCATGTGCCAAATTTATGGAGGTCTGCTCTCAGATTATCTATAAAATGTTTGAACCCCGTGCAGTCGGCCTTCAGTGTGCTCCGAGCATCGCTGGTAGAAGGTTGGTTTCGCTAAAAGCGGCACGTCTGCAAGACAGCTCTATTCTATTGCCCAGTGTGATTTGGTCGGCTTCAAGAAAATAATTTTATTTTAAAAATTGAACATATATGGTTGATCATGGTGTTTTCAATAATATCTAAGATCCTCAATGTGCTGATCCGCGTTGGCGAGATTTATTACATAGACTATTCTGATACGATTCTTAACAAGTGACAAGTTCATGACATTCCAGTAGTCTGTGTATAAAACATCAAGGTACAGTCCTGAGACAGGTAACAAATTTCAAAATTTACCTCCGCCTTTCTAGCTAAAAGTATTCGTATGCATCCAGCGACCATCCAAGTTGAAAATTCATTCACGGCCCCTGCAGCCGCCGGTCACGAGAGCAAGCAACAATTCAGCCTTCACAAAATGCAATTTCTCGATCTTGCATTATTGGTGAGTTTTGTCGTGTACCTAGTTTGTAGCAGGTTGAAATTTGTATAGCTACTTGATGCCTGTTTAGATAATTATTTTTTCTCTTTGTCATAGTTTAATACTTTAATATTCATCTTGATCTTGTATACTATTACCTACTAGGTATAGTTAGTGAACCATTTAAACTTTGAAGGTTTATCGTTACATTTAGAATCGTTAATTAAATTTTCATATTGTCTAACTAAATGATCAAATGTTCTATAATAATCTAAGTAAGTAAAAGTGAATAAGTCGATTGGGTTCAGGCTACGCAGTTTAGCTGAAAACTCCGCAGAATACTGGTAGCTATACCAGTACAATAAGTACATACGTGAAAAATTATTGCACAGGAATGACACGATACGCTGCCTATTCCGGCTACCCTGCATGCGCATTGATGAATAATTTTCCATGACTATCATTTGGTTGTCATGTCATTTTTTGTGAGCGCTATTAAAACAGTTTGCATCGGATCTCCGCCGCCATTGCGTTAACTCTCGCTACTCTATCTTAGCTTGTGCCGCTCAGTCAATGTTTTCCACACTAATCAATTCAACTGGTTCTAGGTATATATTTCGGCAACTAAGAAAGCTAACTCTTGCATTCCGAGTTTAGATATTTACAGTTGCTTTTCGTTGTAAATTCTCTGGAAATGTTCACTTGAGACAATCACATTGCCTTGACAACGTGCTGGTCTGTTGGAACACTGCTTGAACTACAAACTTCTTGAGCAGTCACCACTCACCAGTCAGAGTGTCGGCTTATGGTAATCGACTAATCGTTGAGTAATGGCGCTGAGTTACTTCTTACTGGAGATCTTTTTATATGAGAACCTATATAAACGCAATCTAGAAGAATATAATTTAACCTTGTTACCAATTTGTCGAGATTTTGAAATTTTATAATTTGAATGAAAACGGCGTAGCGATATGTAAGAATGGCGCGGCTTTGAACTTTCTGCCCATTTAGTTAGGCCTTGCTGATGGTCCAAATCGGCCATTGTTCGGTTTCGGTTGGCCTAACATTCGGTTAGGCCAAAGAGACAGACGGGATCACCGCGTAGTACTGGAATTAACTGAGGAGTCGTATTTGCAGGGAATGTTCATGGGTTTGGGCTTGACCTAGGACAATATTTCTCATGTGGACCTGTTTTTAGCGAATTCGTTTGGTTTTTTATACGTATGAGTCCAAATTACCGATATTTTTTAACATAAATAAACGATAGCTTTCGCGACTGCCAGTGGCAGATAACGTTGTGTAGCAGCAGCATGTAGATGAGCGTACATGTCAATTCAGACTGATAATTTATAAAATCTTATCAATTGAATATCAGAAAATAATTACCTGCCTTAACCACTTTTTTGACCCTCTAATAATTGGAGCTCATGTCCGTAATCGCTGCTTATTTGCTCAACTAACTTCACCAAAATATCTTGATTAGAAGACGAATGACGCTTACCTCGTCCTTTCCAGTTTGTCTGTAGCACCACAAATGTGGGACGCGAACTTGACCTTTTGAATGTTATCAGCTGTTATTCGGTCCTGATGTGTGTACTGATAAGGTTATTTGTGATAACAGCATGGCGTGCATCACTAAATCTGCTAATGATATAAATTAATTTTTTGGTGACGTCTTAACAGAGTTAAGGCTCACTAGTGCCCTCTATAACCTTTCCTTGTAACGCTGAGCTACACATAGAGCCTTTCGATAGTTGATTGCTAGCAATTTAAATTCGATGAGCTTTCTCATCAGCCACATTAGGACAATTTTGTTTTGTTCACAGTCCGATGCATAGAATATTTTATATACATTCATCAGATGTGGTCAGTTTTATTGTTTTTATTTCTCATGCATATTGCGTTTGCAAATAAGTTAACGTACGCCTCAGGAAACCCTTCCAGTGCTATTAAATTACAGGTTTATGTCCGTGTCATTCATGCGGTATCGCCTCTGGTATAAACATATATGTTTATTTTGAAATTTTGTTGGTGAATTATTTGCACGTAGCCCTTTCTTTTGAAATTTATTTGTTCTTTTATTACCGTACGTACATTAATTGATTCTGAAAAGTTTTTTTCTACTATGCAACTAACTAGCAGTTATTTTGTTTATACATGTTCATGGTTCGGCTAAAATATTGTATTTTCTATGTAATTTTTTTTCGTCTCGTCTTCAAATCAATCTTTTATCCCTCCCTCCAATGTGATCCCTTTAAATTAAGGTACCGTAGAGTTAATCCATTTCTCTGTATGCCGCAACCGCGGCCACAAAATGTTCGTTGTTCTCTCAATCTACGTCTCTCGGTTATAAGTATTGTTGATGGTGCCATCAGGAGACTCAACGGCCATTTACGTATCAATGCGATCGGCCAGCAGCGTAAAGAACTCTACGGATCTGGGCCACATTTTCGCGGCAGTGTAGTCGGTGAAGCTGTCGGGCCATTATATTCTGTATATATTCGATTGCAAAAAATGTAATGCCCACTTGTGATAACAGACTGTCGATTTCTGTAATTCTAGATCATTCTTGACACTAACTAGAAGCTTTCTTGTAGAACGCCTAGGTTCAACTACATAAAATCTACACACATTTTCAGCTGCATTGTCATCCATGAGTGCAGGTGCATTGGTACGAGCCCAGCAGTTGGCTAGCCTGCGCCTAAACCGGTTCAAGGCAGAAATCGCTGTTCTTCTGTGCTATTTTTGTTGCTCTTGCGCGCGCGAGCATTGATATGAATTTTATTGCGTTTATTTGTACTCGGTGGCAGTAATCTCTTGGAAGTCAAGATTATTTCTTACCGAGAAGAGAAAAAATAGCAAAATTATTATTAATACTTCTAGCGTGATTGGGGATTATTTATGAACGCAAAAATCTAACCTGGGCATGGTCATTTTCTGAGCCAAATTAAAAATTATTTAAATAGTCATGCGACCTAAAACGGAGGCAAATCATCGGAGGCATTGGGTGCGCCTTGCTGAGACGCGGGCACGGCATCAGCTGATGGCATAATTAGCTTACTTTTACTTTGTGCATTATAACTTTTTATAAGTGCCTCTTATAGCTTCATACACTTACAATATTACGAATACGGGTTATAATTGTTTCTCTCGGTATACCACCTGCTTTAATATACGGCTTCTGGTGATTAATAATGATAATTTGGTAGGCGAAGTGAATGTTTGAAATATTAAATTATTAATATTAAATATTTAAAATGAATTACATTAGGGTTAGCTTAGTCGTAAAAATTTCATCCTGTTCGTTCAATAAAGGAATAATAGATAAATAAATAGATATTCCGAGCTGTCAGACGCCAGGCTGTACCTGTGTTCCTGCTTAGTAGTTTTTGTGGGCCACCACCAAGAGCTACGCAGTCCTAAAGCTTGTATGCGTAGTCAGATCTTGCCACTGCCTTGGCAATGCCACTTGGTCAGATGTTGCTCCTTGCAAGGTCGACTGGCGGGAAGTAAGCTAGCGTCCTATGAAGAATTGCGACCGAAATATCCTGTTGGATTAGGTTCTGTAGTTGCGTGAGCATCTATGTTAAGAAGGGGGTTCTGGGTCATAGTTTTCAGCTCAATAAATTGAGCTAATTATGCGCTATTTAATGCGGACGTGCCTTGGCTTCAATAAATGTGAGCGATCTTCATTAGGTACTTGATGAATCCATTTCCATCTTAAAGTGAGCTCTGTTGTGCATTGAACAGCTGTTGCTATGAGGGTTTTATTCGTCTTTGTTGCTTCGATTAGATTGCTGGGGCCGAGCTCACCGCTCATTGGCTGGTGGTGGAGGCGTGACCTCTCCCACTTCAGCTGACGAGCCTGGTAGTTGAACACGGTTCGTGTTGCATTATCGGTGAATTATTAATGTCAGGCTTTCCTTAATTAGTGTGTTTCTATTACCCTGCAACTTTTGATATTTAGTGATTGATTTTAAAAGTTGATTCTTTCAAGATGTTCGTTGTGGCCGTTTCAATTATTTGCACCGTCAATTGTTGCAATTAACAATATCAATGCAAATACAATTGTTATTCATGTATAGATTTTATCAGCAGTGGTTTAGATAAAGATTCTTTGTGCAAGACCGTATGTTAGTAAGGTGTTCTCGACGTCACGCCTCCTTTTGCCATCAAGAACTGGACGCTCAAGGTTGTAGCCGCTCCACTCTCGCGCCACTGCATTCACTGGCTCTGCTGGTCCTACTACACGAGATATGGACGTCGCACTCGTAAGTTGGCAGTGAAGGATCTAGCAGGTTGTGGTGGTCTCATCCGAGGCACAGACTTGCTATTTTATATACGCTGAAGCTATAAGAGTGTTATTAAGCGAGTGAAGTGTTATAAAGTGGTTTGAAGTGTTCTATTCGCGTAGTATCATTGCATACGCTGGCTCAGCAGGTCCAGCTAAAATGTGAACTATGAATGACGACTCACTTGTAACTTGGCTTGTCTGAGAGTGAAATTGTCTTATTTGAGAAAAATTTTTTGATACTTCTTGATGTTTTTGGTGATCTAAACTGTGATACATCTCGTGTGAAGTGTTGTATCTTAATTTTACATTGTGGTTCTTAAGGTGCAAAGTAGATTTATTTGGGTTAGCTTAATCGACCGTACGATTTCTGCATCCATGCCCTGTGACGCCTTCTAATCTTCTTTGGTATAGTGTCTTTCCGAGATGAGATTATTCTTTGTTGGAGCAAGCATTATTTCATTCGAGGAACAATTTTTGCTTTCCATATAGTAATAGTATGCGTTTCAAGCTCTGTAATATGGGACCACGAGTCAATTTCTTTGCAAGGGAATCGTATGTGTTCTTGTCCTGCGGGATGATTTCTGGTCAGAGTTTTTTTGGTTTATGTGTTAGAGTCGTAATAACAGTTGGATGTGCACGTCGCTTTTGAATAGGTTGTACCGGTAAATATTCAATTCCATTTGCAATCGCGGGCAGTGTCACCTGACATTGACCCGCTCTACTTATGTTCCACTTGATAGCTTTCCAGATCGTTACCTGTCATATTCCTAGAAGTATTTCACTCGCGCAATGTGCAGTGTAAATAGTTTTTCGCATATTTATAGTATGAAATGATAGTTCTGGGTTAGATAGATGGTATCGTCATGTGTAAGCGTCTTGTTGTGCTGAGTATCGTGTTTTGGGAGCACTGCTGCTTCATGCGCTGCTCTCGAATGGCCAACAGCGACTAAGGGAACACAAAAAAAATCTTGTATGTTGCAGAAATGGTTTCTTCTCTGGTGTATTTTCTCAGATAAAGTGTCTTTTTTATAAAAATACCTATACAAAATGGAAGTTGCTGTACCCTGATGAGCGTAAGTTGAAAGTCATGGCCGAAGATGCTAGCAATGGACGTGCATCAATTACCTCGTCACTCGAAGGCGTGTGTAATTCTGTTCTTAGCGAATTGTCTGCGTGTAATACGCTCTCCGAAACGCTTGAAGACACTCTGCTCGTCGGCAACATTTTGGAGTCGAGTCTTCACGAGAGCTACATCGCAGAGCATTTGCCAACACGTCGTTCTCAAGTTGATTTAGGCCACTTAGCATTTATTAATCAGGTGACTTCAAGTTTTAGTATTCATTTCTAGAATCGGAAAAGTTAACTTTGAACTACGTTAAAAAGCACTCCAATTATTCCCACCGTTACTATATCACGTAAGTGCGGGACGACCCACGGGTGGGTGGCAGGGTCTTTTTCCGGATAAATTCCGCGATTTAGTTTTTTTTAATTGCGTTTGTCGACAAAAATTTATGATGGCAGTACTGCCTCATTTAAATATAAAATGTACGACAAATGGAATATTTAATTTTTGCACCTGAACCTACAAATTTACTAGTATATTTTGAATTATAGGCCTTTTAAGCAGCGGACTTGGCCGTTTTTAGGCCAGCTGCCAGCGCTGTGGGTCGTTGCCACACTTAACGTGATATATTTACGCTTCGAGCCGGTGTCTGAACTGATATTTATTCGGTGTTGATGACAGATAAAAGTTGGACAAAGAGTGAGATGCGCGATACTCAGAAAAAAATGCTTGACTTTTTACATTTGCTACAGAACTACCGTTCTTCGGTATATATTATTCTCAATTTTTCTGTTTTTATTGAAAATCCATACTTATTTGTTACTTTCTATATTCTTGTCCCCAGTCGCCGGTGTTGTAGTCCTATTTATGACCACAATATTCTTGTCCCTAGTCGCCGGTGTTGCAGCCCTATTGTCCTATTTATGACACAATATTCTTGTCCCCAGTCGCCGGTGTTGCAGTCCTATTTATGACCACAATATTCTTGTCCCTAGTCGCCGGTGTTGCAGCCCTATAGTCCTATTTATGACACAATATTCTTGTCCCCAGTCGCCGGTGTTGCAGTCCTATTTATGACACAATGTTCTTGTTCCCAGTCGCTGGTGTTGCAGTCCTATTTATGATACAATATTCTTGTCCCCAGTCGCCGGTGTTGCAGTCCTATTTATGACACAATATTCTTGTCTTCAGTCGCCGGTGTTGCAGTCCTATTTATGACCAGCATATTCTTATCCCCAGTCGCCGGTGTTGCAGCCTTATGTATGACACAATATTCATGTCCCCAGTCGCCGGTGTTGCAGCCTTATGTATGACACAATATTCATGTCCCCAGTCGTCGGTGTTGCAGTCCTATTAATGACCAGCATATTCTTGTCCCCAGTCGCCGGTGTTGAAATCCTTCGTTGCGGGTTCGCTGTCGGGCACTTGCTCAACCATCCTCTTCCAGCCCCTGGACCTCGTCAAGACCAGACTGCAGACAAGGAGCCTCCCTGTCAGGTACGTGGCCAAACTTAATTTTTTTTTGGTACGTGCCTAACCTTCATGCTCATTGGTCACGCGTGTTATTTGCCCGAGCATCTTCAATTCCAAGCAGGGCCTTCATACACCCCAGACTGCTTGATGCGCGCTCAGCGCCGATCACTTTCATGTTGCATTATTCATCAGCATCTCAACACTCAAGTGCTGCTTAAATAACATATTTGTGGCTCCTTAGTATGTTCTTGATTAGCGATGATACAGTAAATAAATATCTTCAAGTCTCGAATTAAACAACTCGTTTATTCATTAGCGATAACGTTGTACATAATGCACCACGTCTACGTGCCCTATAGAAAAGATCGCGCTTTGTGTTCAGCGACGTCACGGTGTTTTGCCTCTCGTTCATGCTCAATAACACAAATTACGTTGTGTTGAATTGCTAAGGATAATAGCGGTCGGTGTAGCTAGTATATATACCTATACAGGGAGGCGCAATATGCTATTCCTGCCTATGAGGCCTGCGTGAAGGGTTACTTCGCGCCTCATTCACCTCCAGGGCTCTCATGTGAGGCCCAGCTTACGGGGATAAGCAATATCTGAACGCTATCAGGATGCTTCTCATAATGAATTTAGTTCGTCATAGTTACTTAAACCTTTATTTTTATGCCGGGAATTAGCTCTGGCTGCTCTCAAGGTTGATGTTTTTTTTCTATGGACGGTTTTACCTCTGTCGAGCGTATATTACCTGAGAAACTGGTTTCATTGATCGACTTATCCTTGGTGCTCCTCAACTCAGTCGTCCTCAGTGCACCGAATTTTATTCATTTGTTTAATTTAATTTTAAAAATATTAAATTCATCACTTGGCAAAACTAAAAATTACATGCTGATTATCCTGTTCTGTTTTTTTTATAATTATCCCAAAATTCTTGTGAAACAAGCTAGATTGAACGAATTCTGCGATTCTTGTAATAAAGAAATGCACTATCCTGCTACAACACAACAACAGTCACATTTGATCCGTCCACAAACGCAACCTGTTAGAGACCCCATGAAAAGTTGGTCAGTTTGAGCGGGCTTGTTCTTTTTTTTTTGCGTTTGACTTGAAATAGGTTGTCAAGGATGCCGCTTCATGACGTCTTCCGTCTCTAGTGTTCTCCATATCAGCACTTTTACTTTTCTGTAAAAGTGCACAGAAATTCTATCTATCGTCTTTTCCCCCTATTTAATTTTACTCGTCATTTCCCGATTTCAGGCATCTAAACATGTTTGAATTAAAAATAATTCTCAATGCAAAAAAATTAATGGAAAAGCGGAATTTTAATAAAAACCAAATGCTAGACCTTTCGTTCTACATGCTGATATAATATGACCCAACGGCAATATCGATTGAACTTCTCGACTTCGTTTCAGTCGTCATTGTAGTTTCTTAATTTTTATGTCATTAAAATACAACCAACATTCCTGGAACCATTTGTTCGTTCAAACTTCCGATTCAATTTTATTCGTCTATATTACAGCTAGAATTTCCCTAAGTACTTTTGGCTGTATGCAAGATATTTTAGTTACAAGCTTCCCGTAACTATCAGTTCGTTGCGGACGTTCTGCTGGTAGCGTGGCTACTTCCTTGTTTCTTGTCGAGGTCCCGTGGCCAGAGTGCGGAAGCTCTCACTTGCAAATATCAAGACGAAATGCGCGTTATTGGCTGTTCAATTATTATGGCGTCGTACTTGTGTTGGTAATTCAGAAACCTACGCCGTAATTCTCAACGTTTGTTATAAAAATATTAGATGTTCCTTAGTTCGATGCAAGTAGTGTGTGAGATTTTAATGAGATTTATACGTTTATTTTAAATAACTGCACATTTTTAACCTGATTATTTTCTTGTGCTACAAGGCCCTTGGCACTGAACGGAGCCCTGCACTTAGTCACGAGTCGTGACGCACAACTGAATTGCTAAACGAGTTTTCTTCGTCTTGACATGTCCCGACGATCTTCTGTAAACATAATTCAGTCAAGGAAGGATCATTTCGGTATGCTAGTTGTATTTAACAAAAGTGTCTACGGTCATTTGTTATTCAGTAGTTCTTTATGAGTCATACAATTTGGATTCGCTGAAACCTATACAAATCTTGCGTGTAAGTATTCTCAAGCATTAGTTCGATCCCGTCCTTTTGTTAGTTGTGTAACCCCATCAAGCTTGCTAAATACAGCTCGAGGCACCTCGTTTCCCTTGTCCCCTTGCAAGGCAGATCTTCAGGTCGCTATCGTGCGCACAACCTTCCTAAAACCACACGGCTTTTCGATCTGGTTGTTTCTGGTTTGTGCTTTCTGCCTTTGATGTTCTCAGTGCGTTGTTTTTAGCGGTATATTGAGGGATTTTATTTTTTAATTTGTTGATAGATTAATGCCCTCATTGCCCTGATCGCGAAAGTCTTAGCCAAGACACTAGGGCTGCTCGTGTTGTTGACCTCTCCTTGGCAACAGCATCTGTGCACTCACGCTGCTCTAAATTAGAGTGATTCGTTCCACTTGTACATCAATATCCTGTAGTGAAGTGAATACAAATTAAAAGCTACCATGACATTCTTAGTAAGGTTTGATGCATATGATTCAATTTCACACTTTTTACTAAATCTATTAGAGGAACTTCTTGTAGATTTTCAAATAATCTAGGTCTGTTCAGTCACCGTCTGGATAGAGTTCATGTTAGATTTGGGCAAAAGAGTTCTATCTAGTGGAGTGGTTCAGTAGTGCTTGGCTATTCTAGTGCAAGAAGAAGTACCGGTTTTATTTGGCCAAACAGCGATCAAATTTGTAAAAAGACTTGCTTGCTCATTGAGGCATGACAAATAGAGTACTCAGATAAAGAAGTTAGGTAGTCATTGCAATTGATAAGACCAAGATATACATCCTCAGCCTGCATCTTTATCACGCGGTGCATAGAAGATAAGCTTTTCGTTCTCCGCTTTAACGCTCGTACGACCTTGATAATTAGGTCGACTGTGTGGTAAGAGTAATCAGGCTCAAGTTAAGGTTCATGAACCCGGTAAAATTCGTATTTGAAGTTCGTTGTTACTAATAACCGTATCGTATCCAGGTTCACATATCACTGATACTCAACAAACGTCTTCTTCTGGTAGCAAATTACTTTCTTTCCTCAGTTTTTTGGAGAATCTCGAAGCTCAACCTATAGAAAATGTATTTAATCTTAACACTAAATCTGGACGATGTATACTTCAACTAAAGTGTATTAATTAAATCCATATTTGCATGGTTGTGCAGTGGCGGCGGGGCAGACGGCATGCTTGCCATCTTCGAGCAAGTGGTGCGCCGTGACAACATCCAGGGCTTGTGGCGCGGCATGGCACCGGTGAGTCAGGGCTTTGTTGTATAATCGCATTAGCATCAAATGCTACTGAAATACTGAGCTCTTTCTTTGTTATGGACATTGTACAGCTTCAAATTAACGCTTGTTTATTGGAGTGAAATTGTTGTCCTAAAAGAAAATAATTTAGTATTTTTGTGATGGAAGGGATTGACCTTAGAATTATTCTAACACACCAGTCATTCTCGCTAAATAGTTTCAAACGGATTTTTTACTGTTAGTTTTTTTTTTTTGTTTATCTTGAAGGATAACTTGAGACCAGAGATTCCGCCATTGCTTTCATAAATCCGTCCTGCTGGCGTTGACAGTTGCAACTATAGTTTTACTACTAACTCGTAAATTGAACAATGTAACGTGTATTGACAACTGCCAATGAGCTTATTACAAGTACACTATTAGTAATAATGTCAATCGTTTACTTGAATCGTAAATTCACTAAAAACTTTGAAGCAAAGAAAACACTATTGGTGAGCAGTGAAAACACTATTCACTAAGTGAATAGTGTTTAGTCACTACTTAATAGTGACTTGAAAACATAGTGAATAGTACACTTAATAGTGTACCTACTTAGTGTCACTAACACCAAGTACACTCTTCAATTAAATTAAAGACGTGTTTATGTCCACTAAAATTAAAGACACCAGTCTCAAGATACTGCCGGCATTGCAGAGCATGTACCGCTGCGTGCCGGGGGTGGGGCTGTACTTCTCGTCCCTGCACTCACTCAAATTATAGACGTGTTAATATCAACTAAAATTAAAGACGCCAGTCTCAAGATATTGCCGGTATTGCAGAGCATGTACCGCTGCGTGCCGGGGGTGGGGCTGTACTTCTCGTCGCTGCACTCACTCAAGACGGCGCTGTGCGAGGAGGGGCGGCCCCTGGGCGCCGTGCAAGCCGTGCTGCTGGGGGTAGCGGCCAGGACCATCTCAGGGGTCACCATGATACCCATGACCGTCGTTAAGACTCGTTACGAGGTCAGCTCTACTCATTCTTCTCTAAATTAGGCCATCATTTCACTTACAAGACTCGTTACGATGTCAGCTCTACTCATTCTTCTCTAAATTATTCCATCATTTCACAAGACTCGTTACGATGTCAGCTCTGCTCATTCTTCTCTAAATTATTCCATCATTTCACAAGACTCGTTACGATGTCAGCTCTGCTCATTCTTCTCTAAATTATTCCATCATTTCACTTACAAGACTCGTTACGATGTCAGCTCTGCTCATTCTTCTTTAAATTAGGCCATCATTTCATTTAATTAAGCATATTTTGTATTTGTGTCGGTGAAACATGACATCGACTCGTTGAAAATTTGTTGTACATATTGTATACCGCGCAATTCAAGTTATTTATTCCTCATAAATAAAATGATAGAATTATATTTACAGCGCGTAATTGAGATCTTGCAAGCATTCCATTCATCAGATACACGTTAAAAGAACTCAAACAACCAAATGAAGAATTAACCTAGAAGCTACCAAGGCGGGTGAACAGGCCAGAGTGCCTGCTACACCAAAACCATCAATTATCAAGTAAACATTCGTATATTTCCTGGTTTTCTTGAGTCTAACATCAAATTCATCTCCATCCATACATTTTTCTTAGATATTCATCGATGTTTTCTTTTCAGCTCAGTACTATAAATATATAGTTGTTATAGTGTTGAGTGTGTTGACGATGTTGGTGTGTTGCAGAGCGACGTGTACCGCTACAGAGGCGTGGTGGAGGCTGTGCGGACGATCTACAGCAAGGAGGGCGCGCGAGGACTCACGTGTGGCTTGTTGCCCACGCTGCTCAGAGATGCTCCCTTCTCGGGACTGTATCTCATGTTTTATACGCAGATCAAATACAAAATTCCTGAAGGTAATTCATTTTTGTGTTAGAGTTTATAATGAAATAATATTGTAAACGATATTTTTTTGTTTCAATAAGTTTTTCTGATACTTGGAATAAGTGATAATGCGAGGAGTCTGGCCAGGAAAAGCTTTCTGCATCCTTTTGCATTTACCGTCAAAGACTTGTACACATGAGTTGCCAGCATCTAATCGAAATGATCTATTTGTTGCTCAGTATTATCATTAGTATGTGTATGAGTCAATCGTAAAAATTGTATTACCGTTTTTTTTATTGAATGGCGGTGAGTTAAGTGTAAAGACCTGAGTGGCGATTCAAGTGTCTCGTGGCACAATTCCTGAAGGAAATTGCGGAAGTTCACGTTCATTCATGGAAGATGGATGGCAAAATTATTACAGTTTTAGTAGTTTATAGTATTGTTCCCATAGTATAGTTCGCATCTAATTACTCTGTACCGAGATGGGAACTGTGAGTTTTAGTTTCGATCCCAGTTACGGTACCTGCGACAGTTATGGGCAAATCGGCGAGGGTGCCGGGCTATGAAGCACAGCAAATTGAAGCAGTGAGTTGCGTGTTCGACCCGCAACAAGCTGTTGATATTCTGCTACGTTGAGGATTTGCGACTGGTCAAATTGCTTTATCAACGCTGACATTGCTATACCGTACTATGTGTGACACTCTATCATTTCCAGATTACCGAGAAGGACCGCTGTCGAGCGCATGTCACTTCAGCTGCGGTGTGATCTCAGGCCTCCTGGCCTCTGCCATCACTCAGCCCTTCGATGTGGTCAAGACCAAGATGCAGCTCTACCCTGACAAGTTCAGCTCCCTGCTGCAGGTGGTGATATATGTACGTAAGAAGTACGGCTACAAGGGGTACTTCAAAGGGCTTGTGCCGCGCATGCTGCGCCGCACTCTCATGGCTGCCATGGCATGGACCGTGTACGAAAATGTAAGTGCTGCTACAATAATTCTGTTTCTTTTTTGTATTTATCTGTTATTTAAATCTGCATTATAGTTGAAAATAACATTTTATGCGGCTCTTCCAAATTTGTTATAGCGATGCGTTGAGAGCTGATATTTTATTTTTTGTAATACCTTTTATGCGAAACTTATTAAATTCAGCTGAGATTATTTATAGATTGAAGCCTTCTATGCTTTAGCATAAGCAATTGCAAGTTAAGAGTTACCTACATACCTTACGTTGTTCGCGCAGATGATGCAGACGCTTAAGCTCAAATGACCCCATCCTCAAACTCCTCTCATTCTTGGTGATGCTTTGGAGTAGCTTGGAGTACGTCCGTGGTGTAGCTTGGAGCACGTCCGTGGAGTAGCTTGGAGCACGTTCGTGGAGTAGCTTGGAGCACGTCCGTGGAGTAGCATGGAGCACGTCCGTGGAGTAGCTTGGAGCACGTCCGTGGAGTAGCTTGGAGCACGTCTGTGGAGTAGCTTGGAGCACGTCTGTGGAGTAGCTTGGAGCACGTCCGTGGAGTAGCTTGGAGCACGTCCGTGGAGTAGCTTGGAGCACGTCCGTGGAGTAGCTTGGAGCACGTCCGCGTTGTAGATTGGAGTGCTTCTGACGATCTCCATTTTCTCGGAGGAAGTTGAATATTTTACGAGCTTCAGTCCAGGCACACGAGTTTCAATGACGAGTTGAGGATGCGCTCAAAGCATTTAATCGACATGGTCTACGGCGTGCATTTCTGAATTCAGAAAGCAGGAATATTTAGACGGTCTTGTTGTACGCTGTTGGGTTGACAGCAGCCATATCGCTCGGCACTTGCCATTATTGCAGCTGAAGTGACACTTGAGTGTCAGAATAGCAAGCTGTAGAGAATGAAATATTTTTGTACTATTTTAATGGACTATGGTTCCATGTTATAAAAAAACCATAGCATTAATAGATTTTGTAAGAGCCAGACATTTGTTTTTAACATATATTTTTACGTGCAAATTAAAAGTAGCTTTTCAATTGCTGTCCTCTAGCAATTATTACCGCTTTCAATTGTGATTAACGTAATAGGTGTTAGACCAATATTGCTCATTTCCGTTCAAACTCTTGTATGCATCAAAATTCTTGACTGAATGATATTTTTTTGCAATGGTTCGAATTTTTTCGTTGCCTTATTGTGTCGGGATGAAGTCTGAATTTTTGGGCCAATTTTGCCATAGTGTTATCACGATTTCACTTTGAATAGTTGATTTTGCTCATTTTTTAGGTTAGGTTTCCCGTTGAACTTGATTTAACTGTGCCGTATGTGCCTTAACTTGCGTGTGCAACTGGCACATTTTACGATAAATATTTCAAAAGAAACGCTTGATAGTGGAAGATAGAAGAGTTGTTCCTTACTGTGTAAGGGTATTTACTATTTTATGACGTTTCGGGGGCATTCGTTTTTTGTTACCTAACAATACCTCACTAGCAGCTTAGTTGGCAGTGTGAATTTTTAATCTACTGTCATTCACTAACCTAAGCAAGCAGACAAGTATTTAATATTAATTATTAATTAAAAGATTATAACTTGTTTCTAGCGTACAATCTTCATCTCGTGAGTATAAGATTTCTTCGGTTTGCACGAGAATTCGCACATAATGAATTTGATATTTTGTAGCTAAATCGCATGGTGCTCTTAATGTTTGCCGTTTACTAGTGCAAACTTTTAGTTAAATTACAGCATATCTTTGCTTTATATTGAGAGACTTGAGACCGAGTAATGTACACTGCCTCCACGAGAGTGAAGTTACTGTCCTCTGCCGGTCGGCACGTGGGGCAGCAACAAAGGTCCTCCACTCTTGTCTATGCTGGTCTAGCTTTTTTATTGCGTCCCAGCTCTGGTTCAGGGTCCCCAGTACCGTTTCAACTGTTCGGCACCAGGCTAGAGCAGTTTCATGATGGGGTTGCTCTCTCTTCTTATAACGTGGCCGGTCTAGTTTCGTCGCTTTCTCATTGGGATAGCAGCCATGCTCTCCTACTTGCACACTCCTTGTTAGATATGGTTTTTGGCCAAAAGATGCTCAGGATTCTCCGCAAGCTTCTGGTATGGAAGAATAACAGTCTACTGAGATCGCTGTTATTTAATGTTCCTCTAGCAGTTCATTTATAATAGCTTACTGAAGCACAACAAAATCCTTCCTTCGATGCCTGCTGTTGTCACCTACTGTACGCAAAGTTGTAAAAAATATATTCATACCAAGCGCTATTTATTGAATATTGTCCATCGCTAGTACGGCGATCTCTCAGTAGATTTTCGACTATTTATTTTAGATATAAAGAATGTCGTGCTTTCTAGATACTTCCGCTCAGATAAGCCGATTCTGGGACATGAAATACTGATAGTTATTGCTGCAATTCGCCGACAAATATACGCTTGATGCTATGGTAGACATTCAGCACGGATTTAAGCTATTTTTAATTGTTTCAATTTAGGAATGGAAGTAACTTTTGTTTTTTAACAACGTTTATCTGATGTTGAAGATGAGATGACATGTTGGATATGTTCTGTGCTAGATGACCTGTGAGTGCAAAAATGTAGATTTTAGCGATTATCCTTGAGATATGCGTGGGCGACAACCACTACTATTATTAGTTTTCAATAAAGTCCTCAACTCAGCAATGGTTTTCATTTTATTATACATGCCGGTCGTCGTTGTACTCACGTGCTGAGTAAAACTGAGTACGCAAGATTGTTTATGACGAAAAAATCATTATAACCGTACGCAGTAGACGCTCGCTATTTACTCGGATGATAGAGGTTTGTCAATGTTATATCCTGTTTTAAAAAATCGTGTCAGTCTTTCTTACGGCGTGGAAATTCTCAAAGCCGTTATTTTATATTTTTTCTGTCATTCGCGGACTAAACCTTATCGTTTAATTAACACTCGCTATTGGTCGACTATAAATATGAAGACCATGTCGCTGCAAGTGATGGCACAGATGCATTGAATGAACGAGCGGTCTAAACGACGGGTATTACTCCCGTGGAGTATTACTCGTACGTAACTATATTACGAGTATTACTTAACAGTTGCATAGATAGAAATGCTGCTTCACGTTTGAACACTAATAATTTCAGAGACAATTTAGTAATTCTTTGCCTATTTCGGAGTACACGGGTAAAGTTATGCCGATTGTAAAGTTTGACCTAACGAGAGATTGATGGAATTGTACGTAGGTTTCCATAGATGGAATCGTAGATTCCGCGATTTCCATAGATGGAATTCCATCTACGTAGGTTCCTACGTAGATGGAATTGCCCGATTGCCTTCTTTAATAAGCATTAGCCATTAAGTGAGAAACACAGGGTACACGAACGAGATAGATTGCTTGATGCAGGAGTTGAAGTTGACGGTATTAGTCCATTTTCTTTAATAGGCATTAAATGAAAAACACGGGTAACACAAACGAGCGGACTGTTTGATGGTCTTTATTGCACATACTGCAGGGCGTTTGCGTATTGGAACTCTTTACTGTTGTTGTAGTCGCACATATCCAAAGCAACTTCGCAGCTCTCTCTGACCACATCGATGGGGTCATCAAGATGTTCTCTCAGGACTTTCATGGCCTCTTCGGTGGCGATGGCCCCTAAAGCCTCGGCAGCCTCATGCCTAACCATGCCGCTCTCGCTGCGGTTGCGCACGACTGTCGCCAGTTCGTCGACCACATCTGCACATTCCATTTGGCCCAACACAAAGCCTATTTCATGCCTGAACAGAGCACTGCCGCAGCTGAAGCCTTCTGACAGTACTTTAGCACTTTCCTTGGAGTTGATATTGCGCAAGGAGAACATAGCTCGGTAACGTTCATAAAGAGGAATTTTCTCATTTAGAAGTGTATCCCGTAATTTTTGCAAATCCATGCAGGTGCTAGGAGGTGTAGGGTCGATTGATGTAAATTTATCAGCTCCTTCAAAACTTCGAGACCTGTCTGCATCGCCATGTAGAAATTTTAATCTTTCCAAGGCTAAATGACAGGTTTCTGCGACTTCTACTACATCATCCTTTGAGTATTTCTCAAGAATTGGCATGACTGTTGCATCCCCTATCGCTCCAAGGGCTTCACCAGCTTCATGACGTACCATAGGTTCTTGAGAACGATCTTCAAGCACTTTAAGTAACGTCGGTATGGCTTTCGAGTCTTTCATTTGCCCCAGGCAATAGGCAAGTTCATGCTTCAGCAAGGCAGATTCGTCAGAGAAGGTGTTGGCGATGGCATTGATGGCAACCTCGCCTCCCAAATTTCGGAGCGTGAAGAGCGCGCGAAAACGCTCTTTGAGAGGACGTGTGGAGTCTTGTAGCAAGGATCCTATAGCAGCAACGTCAGCATCAGACGCCATCTGAAATACAGGATTTTGGAAGGTCAACTTTAGTTGTGTGTCTCTCAATTAGGAGATAAAAATTATCAATAGGAACTCCAGCAATGATTTCTATAAAATATTTCTGTAAGTTTGATCTGCAGGTTAATGTTTTACAGTAGTTTGCTGATGCATTTTAAAACTTATTACTACCCAAGTACTCACAATTCTTTCTTAATGATAGATGTACACCAACTTGCTATTGCTCAATATTTTTATTTTTCCAGAATTTAAAATATTACAGCCATCAATTTCACACAGAAGAATCTGATGACCAAGACACTAAGCTGTGGAATGATTTAAAAAATTACAAGATGAACTACACATCAGTAATTATTCACATTGGAGATGATTAATTTATAAAATAGGATGCCAATTTGGAAAGCCAGTAGAGCAAGACTCAAATTCTGAGATATCACTGTTGACATAAAGAATAATAATTAGAATGACAATGATTCTTTTGAAAAAACTAATGCTCAATAAACCATGGCCTCTGATGCACTGTGGGAAGAATGGCCTAGCCACATGCCAGTCTCCTAACTACTGGCAGGCTGTATATGTAACTTTCATTGTTATAATAGTGTTGGTTTCTATTCAGCAAACTTGTCTCCTCAAGAGCAATAAAGCATACTAAAATGAAATTAAAACTCTGTAAAATAGACTAGAGATACAATTATCTGATTTTGGGACCAAAATATTTTAGTAATTACAGAAGTTGGCCAATTTTGACTTTGGGACCACCAAACCAAAAAACATCCTATCTTGCTAGTCCCTAGGCAAAGTTCTTAGCATACAATTTGAATTTTTTGCTCTGAAACATTTTAGATAACATTTTAGAAGTCTCAACATATTAGATATACAGCTATCACCTAAATTGTGAGACTGCTGCCTTCATATATTAAAAAAATTTAATGAGGCTGTCCTCACAAAAGAGCAACATCAGTTTAACAGCATAACATCTATGTTGCTGGCCTTTAATTGGAATAAAAAATATATAAAACAAACCTAAAGTTACTAAACTGTAGTTTCAAAGCTCTTTGTAGTTATTATTATGTGGTAGCGCAACTAAATGAACTAATGACTTCAGCCCAATATACCATATATTATATAGTACTGTAGTGGCAAACCAGTGATTTTTTATAAACCAGTTCACTTTTCAATTCCTGATCTGGTTCAAAATTTTATTCAATACTTAAGTTTGATAATGCTGGTGTCCATTGTATTCTACTGCCATTTACTGCTCTACTCTACTCATACTCATAAGACTCAAAAAGGATTATAAATAGGCCTCTGGGTTACCACTGTGCCTGAGAATAGTGTTCAGAATATTATGGAATAGTGCATTATTTACTAAGCAACTCATGAGAGTGACAAAACAATAGTCTCACATCTTATCTCAAGATTTCTGGCAACAAATATTGCATAACAATGATGCAATCAATAAATAAATGACTCGTAGGCTCATAGCTACAGCTAAAATTGAAAATCATATAGAAGCTACCTGTGTACTATGCAACATAGGGTAAACGCGGTATATTCCGACATCGTAGGTAATTCCGTCACCTCTCCAGCTTTTCCTTTATATTAAGCTTTGTTTTAGTTCCATGCGTTTGTTGATGGTTGAAATGGTGACGTCATGCATTTGCGAGTCAAAATACTGCCATCTAGTGGGAAAATATTGAGATCCAAAGAGAGACAATGCATGCCACGTGATGAGATCATCGAATGTGTCAAATTTGACAGTTGACATGGCTCTACCAAATAGTGAATAACCATTTTTATAGGAAGATATTATGGTTTGAGACTTTTAAATACGTCTGTGAATATATTAGAAATCCTTTAAGTATACTTGTATTCACTGATTTCAAGTCATAAATAAATTAATAGATGATTAAGTTGAGATGTTGGATTTAGACACATGAAAACTAATTCCGACACAACTTGAATTGGACACACACAGATCGTTCAAAGCTTTGTACAAAAATTGAAATTTGCTTAATTAAAAGCCTAATAGTCCCCCCCCCGCTGAGCCGGACCGGTCGATGCTCTTGCAAACGCATAAGTACTCACAATAATTCCCTGCCACCATGCTCTTGAAGGCCACTGGTAACATATGATAAGCAATCAAAGGTTATAAAGTGCTATAGCAAAGTTAGATGCATTGATGCTTTTGATGGTAGTTGCTACTTGAATCCTGGTACTTGCCAGCATAGGCATAGCTAAGCAAATATTTTTATATTGCAGTACCGGTACTCATTTTGCCACTCGAAAATTAAAAAATTGAAAAAACATAGTTTCAAGTACCTAGCTAGTATTCAATAATTAGCATGTTATAAGTGAAACTAAGATTGGAATTGGATATTGATGAAAATTTCTGGTTGAAAAATATTAAATAAATATACATTTGCAAAATTGCAATAAAAAAATAAGGACAAAATTAATGATGAAGCAGCAATGACATTGATGCTAATTTGTGAAATATAACATAACCAGAATTATTTGTTTCAAATAGGCCTAACCGCCTAACCTCTAAATCTAATTGACATTATTACGTAATCTAAATTCCAAAATCTCTGACGTAGAATGTAGATTAGAACAAGGGAGTATTTTACTACTTATTTTACTTGTACAAGGAAGTTGGAGGGAAGTGCTAACTCGGGCGGATTACTGAGCTGAGCATTCGCAATTCCATAAAGGTTTCTTCAATTTAGCTATATATATATAGCCTATAGGTACATCGGAACAACCGCAAGTGAAAATACTATTAATTAGGAGTTGTCCCTAAATAGTTCGACTCCAGCAATTTAAGCAAAATAATACTCACCATAGCGTTGTTTTCTTCAGAAGCAAATAAACTTGTCAGCTTGCCAGAGCTGGGCACCCTTCCGATTTGCTGTTGAGAATTTCGATTTTTTTTTTTCACAACTATCAGCTGCTGCTGAATGCACTGCACCCGAATACGAGTAACGACTCAGATAAGTTTACGGCCGGATCCGGATTTGCGGCCGGTCTCCATGCAAATTCAGTGAACAAGGAATATCTCCCAAACTAATGAACTATCACTATCAGTAAATAACTCATTATATCTTGGTATATCCGATTTACTTTTAAAAAAGCTTAATAAAGCACGATGTAACAGCAAGAATAGTTTCAGTAACGTCCCTCAAATTGCTGCTATTTTAGCAGCACGTACCCAATAAATAAGTTTAATACGCAGTACACATATCACAGAAAATTTTCGTAATTTGTTCCATAGATATTACGCTATAGTAATAGAGCATTATGAGGTATTCTATACTGGATGAGAAAAAATTTATTGATATTATTCATTGCAATTTTTTTCGTGTTCGTTTGTAATACAATATTTCAAATTTTTACTGTTTATCTCCACAGAACTTAGTCTCTGCAATCAATTTTGATTTATTGTTAATCTACTTTCCTATTAAAGTCTCTTCGGTCAGTTCGTCGAACTTGTAGTTGCAAAATGCCTTCAGCAACTTATTTACCACGAATAACAAGTAATTACTTTCAAACGACTTTAATTTAAGAATTTGTAAGTTATTTATGACCGCCACAAACATTTGTTCTTACCTGTTAAGTTTATACCCTTACATTCTCCATAAATTTTTTTACTGTTTCAATATGCTATATATAAGGAATTGATCCAGTGCATCGCCACTATATAAAGTCTGGTCTTAATATCTAGTCGTTCTCAACAATTTTTCCCCAGCAAATTTGATTGAACTAAAATCTGAAAAAAGCCGGTCTTAGAAGTCTTTTGGAATTCTCTTTCTGGTCGGTCTAAGGCATATTAGACTGGCGAGGCTGCTAGGATATTTATATCCCACAGATATTACGGTGATATTTTTATATCCCAGCTGCGGGGATATTTCCTCAGTTATGGTCCGAGCAAGCCCCAGGAACGGAGCATATAATAAGGAAGGCACCGCCTCCAAAGATGGGGAAAAGGCTCACCGCGTTCTTGCTGCGTCTCTTCTGTGACCGCTGCAGGCCACACGGTGACACCACCGAATGCGACTGAGGCTGGTGTACAGTAGCGTCCAATTCTTGGGGCACTGCCTTCTCCATGCTACTGCTTCGCACTTGGAGAAAAGGAGTTAGGGGGGACTAAATTAATGAAACATCCTATACAATGGAGGGGAAGGGTTGCTTTGGAACCCAATAAATAAAACATCTTATATGCTGGAGTGCGTCTTTCGGGACACAATTAATGAAAAATTCTCATGCTGTAGGGTTCATTTGGGCAATCAACCCGGATGCATTAGCCAAAGGGCTCCTCAATTTTTGTAGTCGACCACGGCAATGAGGCCTAGTAAGTTACCGGGAGCTACTACTACTACTACTACTACTACTCTCGAAAAAATTTGTCAACGTTCGTTCGTTACTTGTAGATATGTGTGCGTTTTTACAGCACTTCTCTTTAACTTCACTTCTTGGTTGTCTGTCTGCTACAAATCTGTTAGTCGATTTTTAATACACTTCTACTTCTCCAATCGATCTGAAATTTTGCACACTTGTGTAAAGTTGAAGACAACGCATGAATCAATTGACAGAATAAATAAATTTGAAAATGTCAAAAATTTTATTTTTGATATTCAAAAATAAAAAAATTTGTCTGCTACATAACTTATAATCGATATTTTAACACACTTCTACCTGTCCAATCGATCTGAAATTTTGCATACTTTATGGGAGACAATGCATGTATCAATTGACAGAATAAATAATTTTGAAAATTTCTGATTTGTTTAACACTAAAAATAAAATTAGAAAATAAATTTCGTAATATTTCATAATAAAATTAGAAATTCATTGTACATGTGTAACACCAGAGACACAGGATTCTTTAGAAGTGTTGTCTTTAAAAAGTAATTTTTAAACGCAGATTATTCTAAGCCTGACGTCGCACGAATATACATAGGTGCTATTCGGACGCGTATCCAGGATACTTATCTAGTCGGAATATTATGTACTGGAACGTGAAATTGAATTCTCAGTGTGAGAATATTGAAGGATTGGAAGATGTGATGGTGTAAAAAATTGAAATTTCATTTTAAAACTGGTATATATATGAATTTAATTTGAAAGGCTCGTGGTAAGTTTTCTGTTTTACAACACTTCTCTTTAACTTCACTTCTTGTTTGTTTGTTAGTCTGTCTGTCTGTCTGTCTGTCTGCTACAAATCTTATAATCGATATTTAACCTACTTCTACCTGTCCAATCGATCTGAAATTTGGCACACTTGCGTAAAGTTGGAGACAAAGCATGAATCAATTGACAGAATAAATAATATCATAAATTAAAAAAAAATTTATTATAAAAAAAATTCGTCTGCTACAAATCTTATAATCCATATATGACACAATTTGACCTGTCCAATTGATCTGAAATTTTGCACAATTGCATAAAGTCAGAGACAATGCATGAATCAATTGACAAAATAAATAATTTTGAAAATTTCCAAAATTTTGATATCTTAAAAAAAATTTGAAATAAAAATATACGTTTAAAAATTACTTTTTGAAGACAACACTTCCAAAGAATCCAGTGTCTCCAATCTTAAAGATGTACCATGAATTTCTCATTTAATTTTCGAATATTAAAAAAATTAATTTTTCAATTTTTTAATATATAATTTTTTTAATATATACATTTTTTAAAATTATTTCTTCTATTAATTGATTCATGCATTGCATCTAACTTCACACAAGTGCGCAAAATTTCAGATCAATTAGACAGGTAAAAGTGTGACAAATATCAGTTATAAGATTTGTAGCTGACAAAATTATTTTTTCATTTTTTTAATATTGAAAAAAAAAGTTTTTTATTTTTACTTTTTAAAATCATTTATTTTGACATTTGATTCATGCATTGTCTCCAACTTCAAACAAGTATGCAAAATTTTAGATCGATAGGATAAGTAGAAGTGTGTTAAATTTCGATTACAATATTTGTAGCAGACAGACAGACAGACAGACAAACAGACAAACAAGAAGTGAAGTTAAAGAGAAGTGTTGTAAAATAATTTTTTTTTCAATATTTGAAAATAAAATTAGAAATTCATTGTACATGTGTAACATCCAAGACACTGGATTGTTCAGAAGTGTTGTCCTTAAAAAGTAATTTTTAAACGCATATTTTTATTATTATTACAACACTTCTCTTTAACTTCACTTCTTGTTTGTCTGTCTGTCTGTCTGTCTGTCTGTCTGTCTGTCTGTCTGTCTGTTTTGTCTGTCTGTCTGCTACAAATCTTATAATCGAAATTTAACACACTTCTACTTATCCTATCGATCTGAAATTTTGCACACTTGCGTAAAGTTGGAGACAATGCAAGAATCAAATGACAAAATAAATGATTTAAAAATAATTTTTTTATATTAAAAAATTTGAAAAATAATTTTGTCACCTACAAATCTTATAACATACTTGACCCACTTTTACCTGTCCAATTGATCTGAAATTTTGCACACATGTGTGAAATCGCAGGCAATGCATGAATCAATTGATAGAATAAATCATTTTTTAAAAAATTAATTTTTTCAATATTCGAAAATAAAATGAGAAATTCATTGTACATCTTTAACATTGGAGACACTGGATTCTTTAGAAGTGTTGTCTTTAAATGTAATTTTTAAACGTATATTATTATATTCTAAGGTATAATATATTTAAGTCTGCTATCGTTTGATCGTGTTCACAAGCAGAAATTGCTTGTGTTCAGTTTAAGACTATAGTAATATGCCCGGTAGCTTTCTATTTATTCTAGGGTATAATATATATAAGTCTCATATCGTTTGATCGTGTTCACAAGCAGAAATAGCTTGTGTTCAGTTCAAGACTTTAGTATTATGCCCAGTAAGTTTTTATTTATTCTAGGCAGTAATACATTTAAATCTTGTATCGTTTGATCGCGTTAATTAGAAGATATTGTTTGTGTTCAAGTTAGGGTTAATATAGTAATAAGCTCAGTAACTTTTTTATATTATAAGGTATAATATATTTAAGTCTCCTATCGTTTGACCATGTTCACAAGCAGAAATTGCTTGTGTTCAGTTCAAGACTATATTAATATGCCCAGTAATTTTTTATTTATTCTAGGGTATAAATATATAAGTCTGCTATCGATTGATCGCGTAAACTAGAAGGTATCGCTTGTGTTCGGTTTAAGATCATAGTAATAAGCTCAGTAACTTATTTTTAGATTCTAAAGTATAATATATTTAAGTCTTCCATCGTTTGATCGTGTTCACAAGCAGAAATTGCTTGTGTTCAGTTCAAGACTATAGTATTATGCCCGGTAATTATAAATTAATTCTGAGGAATAATATATTTAAGTCTCCTATTGTTTGATCGCGTTAACTAGAAGATTTTGCTTGTGTTCAGTTTAAGATTATATTAATAAGTTCAGTAATATTTTTATATTCTAAGGTATAATATATTTCAGTCTCCTAACGTCAGATCGTGTTCACAAGCAGAAATTGCTTGTGTTCAGTTCAAGACTTTAGCAATATGCCCAGTAATTTTTATTTATATTAGGGTAAATTATATTTAAGTCTCCCATCGTTTGATCGTGTTCACAAGCAGAAATTGCTTATGTTCAGTTCAAGACTATAGAAATAAGCCCGGTAATTATTAATTTATTCTAGGGAATAATATATGTAAGTCTCCTATTGTTTGATCGCGTACTCGCGCAACTGGGACACTCATAATTCCTTCAGTACTTAGCGGATCTGTATGAATTTCGGAATGTGAGTATTAATTATCGATACGCTGCCGCAGGAATTATTACAGATTTTTACATGACTGATTTTAGGTTAGGTTTGGCTAGGTTAGGTTAGGTTATGTTAGGAAATAATTCATGTAAAAATCTGCAATAATTCCTGCGGCAGAGTATCGATAATTAATACTCACATTCCAAAATTCATACAGATCCGTTAAGTACTGAAGGAATTATGAGTGTCCCAGTTGCTTAAAAATACGTTTATTGGTTTTAATTAAAATATAATTCATGTAAAAATCTGTAATAATTCCTGCGGCAGCGTATCGATAATTAATACTAACATTCCAAAATTCATACAGATCCTTTAACTATTGAAGGAATTATGAGTGTCCCAGTTGCTCGAGTCCGCTGGCGAGTTCGCAGGCGGGTTCGTAGAATTGTCGATGGAGTGTCCGTAGAATTGTCGATTGAGTAATTAAAAGCCATGTGAGTCAGGTGGACCGGATCGACACTTCAGCGAATTAGAAGGAGAGGCTAGAGAGGTGTGAAAAATTGTGTTAAGGATGAGATGAATTCAAGGGGAAGCGAAATTCAAGAGGAAATTCATATGGTTTATTATTGCTATTTGTCAATTATTGCACTGTATAGTCTATATTTATATTACCTATTGGGCGATAAATTTCATGCGCGTTATCGTTAACCCAGGTAGTTGGTAAACCCTCAAAATGGCAACAATTGAACAGACGCGGGGAAGTACTGAAGCTGTTCGTCGTCGCCATTTTCTTGTTCGATCTCTGCGTTAGCATACATCGTGTCCTACAGAAAGAGGAGGACTTCGGTATGTATCCGTTGAAATTGTTGAATCGCTGCTATTTTTCGTATTGTTGAAGCAGTATTGCAGCTAGCTATGTAATATTTACAACTTTAATAATTTACTAGAAGTAATGCTGATGCAACCGGGCACCGGCCTCGTAATAGTAAATTAGCCTAGCTACTGCGCGAGTGGGGTTATGCCGCTGATTTTTTTTTTTGTATCTTAGCGAGTCTAGTTAGCCTAGTACGTACTAAGTACGGTAGCTGGTAGCATGTAACTTGTAAGTGTGTAAATAGTTTTGAATTTCAGATAATTGTTACGCTCGTGAATTATGTAAATGAAAATTATTTCTGAGTTTCATGTTCGAGCTGCTAGTGCTATTAATATTAGGCTACTGCTATAGGTATACCGTCAAACGGGGTAAAAAGGGACGATTTTGAGCGTTTTTTGTTAATAACTTCTTACCATGAAACATTTCATAAACAAGTTTAGCCTCATTTTATAGCTCTTTGTGAGGGCTATCGAATGGCATCTTTGAAAAAATTCCATATGCTATTTGCAGGGTTGGCAATGATTAAATCAAAATGATTAAATCATGTGATTAAATGACTTGATTTTTTTTATAAAAAAATCATGATTTTTTTTATTTTATTTATTTATTTGATTTTTTCATATATTTAAATATATTGAGTGGCAGTCTTTAATTTATATTGAGGTACCTATTGTTATTCATGGTTTAGTATAAATGTACTATTAATGACAAATTGGTATATAAACTTGTTGAATGTTGGGTTGCCTTTAGTGTGTATTAGGTTCCAATAAATTGAATGTTTTTGGTACAGAGGCATCAACTCCATCAAGTGTACAATAAATTGTACGTATCTAGCAGCTTAGCTAATTCTTATAAGGCTATAAGTAGTCTTTAGTTATATTGATTACAATATACAATTTAAATGTGTTAGCTATCTTATACAGGGAGGGGCAGAACTGATTGAACAGTTTTGAGGCAAAATAAGAGTAATGGAGGTAAATAAAGAAGAAAGTTTATTTTCCTCAAGATTAGGATAACATACCATTTAAAATACTTATGTTTTGAAAACAATATCAGGAAGATGGGGTTTGTTAGCTGCATCACACTGTTGGAGTCATTTTTGGACGTTTTCTATAGCACGTTCAAACATGTGGCAAGGTATGGCCATAACCTCTGCCGCAATAATCCGTTCCCTTAGCTGTGGTCGGGTGTGAGGGCGACTTCTGAACCCCTTTCTTTTAGATGTCCCCAAAGAAAGAAATCGCAAATGCTCAAATCAGGTGACCTCGCAGGCCACTGTAAATCACCCCTCCAAGACACCAGATGTCTGGGAAACATGCGTTTCAAAACATTGAGTGACATTCGGGCTGTGTGAGCTGTAGCCCCATCCTGCTGGAACCACACGTCTCTCAATGCTTCATTCTCAACAACGTTTTTCATCCTGGGCTGCAAGAAATTTTGCAACATTGCAGCATAGCGATCGGAATTCACTGTTACGGTGACTACTCCCTACTCTGAGAATGACTCCAACAGTGTGTTGCAGCTAACGGCCCCCATCTTTTAGATATTTTTTTCAAAACCTAAGTATTCTAAATGATATGTTATGCTAACCTCTAGGAAAATAAACTTTCTTCTTTATGTACTTCCATTACTCTTTTATTTTACCTCGAAACTGCTCAATCGGTTCTCTCCCAACCTGTATATTGAGAGGTTGAGATTGTATTGACCTTTTAGGCAATTAGAAAGATTTTCCGCCCTAATACGAGTATTCTAATTAAAATTTTTAATTTCAATCTTTAAATATGTGAAATTAAAACTAGAAACAAAACAATTACAATTATAAGACTATATATAAAATAATTAAATGCAGTGAATGGATATAAAATATTTGAATTGTGCACATGTTTATTTCAAACAGTATTAGATTTTCTCATAACTTTAGTCTCATTTCAAGTCGTATGAGGTTTGTTTGGTTATCATTCAGTTTATGTTTAGTATTGGTTTATTGGTCTGAATTAAATGGGAACAGCGCAGTCAGTCACTCAGTCACTACTAATAGGTGTGTATAGAGGGTAGAGTCTGGTAGATTTATAGGACATAAAACTAGTAGATCTATTGATAGTGCTGTGCACTGTGCTATCAGCTACCTATCTGTTATGTGACTCTTCAATGTTTAGAAGATACGCATTCCTGAAGTGTTTTTGTATATTGAAGCCAGTTAAATGGTCAATATTTAGCTCATTACCTTGCTCCATCCCTAAGTGGTAAACACCACCTTGGCCTGTTGGCCATTATTGAAGGCAATAAGTGCCCTTTTTAGCCATCCATTATGATCCATATACTGTTATTGTTATTAGGCTAATTGCAACATAAAAAAATAACACCTCAAAAAGACAAAAGTTGAAGAAATCAAATAAATAAAAAAAATCACAAAAAAAATAAAAAAAAAATCATTGATTTTTGATTTTTTTTTTTAAATAAAAAAATCACCAACCCTGGCTATTCGTAAGATGCCAGACGCAAAATAAAACCGGCCCAATTTACCCCTGGGAACGGGGTAGGTAATCCGGGACACTTGCCATAAAAGTTAATTTTAAAACATTGAAGCATGCAGAGTGTACTCATCCATTACTAACAGTACTCTGAAGTCCTCCTCTTTCATTGTTGAAGATGTAGATGTAAAATAAATGACATTTTCTGTGATTTTTACTTGTTTTCCCTTTATTGATATGATATTACCATATTCATTAATTACTGTATTATTAATGTGATATTACTGTATCCATGGACTGTTGGACATGCCATTGAGCATTGACAATGACCTTGTCCACTGCAAGCTTCATATCAGCAGCCATGTAGCATTTCTTCTGTATCTGTAAGCTTACAGGATGGTTTGTAGTTTCGCACAATTTTAATCAAGTCAAGTGATTTCACTATAACAAAAAAGATCCTGAAAAACACACCTGAAACAGAAAATAATGTTTTAGTGACAACCATCATATGTTTTGAAGAAATAAATCATAGTTTAGGTCAATTACTTTTCATTCTATGATGCCCGGTGCACAATTCTATATATAGCATTCTATGTCCAAATTTGTGACAACCAACGATGCACTAATTTTTTGATGAGTGAAATTTTTTTTGCTGAGCGAGGTAAATGTAATCAAAATTCATTGTTGTTAATCATTTTTTTTTGTTAACTTGAGCCTTTACTAACTGAGGTTCTACTGTATATGCATTTTTAAGCGTGTCCCTAATTACCCCGGGGGGCAGGGGGTGTCCTTTTTTACCCTATTGCGTGGAAATGGCTGCCATTTTTTTTTTTTTTTTAATGAGATGGGCAAGTTCTGTCAATTACGTTTTCAAGCCGACATCTGGGTGCAACTTTTATGCAAGTAAAATTTTTTAATATGGCAAATATTTTTTTTTTACTCCATACCTTAGCAGAGGTACTTTTCCAAAATCGCACTTTTCACACTTTTTTCAACGTTTTTTTTTTAGAGATAGTAAATGTTTGATTTCTTGACTAGCTTTACACATAATAGGTAGTAAAAATGTTGAAGTTTACGCTACTATTTTTAGTTTTGCAATATTTTGATTAGTTTAGCTGCTACAACATTTCTATGAAATGCGGGACGCGTGTCCCTATTTACCCTGCCCGTCCCTTTTTACCCTGTTTGACGATATAAAAATTTCTACCTGAACTCTATATAGCTAATATTTTGCAACTGATTGAGTAACCAGGGTGGAAAGATTATACATATAATAACCTCCATACCTACAATTCCATCCTACCATGTATGACTTTTCATCACCCATGTACCCAGCTGGTTCATAATAATCTTTGATGATGTACATCATGGCCAACATGAACATCACTGTCCTACAGATGAATTAGCACCGTTTGAATCTGTTATGTAGGAAAGATGTAGACACAGTTCTTCTTGCACTTCTCAACTAGCAAGTATAGAATTATTGATTTACTTTGATTTTCTTTTACTTCCAGTTGTGTTGCTCTACATTTAAATACCAGCAATGGACTGCAAAGTATACGTTGGAGACCTCGGCTCTTCTGCCAACAAACACGACCTTGAAGATGCTTTCTCCCAGTATGGTCGTCTGACCAGTGTGTGGGTAGCCAGGAACCCGCCTGGTTTTGCTTTTGTTGAATTTGAGGACAACCGAGATGCTGAAGATGCTGTCAGGGCTCTTGATGGCAGGTTAGTTTTTGTATCAATTCCTGAAACTAAAAAATGTAGACAATTGCTGTCATTTGTCAATTAATACTATTGTGAAATTATGGATGGTTAACCACACTTTTTAATCGAATGTATTATTGACTGTTTAAATTCATTAGAAGTTAACCAGCAGTAATTGTCCTTACTTGGGCTAGTTATAGTAATAATGGGTTTAGCATTTCAGGCCGTAGTCCTGCTGCCGATTGTTAACATCGCATGACATTCACAGCTTGTTTCAGATCTCAAACGGTCAACTCGCTGCTCCAATTTTGCTTTGTTTAACCGTTTGGAAAGCAAGACGAACCTGACCAGGATCTGGTGCACAGAGCTAGGATCGAACCCGCACTTTCTATACTCCAATCTTGATACTCTAACCTGTAACCACTATGCCTCCCTGTCTTATGATTAATTATTATGAAAATTTCTAAATAATTCGTCTGCTTTTCAGAACCATTTGTGGACGTCGTGTCCGTGTGGAGATGTCCACTCATGGGACTAGAGGTGGTCGTCCCGGTGGTGGCCGTGGGGGCTTTGGAGGACGTGGAGCTCATCCTGATGACAAGTGCTTCCGCTGCGGAGATAGAGGACACTTCGCTCGTGACTGTCGAGGTCCCCCAGGGGGTCGCCGGTAAATGAAGCCTCTTTTTTCAATTAGAAATTTTACTCAATACCACTAAGATGTAGAGATGTTTACAGATAATAATCGATGGTTGCTATTTATGGGAAATTGTGACTGTTTTATTAAATAGTTTTGAACGATAGAGTAAATTTAACTTTTGAGCTTTACTGGATATAGTATTTCTTAGAGATAAAAATCATATTGGTTTTCTTATTCGATCCTATTTCCTTCATTTAAGGCATTGAGTACAGGTTCAATCCTTTATGTCGAAGAATCGAGTTTGCTTTCGTTTACTGTAAATGGTCGTGTAGTATTTCTGTGAATTTTCCAACTTTTTAAGTATTGCTTTCCATAACTGAAATGCAGTCAGCGACAGAATGAGTTTGAACATAGAAATGGCTAAGTCGGACCTCTGATGATTTAGTCCTAGGCCAAGAGGCGCTTAGCCACCTCGTGTCAGAAATGCCCAGAGTAATTTCAATTTGGATCGAGGTCTTGTACTCGCTCGTGTCTCGATACCAACATAGCTTTTTAGTACTTGCTATTTTCCTAATTTACATTGTAATGAGAAAAGGCTGTGTTATGAAAAAAATCAAATACTATGCGGGTGTGAGTCCTGCACTATGAAATTGATGAATCCTCTAATTCTCAGTTTTACTGAGGGATTGAATCTCAGAACTGGTTGGGATGTGAGCTAAGGTCTCACTGTAAAGATAAATATGTAACCATATTTACCTTCTTAGGCAGAACCCAGCCTGGTGCTCTGCGTTGTGCACACTGCCGTTACTTAAGCAACTAAACTCTGGTGCTGCTACCTGACAACTGCCAACCCATCTCTCTTGTGTAGTCTCTGCTCATCCTCCGGCGTTAGCTTGCACTGCAACCTCGGGTCTTTGTCGAGTGACAAGACAAAGCATCAATGAACTCGCGATGCCTTGTCTACTTTCAATTCTGTCCAAAGTACTGCGCATCTCCTGGGCATCACCTATGTTATGAACAACAGTCATCTTTGTTTAGTAGGACAGCCCAGTCATCGCCGCTTGTATAAGTCATCCACTACCTACACCTTGAGATCGGCGTTTGATCTCGATAACATGGGTCCCGCGCACTGCATCATCACCCTTCAGAAAAATTCAATTAAGAATTAATTAGGTTCAATTATGTCTTCTTGAATTATCCATGCGAGGGTCTGCAACAGCCGTCAACAGCGCAGCCACTGCTAAACCTGCTATTATTGTCTGCAGCAGCTTCCCAGCCACATCATGTGTAGTAGATACACTTGCTCCGAACAGTCACTCAGCGTGAGGCTGATACTTAAACTGTGAAAAAATAGATCTGCGCATCCGCTTGCATAGCTTCGTTAGAAATGACAGCACATCGCTCTCTGGGGCTCTGCTTCTATTGTGTTCAGCCAACTATTAGCTCCTAACCCCTTGACCACTGCGTAGTCTGCTTATGATAGGAACACATCTTGGTTGTGGTAAGTTCTTTTAAAAACTTGGAAAGGGTTTATTCTGTGCTTAAGTTTTCAATTGGTAAGAATGTTACGACTTACACGCCAGACTTTCGGGACTGGTGGAAGTAAATTAATTGTAAGGTTCGTTTTGTATTACCAGAGGTATTTCCTTCAATCAATGTCTCGCTTATTACCTCATCGACGTTGTTGCCTTAATTCTCATTTGTCATGGGTACCAGGAGTTCAGGGGTGAAACAATAGTCGTTCAAACTAGAGAATCGAAAGATTTTCCCCATTACTAATTCAAATCACTCATTCCGATCATATCATTCATGTATGAAGTGAAAGTTTGTTAAACATGCCAGCTAATGCCGCACACGGTCATTGTAAGTTTCTGGACGACACGCTGTGACTCCGGCTTTAATCTTCCTCTTGCTTCAGGTCGTATTCTCGCTCGCGCTCTCCCAGCCCCCGCCGCCGGCGCTCGATGTCGCGCTCAGTCTCCCGTGATCGCCGCAGTTACAGAAGCAGGTCTCGTTCTCCACGTCGCTCTCGTTCCCCGTCGTACACTCGTGGCGGTCGATCATCCCGGTCCCCTGCCAGGTAGGAGCGTCTCTTTCAGCCATTACTCGTGCCTAATATTTATGTATGCAAAGTGTTCATTGTATTTAGTTTTAGACACTGGTATTTGGTATCGTTATTAAAATTAACAGTGAAATTGTTCTTGACATAGTTGGATGTGCCAATGTTTGAATTTATAGTTGATACTCCATCGAGATTTGGACAGGTTCATACCTATACTTCACATGGTAATGCTACTTTGTTGTACGCGGCCATATCTATGAACTAAACTACTTATTAGCTTCACTTGAATGGCTACTCACAAAAGTAATCTACGCAGGCGGTCAAGGAGCCCTGTCGGAAACGGACGTTCCAGGAGTCCAGCCAACGGCAACTAATGCGCTGTTTCACCGCGAACCTACCTCCATGGTAGCTGCGCACTAGTATCAACCTAGGAGTATAGCAATCCGCATTCCTTTTACAATAAAAATTGAACTATTGTTGTTTCTCCCTCACCTGACTAGATGGTTAGGATCTAATAAATTTCTGAGCGACGCTTTTAATAATCCCTGTGCTCCGTTTGGGTCGTGAAACTGAGTTTATTCGCATGTTATTTATTAATATGGTGAGCCAACTGACCGATCGAATTGTCAAACCTACGTTGCAATGTGACAAATCCAAAAGGTTAGACGTACGAAAGCTCTTGCCACCTAAAGGATGCTCCACATTTAGCTCAAATAAGACCAATTGTTCGGCTAGAGAGTATTATTGACTATTCGGCAAGAAGAATTCATGAAGCGGAGCAACAATTTAACTTGAACGAATGTTTCAATTTAATTAATAGAGGCCCTTCATACGTATAAAGCAATTCTTGACCGAATCGATACTTCTCTGGACTCTACGCGAAAACAGATTTTTATATTAATTATTTTTCACTGAGAGCGCATGAACGCATAAGTAACGAATATCTATACGTTGCGTAAAAATTAGTACAGATTTTTACATTGATTCGATTCTTGGTTCATTCATTCTTGATTCATTGATTAGTAATATATTTTTTACGAAGTTATGGGCTATTTCGGAAAAAAATGACAAAGAAAACCATTACGAACCTGGTGTTTTGTACAGCAAATATTTAAGAGCAGAAAATAGCTTGAATACATGCGAGCATTAATAAATTAAAATTAAAGTTCGAGTCAAAGTTGACAAATTTTTTAAAAACTTCATAATTTCGGAACTCCCGTACGGGAAGCTTTTGTAATCAAAATTTTTTGCAGGCAGTAGGAATATGTGAGGAGGTAAAAGGGCTAAGAAGTTGAGCGTTTACTGATTCTTAGCGGGGTGCGCAGCCGCAGACCTGCAAATTAACTCTCAAATCGGCCCTGAGCTAACATCAACCATCTAAAAGCTATAGTTATTGTCATCCTGGGCACCTAAGCAGCTGTAGTCAATTGACCTATCTCTGCAACCTTTCTAGCGTACTTCCGAGTTACGACCCTTACTCAGATCTCATACAGTGAGACTCTGTACTCTGTAGTGTTGACTCGTTTTCTTCGAAAAGCTCTCGGCGCCTCGAATACAAATGTTTTAGGTACATAGGAAATATTTATACTTGTTGCGATGTGGGTGATTGAATATACTTGAAGCTGGGAACAATAAACTAAAACTTCGGTCAAACTTCTTTAATTTTCATTTGAAAAATTGAAGGTGATATGACTTCCGTTCCGTAGAGTAAGAGTGTAGGCTACTGTAGACCGTCACATTCACAGTAGTGTAATATATGGCGCCGCATAATATGCTCATGCCTAACAGGCTCACTTTGTCTCTGAGTGACTAACTGTTAGTGTTAGTCTATCACAGGCCCCCAAGGCCAAGGCCCACAGCAGGCACAGCCTTTTATTGCTAGAGTTAATCTATTATTGTGAAGTTAATTTTAAGGGGACTGACCTGGCTAAAATTTTCAATTTTGGCGTTTTCCACTTTTTGGGCTCATCTTAAAGCTTACTTTTTGACGCATCCAACGGTGCCAGAATCATCCCTCTACGTCGAAAAATGATTTCGTGACAGCTTCCCAAAGAAGGGCAGTTTTTAGGCCCTTTAACAAATGTAAAAATTCATATGAGCAAAATGTTTTTCTTTTTACATTTTAAGTATGTATGTGAAGTTTCATGATGATCGGATAATAACTGTAGAAGTTTCTCCGGGGGCAGCCCGGTCCCCGACATGAAATGACCTTGACTAATTCTCTCAAGTCTCAAATTTGAAATTAAATATGTGTACAACTAGGCTACATAGCTTTAGAAAGCTTCTTTTATTAACAGAACAGACTAGGTACCCTGGTACAGAGTAGTATCCAAAGTAAGGGAAATAAGGGATGGTTTTGAGCTTTGGTCATTGTACCTACGTCAATAGGCTAACTTCTTACCAGTTACCATGAAACTTAGTCTTATTTAACAGGATGGAATTCTAAAAATTAAGGATCACATATCATTTTCAATTCCCCTCCACCACTTTTTTGATCCACAAATTTTAGTTAGGATAGAAACTAGAAAGGATAAAAATAGGAGAGATTAAAGTTACATTACCTAAAAAGAATTGAGAATGAAGGTTGCAAATTAGCTAAAATACTTCAAGATTCTAATTAGACTAAATATTCATAAGCAATTTGTCTCAAAGTTGAGCATAACAAATTAACATTTATGAATTAATAATAAATCATGCCACTGATGCCACCAATATGAGTTTAACATGATGCCCTGCAAAGCTAGGGTAAACGCGGTATATTCCGACACATTAAGGATGCATCGAGAAATGAAAAACTATAAAAAAACGTATGCGTTACGTAAGTTCTGTTGGCTTCACGTGACTCTCAAAACATCGCACTACGCGTCAGCAACAATGAAACGTCACAAAATGTTGCCATATTTATTAAAAAGCCTTTAGAATGGAAACCTATCAAATCCCTATATTCCGTCACTGTGTGTGGCAATATTTGACACGTGGTGAGTCGTATTGCGTCAGCGCTTCGAATTTAACTGATACGTAATGCCGACATCCACGTGTTCGAATTCCGTTCGCTGTGTGAGCTGTATTGGGATACAACACGGCTTTGAATTCTCTTAAGTGTGAAGTCCTCTTCTTCCTTTGTACATAGATGATGTAGGTAGTTGTAGAATAAATGACATTTTCTGTGATTTTTACTTGTTTTTCCTTTATTGATATGATATAACCTTCTCCACAATTTACATATTATTGATGTGATATTACCATATCCATGTCAATGCCATTGAGCATTGACAACAACCTTGTCCGAAGCAAGCTTTGTATTTGGGGCTCCCAAAGGGGGCTCATGATTTTGGCCCCCTCTTTTGGGGGGGGGGGGAGGGTAGTGACAAGAGACAGGACCTTTGCCCAACCAATGTTGGGAATTTAAATAATTTCATTTATGCTCAAAGGCAAATAATCACCTATAAATCTTATATGACATATAAAGTTAACATCAAATAAATTATATAAAATTTAATTATTTTTGAGATTTCATATATAAAATGAAGTATAGCTTTACTGGTGTTAATTGTCAAAGTATCAAGTTAGAGCGAGATGCTATTTTCTCGGAGTTGGCAGAGCAATACAATATAACGTACATGTATACATCCCAAATACATAAATTGCAATTCCTGAAATACATAGATTTTAAAAAAATATTTGAATAGCAAAATATCTTATTTACTTCCATAGGTTGCAAAATGCCAACAATTACTGACAACATGACTATGACCTACTGTTGTAGGTTGCACAGCTACCAGTATGACATAATGACTTCAACTCAAAGACTTGTCACTCTTTTTTTCATATTTACTGGCTCACGCCGACATGCTAAAGATGTTAAAACTGTGTATCTCAAGTCCTTAGAATAAAAAATATTCACAATATCACAATCTGAAGATTTACAATAAAAAATAGTCACATTATCAAAATAGAAAATATTCACAATATCTGGGAAAAATTGCAGAATGCTGCCATGTTCAAACCCAACTACAGAGTTAAGGGAGGTACCTTGCGGTGAAGTCACACATGCAAGGTCTTGCGTGTGACGTCACACGCCATACGTTGTACGGTAATTGTTTTTATAAACGTTTTGTGGGCCATTCTTGACTTAAGGGGAGCATCTTGGCCAAAAAACTTTTTGTTTAATAAAAATGTGAAATTCGCAGAAAACGTCAAATGATATTGTAATGTCATTCTCCCCAGCCTGTGATTGGCTGTGTCTAATATGCTATGTGTAATGGTTAATTTAATACCCCTCTAGAATTCCAGCCTGTTGATGCCATGCTGCACCCTAAACATTCCTTTTCATTCTAACTGAAAATTGGTCAAGCATGACTTGGGAATTGGACAAAAATGACTATGACTGGCCAATTTCACCTGTTTCTATGACCTTTTTCCAATTTTTTCAGTGAAAAATTGGAATAACAGTCCATTTTATCTGCAATTTTCAAAAGTCACCTGTGGAATGATCTTTTTTATCTGCAATTTAAGGGAACTTTTGCCCAATATTCCAAGATAGTCATAGATAATTGTGTAGTCATGGTCATATCATACTGCAATTAAACTGCATTGTTTTTTAACAAAAATGTAAGAAATCCATTGATATATGCTTAATTGTCTCTTAAATGAAGGAAAATATTCTTGGTGCTATTTCCGAGGTAAAATTAAAGATTTGGCTTGGTATGTACACATGGCTTGCTTAAGGGGAGTGTCTACCCTAAAATTGAAAATTTTTACTTTTTTTATTTTTATACTAATTTTAAAGCTGACATTCTGCCCTATCCAACGGTACCACTGCCATCTCTCTACGTTGATTTATGATTTCATGACATTTCATGAAAGGGGGGCAGATGGGGGAGTTCTTTAAGTAATTAGATAGGAACTAATTAGCTGCTGAGCTCTTTAAATATAGTGTCTACTTGAGTTGTGCTGCAGTTACGTGTTTAGTCTCATCTTAAAGCTGACATTCTGGCCTATCCAATGGTACCACTACCATCTCTGTACGTCGATTTTCACGTACACGACACTTCATTTAAGGGGGGCGGGGGGGGAGTTCTTTCAGTACATTAGATATGAGATAATTTGCTCCCATCATCCTTGAGTGGAATCAAGCTCCAGAAACGTTTAGTTTGGAATCTATGCTACATTGAGCGCATATTGTGGTGCCCGCAGGACTTTGTCGCGCTCTCCTCAACATTCACACTTATTGTCATGGAAAACCTATCTCCTCCTAGAGTTTTGAAGCTACAACAATGAGACATATACCATTCAATTTGCAAATAAACTATCTACAAAATGTTCATCCCGGTTTTTCTAGTTTCATTATAGTTTGAATTTTATTCTGCAAAAAGAGAGGGGTGGCAGGGGGAAAATCAAAAAATTTCTGAACATTTTGGAAAAATGCCTCCCACTTCCACAAAAATTGGAATTTCAAAAAAAGGGGATGAACATTTTGTAGATGAAGTCCTCACGCATCGAATGATATGTGTCTCGATGTTGTAGCTTGGAAATCTTAGGACTAGATCCGTTTCCACAGTACCCCCTTTCATAGCCGTTTTCTAAGAATTTCACATTTTCTTTCATTTTCGAAAAATTCACACGAACAAAATGCGAGTTTTTTTCCATTTTACACATGTGTACCAAGTTTCAGAGTGATCCGACTGTAAATAGCCAAGATAATTTTTAGGGTAGATGCTCCCCTTAATGATTTTGCAGTTTGTGAATGAGTTTGCCACTCAAAAGTTGTCTTACATGGCCTAAACAATGGATTCCTGTATAACAATATTTTTAATCCATGAATTTGCAGCACCTAAAATTCAGTCATGGCTTAGAAAGTACATGTTACTAGGTGCTCAGCCTGAGGCATCTGGGCATTGAGCACCAAACCTGAGAATGAGACAAAATGCCCTTGCTTGCCAACAATTCCAGTTTCCTAAAGCCCTTCCTTTAGGAAAAAATGAAAAAAAAAATTCTTCATACATGTTTGCTTGCAAATTTTGAAATTCTCTCGCTATATTTTTATTGTATACCTATATACTTCTACCCACAATTTCTGAAGAATTTTGAAAAATTATTTTAAAAATGTATATTTTTATACTCTGCTACTATAAGAGTTTCTTGTACCATGAATTGAAGGGAATTTTTGGTTTTATTCCAAATTAAAAATTTGAAGTTTTGTACTAATTTCTGCCTTTTCTTACAGCTTGGAAATAGATTCATGACTCAATAAATTATTTAACTTGTCTCAAACTTTAAGTTCTGTCTGGAAAGGAGTTGCTTGGAAAATAAACATAAACCTTTTTAGTTAACCAAGAACTGTACCAACACTCATTATTTTGGCTCTAACAACTATAAAATTATGCATTGTTCTATAAAGTAGTGAATTAGTTGAGTGATGATGGCTCCTTCACCAGCCTCCACACCCATTGAGGGTGGAGGGCTCATGGTTGAAGGGATACGAAGTGGTGCATTGGTAACCCCTGGTGGCTCTGGGACTATGGCTACCACAGGAAACCAGATGGGAACCATATCTCTGGGCACTCTAATACAATATATTAACCAAAGAACCTACTCTGATCTCCTGAACTTGGCTGAAATGTAAGTTATTATCTTCCTTGGAAATAAGCTTCCTTCACTATTCTGAAATGTACTATGATTGTGAGATATTTAGGTCATTTCATTTCATACATCATCACCAAAGCTGCTGTAGCATTTAAATTTGTCTAATTATTATTTTTTCTGGCATATTTTTATAAGAATTAAGATATTTTTAACTGAGCACTAGAATAATCTATAAATAGATGTGTTATTCTGTCTATGTGTGTTCTGTCAAGGATTTAATTTATTAATCATTGTGCATTATTGTTCTAAATTTTTTTACAGCTTGCCACGTAAAAGCGATATGGAGAAGAAAATTGACATTGTCAAGTTTGCTCAACGAACTCGACAGTTGTATGTCCGGCTATTGGCTTTGGTCAAATGGGCTGCAAGTGCATCAAAAGTTGATAAGTGCTGTGTGAGTTTGCAATTTAAATGGATAAATTGTTTTGCTATTACACCAAAACCTTATTTTCATGACACAGACTTCAAATTTCAAAGTAATGGTGAGGAAAATATTGAAATATTGTACTTATTTATATTCTATCCATGTATGAAAATGAAGGCAGGTTCACCAAATAACGTAATTAATATGAATAATAAATTCTTCAGGATTCTCTGTCAAGATTCTTAACTAAGGTCAATTCTTGGTGTCTGATAAATATTATTTTGTCTGCATTGATTTATGCAAAATAGATTTTTGGACTGGAAAAAGTTGCTTGCATGAGTCATGCTGATTACACTAGTGATGATTAGGATAGAAAAGTTGTTTCAGATTTAAGGAATAACAATTCAATACAATTTTTTCATGTGCAGCATATAATGAATTTCCTGGAGAAGCAGAACAGTCTGCTCACAGACACTGCAGACAAGCTCTTCCACATGACTCGTGAGAACCTCATGCAAGCTCGACTGCCTCACTTTTATATTCCTGCTGCTGTACAAACTCTTACAACAGGTGTGTTTTGGGGTTTAAATTTTGCCAGCTAACTTCTCTGTTTTGCATCTTATTTGTTGGTAAAGCTAGTATCCATAATGTTCCTGTTAAATAGCAAAACAAGTAAATAATTGCTTAGACAAATCATTTTCTTGCATTTATATAATAAATTAATGTAAAATTCTTAGAATTTTACTGTATAGAATATTGATGTATATATATTAATAACTTTTTTATTTGTTTGAGAACCTCATGAAATTCATTGTAAACCTGCTCCTGTGATCAAAAAGCTAAACTTGTGTGTGTCGCCTCATAATATTTCTCTCCTATTTAGGTACCTATGATCGTCTCCCATTAAGCATTCGACAGCGGATTTTATCATCAGAGCCAATGACGGCTCAAGAGAAGCGTAGCACTCTCACTCGACTTGAACAGATCATCAGACACAGGCTTGTAACGGCAACACTGCCTCATCAGATGAGGACAACTAAGGTTTGTTCCCAAATCAATGAATGATATTTAAAAATATGGTTCCAGGGAGTCACAAGTACAATGGTCATAAAGATTTTTTTTATAAATAAATTTTAAATGCTATTGCTGAGGACTGTTCCTGATACTATTTATTTTAATGTAATTAGTGCAGGTCTGAGTTGAGGAAAACTAAAACAATAATGTATGAATAATTTGCATTGCCATCATAATTAAAAGTTTCCCTCTGTTCATGTTATACATTTCACAATAAATTGATTAGGAGCATGCAATATAATACAGAAAACTTCAGTTTATCAGTTCACATGGTTATGAGGACCAAAATGATGGCATTCCAATAAAGTCTGATGGACCAGAGCACACAGATCATCAAAGGTCAACATTTGAATCACGGGCTAACACTGGGCAGGTGGAAAATGGTCGTGTGGTGTTCACAGTGGACAGGGAGTTTGAAGCTCACCTCACAGTCATGAGTGACAACATGAGTGATGCCTGGCGACTGCTGACACTGCACATACTTGTAGAAGACCGCGAGACTGGCCATGGCAAACAACTTGTACATCCACTTCAAGTATGTTTTTGCCAGCTAAGCCCTTGCTGTGTTTTTTCATTTGATTGAGTCTTGTATATCATTTTTATAGGTTTCAATGCCTTTTTTTTTCTCCCGTAAACTATTGAGAGTTTGTTATCAAATATATTTGACTACGGTACGGTGCAGTAAAAAATTCAAAATAAGCCAGAGGAACTAACTTTGCCAATGATGTTCACTATCTTTTTAAGCAGATGTACTAAATTTTATGGTTTTTATTGAGAATATAGAATAAAACTTTATTGTTGATCCTTAATGAAAAATTGTACTACAACTTAATCATTATTTTTTGGTTTACTTGGCTGTTGAGGCTCACTAACCTTCACCCAAATGCTCACTCAGGTAATATACCTGCAGCAGCTGGTGCAGTCCAGGCTGGTAGACCATCCACATCCTCTACAAGAGCTTTACTCTGTCATGCATGCCTTCTGCCTCTCACTGCAGCTTGAAGTGCTATATGCCCAGACGCTCAAGGTAATTATTCATCAGTATCAATCATAGCATTATTATCAGAGTGACATTAAATTATGGAAACCCATCACTCCAGAATGAAGCATTATGCACAGAAACTCAAGGTCAAGTAAGACCTTATACAATTTTATACGCTCATCTTGATTCAAGTCTGGAAATCGTCCATGTCTTGCATCATTGCATCTTGAAACTATTGGAAAAACATTTTGCTATACTGAATTATTTTACTTGTTAATTGAGCTAATTTTATTACTTAACGCTGATCATATTTTCAAAAATTTAAAAGCAGAGAAAATAGCCAGAAAATTCATCATTTCCCAAAAAGGAAATGGTGCTTTTCCCCATTTTCTTTGCTTTTAAATTTTTGATAAGCTTGCAATTTAAGCAGTCAAGTGATTTTAATACTTATATTGATCATATTTTTTGCTATGAACTGCCAATCTTAAAATAAACGACAGAGCTCCCTTGCTATTAGTTCTCACCTAAAAATAAATCAATTAATTCTGCCATCTCAGAATACACAGGCAATACGCCATGGCTTGATAGACTGGTAATTTATTCCAGCATTTTATGCTGCTTTATATTAGCTTCGGGATCATCAAATGATGAATTTCTTTCTCCCAGCTGCTGGAGGAGCGTCTGGACAACCACATCAGAGTAGAAGAATACAGACAAGGCTGTTCTCTCAGCCTCACTTATTGGAGAGAACTCAGCAGGTTAGAAAATATTAATAATTATTCTTGCATTTTTGTAGTGATCTTATGGGGGTCTTGTTGTGTAACTTCGCTTCAATAATTGCTATTGCTGAAATAGTGTCAGTATTTGCCAATAATTTTATTTCTAAATTTATGCCCTTTTAATCTATCCTATGACAAAAACTAAATATTATCTCTAACTTCATAAGCAAATTTGTTTCTTAACTTCAAGCCGGCCACAGATCTTAATTAATATTTTTATTAATTTTATTTTGCCCCTAATAGCAACCCTGAAACTAAATATTTGGCCGTGACAGTAAGAACATTTACACTGGTTCTAAGTTCTACCCTGGCAATAAATAACCATTAGTTGCATAAAACCTTCAGTTTTATTACAATTATAACTATATCTGAATCAAATTGATTACACCAAATAAAAGAAATCATCCATATTGTTTTGCAGCACGCAAGGCAGCAGCACAGGATCCCTCACCAGCAAAACCAGTTTGGGCTACCGCCTGACTGTTCAGATTGACCCATACGGGCCGGGCAGACCTCTCAACCTTGTACATACTCCTGCCCTGCCACAGAAGGTCAGTGGCAGTTTTACTTATCCTGCTTTTCTTGTTTAATTTAATTGACATCGTTAGAAATTCATTCGTTTGATGAGCCATGAAAATGGAGATTTATTCATTCTTAGAAGTGCTACATGGTAAACCTTATTTATGAATGAACATTTCACTCTTGAACATTTCACTGCAGGCCATCCATGGATGAGAGTATGTGTATATACATTTCTCTTTTCACAACAGTTACAAATGTCCCAAGACAGTTTCACCTGATTGTAGCAGCAAGGCATTTTTTTATGAGATAAATTGCTAGACAAAAGGAATAATGTCGTCTGCCAGAAGTATCAGGGTATTTCTAAAAACATTTTGTAAAACAGAGAGTTTGTAAAATTTTAAATTTCATATTTATTTCCTATCAGGAATGTGTGGCTGCTGCTAACATTGTTTTTGTTCTAAGTGATAATGTGATGATGATGCTGCTGTGTGCATTATACTGCGATGCTTGTGCCCACTAGTGCCCGGACAGTGACCACCATTGGTGTAATTTGAAGGCGGTGTTTCATTGATGAGTTTTGGATGAAGCCACCATAATTCGTCATCCGATCATGTGACATGACACGTCTTGCCACTACCTGAATGATTTATGATGTGAAGGCGTCGCACTGCTTTCATCGGTGCATCTGAAGTGACGTGTCTCTTACAGGAATGTGAGGTCGCCGAGCGCGCCATCAGAACAGAGCAGCTGTCCATGGAGCGTCTCCTGGTGCACACCATTTACCTCCGCACCAAGACTCGGCTCTCCAACCTCAAGCAGACGCTCGACGAGAACCTCTCCCTCACAACCGACAAGTGTCAGTATTTTCTGTTTAAGTATGTTCTTTAAACTGCCAACCTTTAGCCGTTGTTTCATGTTACAACATATGAAGTTATCGTACAAGTTTGATAATTTTACAAACTAAATATCTTCACATCTTTTAATGAATTTGCATTTGTGTTGTGTTTTCTTATACTTTTTAAAATCGTTTGCTATCATCAGAAATGCTGGTTCCATATCATGACACCATCGCCTATCTTATCATTTTAATGATTACCAAGGAGGGGTTTGTCTCATCATATTGTTTGCTAAATGTTTCATTTATGTAAGGCTCATTTAGTAATTATGTAAATATTATTTATTCAAGTAGATATTTATAAAAAATATAAACATATTAGGTGTGGTGAGCGGGTCGCCAGCAATGCTACAGGTACCGCTGCTGGTGCCGTGTCTGCCATCAGAACAACTGCTCGTCACAGTGGACACCCACACGGGCTTCCTCACCCCTCACGTGCCTCAGTACCCCAACTGCTCCCTCATCCCCGACATCCATGCTGCTCTCAATGCCTTTGCTTCATCCGGAGCCCCAACACACTCGTCCAAACTCACCGACCTCATCTCCGAACTTAGGTTAGTTTTTCATCATCCCACTAGATGGGGGCTGATTTTTTCAGACTGTAATTGTAAAAGTGGAAGTTTTGAGGATTTTTTTAACAAATTCACTGAATTGAGAATTAGCTTGAAAATTACTTTTCAATTTCAATTTTAATATCTCACTTTGCTATGAACCTGAAAAGTCACAGTTGAATTCATTCAAGTTCTTCAAGTTTGTTTTCTTTTAATTCTTTTCTTATATGAATGTGGATTGAACCTGTGCACATTGATTGTGTACTGTCGCTTGATACGTTTGCTGTGTGCAGTGACCGGACTGACAGTGCACTGTTTAACATCTGACTATACCATGACCATACAGTGAACATGCCATGATCATACCGTAACCATTCCGTGACTATACCGTCACCAAACCGTGGCAATTCCATGACTGTACCTTGGCAATACCATGACTACCGTGGCAATATTGTGACCATATCGTGACTATCGTAACCATACCGTGGCAATACCTTGACTGTACCGTGACCTCATGCCATCCCGCCTGTCAGGTACTGGCTGATGTGTCGGCGCACGGAGAAGAGCCTGCAGCACCTGGCGGCGACGGTACATGAGCGCCTGCCTCTCATGTACGACTCGTCCCACCCCCTGCATTCCCTCGCAAAGCACAAGGTCTTCGTCACCTTCCACCGGCATCCCAACTACGTTCTGGTGAGTTCTGCTCTTCTTCGGGCTCCGTAGGAAAAGATATGGGAGTTCTTAGCTCGGTCACCTAATCTCGTCTTTGATTAGTGGGCATGCTGAACCCACTAATCAAAGACGAGAACTCGACCGCTACATTTACAGTGCACATAGGCAGTACGTAAGACGCTACATGTAACTTGAGTGGGTCTTGATAGTACGGCCCCTGGCCTTTTTTGAAGGTCTCTCGGTATGGTTTTCTGGGGGGGGGGGGGTAAAACAACTTGCTTCATAAATACTAGAATGCATGCTTCCAAAATGACATATATTCAATATTTATGTCACGTTTATTTAAAATCTGAAATTTTCTCTGACATCACGATTGGTTTTATTGATAATATTTCATGTGTTTAATCTGGACTTACGTGTTTTGATCTGAACTTGAGTAACTGCTAGCTTTATAATAACTTTTATCTGTTGCTGAATGCAGATCGTGGCGGTAGAGGAACGCAGCGGCAGTAAATGCGAAGTTGACCTGAGCTTATACCTGCTGCTGGTGAAGGAGGCGAGCATCGAGGACGACCCCAACGACCCTAGTGTACAGACCGCCCTCCCTCGCTCCTACATGAGGGCTTACGGCCTCATGCCCCTCGACACGTTCCTTTGCTCGCATGGGCCGCACACTAAACTCGATGGTGCGATTCTTCATCTTACTGCAGACAATTATTATTAGTGATCGTTTCCTAGGTCATTTAAAGAAGCTATTTAAACTTAGCTCTAATACTATTAATCAGCGACACTCGTTGACCCTTTACTCTGCCCACACACTAAACTCTTCTAACAGCCCACAAACTTTTCATGTTTTTAAAGCAGTTAATTATTAACATTGGTCGTACATGACGAGCCAAAGCGCTATTTATGCTCGCTTCTAATACTCTTACTTGGTGAACTTCTTTGATCGAGGGACACTTTTTACATTTCTTCTATTCAGTTGTATTTTACAATCATCTCTGATGATAATGAATTAATTGGCTTTTCACTCTTGAAAATAATGAGTTTTTGGTGCAAATGATAAGGTGTAAACATTCTGGTTGTTGTTGTGACATCATAATAATGGTTGTTGCAGTTACTGAGAGCAGCGTTGGTGCGGCGACGACCATAGCCGGGAGCAGCAAGCGACGTCTGAGAGACGCTGGTCTGGGAGAGCCTCCTTGTAAGCGCGTTAAGGTGCCTGCGTATTTCCTGCCTGACGTGGTGCAGTGTGTTGCGCTCTGTGATCAGCTGTGTCCTCTTGCACATATCAACTCTCAGGTATTGTTACTACATTGTAATGATTGGTTTGAATTAAATGTAAGTTCATGACAGTTTGAATGAAAGAACTTTTATAGCCACGAGACTACCTGGCGCTCCATTTTCATTTGACTCAATTCTTTGTATGATATAAAGACAATTGTCAGCTGAGGCTAAAGTACCTGTGGGATATTGATATTGTTTTTCATGCTAATATTGCAGATGACACTAAATAATTTACATCTGCGAATAATCAAAAACCAATTTCCGTATCACCTCAATTATGTTATTATCCTTTATTTGCTTGAGCTTGTGAGAATTGGAGGTGTACACCTGGATATATTATGTATAGATATGTTGAAAAAATTGGTTTTCATGACTTTTCACCCTAATTTTCGAGTGTCGGAAGTAGTGCCATGAACGTTGTTGTACATGTTTTCAACGCATCTTCTCAATACATTATATGATACACAATACATTATGATATGTGTTGTGATTGAATTAATGATTGTTCTCGATGTGACTGCAGTTGGTGCGAGAAGGCGTGCGCAGCGGGGGAGTGCAGGTGGAGGACGGTGGAGTAGGGGTGGTGGTGAGGGTGGTAGGTCTTCCTCCTACACCAGGCCTGCCTCAGGACGTCCAGGATGCCCTCTCTGCCAGCCTCCTGTGCCTGTCTGTACGCGTACAGGTGCCGCAGTTCAGGGGTGTCAAGTGCATCGTTGCTGAGTACATCTTCAGTAATGTGCCCTTCGGTACAGTCAAGGAGAGCAGCTCGCTCAACAGGTGACTACAAGAATCTTCCTTGCTATGCTTCTATTTATTTAGGTGTCTTGATTAAATGTTATTACTATTAGCCTAAAAATGCCACTGTGTTTGGAATACTCCTGATAATTAGCATCTATTTCCTTGCTAGATTGTTAACTATGATATCTGTCAATAGTTAGTGTTCACAGAACCGAATTTCTGCTGCTTTTTATTTGTTACTGGGCGTGCCTAGTTTATGCTAATTAGTACGAGGTGGGGTGAGATCCAAATAAGTCTCTTGAGCAGTCAATTTTGCTATCCTAAAGAAACCTAACGCAGTTATTTACAATTTTTATTATATGAGTTAACGGTGCTTTAGGCATTGTTTTATTTTTGTGGGAGAATTGGGAAAATTATTGGATTGAAAGAATATTTGAATTGGGCATGTTCTTATTTTAACAATTCACCTGCTCAGGCAACAAATGCCCAGTTCCATCGGTGATTGCATTACATCATAAGTGACTACAAGTTTTACTTTACATCATAAGTGACTACAAGTTTTACATTACATCATAAGTGACTACAAGTTTTGCATTACATCATAAGTGACTACAAGTTTTACTTTACATCATAAGTGACTACCATTTAAGTATAAATATCATTTTATGCTAACAATACCCTGCTGCCACAACAGACGCTGCGTGTTGTCAGTACACGAGCTGGGCAGTGCAGGCGTGTATGCCAGCGGCTGCGTCGAGAAGCTTGTAGCGGAGTGGCACTCGATCGCCAGACTCTACCTCCTCGTGCATCGCTTTGCTCTCAAGTACTCCGCTGCCTCTGGTGAGATCTTTATTTCACAGTAGAATTTGTAAAGAATAACTCAGACTGCTGAATGCAAGTTTATTTATTAGATGATTGAATTCTAACCCTAACAATATAGGTAGTAGTAGTAGTTGTTTACTAACATCCTCGTGCATCGCTTTGCTCTCAAGTACATCACTGCCTCTGGTGAGATCTTTCTTTCAGAGTAGAATTGTTACAGAATAACAAAGACCATTGAAAGCAAATTTATTTGTTAGGTGATAGAATTTAACTATAACAATATAGTAGGAGTTGTGTACTAACGTCCTCGTGCACAGCTTTGATCTTAAGTACTCTGTTGAGATATTTCTTTCATGCGGGAATTAAGTATAGGTAGTTAATTAAGTACAGAGCTGAATAATTGAAACCATTGATACCAATTTTTATCTATTATTGACTTCTAATAACAATATAGTAGAAGTTTTTACTAACGTCGTCGTGCACCGCTTTGCTCTCAAGCATTTTGCTGCGTCTGGTGACATTCTTCTTTTATTTGAGAATAAATGATTTGCATCACATGCATCCAATATACTTTCATACTAATATATTCCTCTGCTAATCACAATACATTATCCCTCGTAGTTTTTAGACTGCTGATATTAGCCTTTCAGTATCACTAATACTGATCAGTATTATCCATTCTTTGATAATAATAATATGCATGCTTTATTGGGAAAAAAATGTTCCTTTGTAACTTACAGCTCAGGTTCATAACTTCCAGTGTTTTTAATCCAATGCGGTTTTACTCAAAGCTTTGCACTTGAGTAGAACCATTCTTTACTCAAATACACCTACTTTTTTTGTACCTACCTTATATTGGCTACTACTGCCAATATAAGGCATGAAATGCCAGTGAAACTGATCAGTGTTGCCATTTCTTTGCTGCTATTTGGCATTATTCATTTGAGAAAAAATGTATACTTGTCATTCATATTTGTAATCTAAAAGCGTTTATTATTTGCTGCGGATTTTTTAACAGCTTTTAACCGCCAGTATCAGCCACTTATTTCATAATGTTTTTCATTCAATCTTCGTTTAGTTTAATGTTTATTTGTAAATTATACTCATAATTCATTCGCGTCTATTATTCAACGCGACGATAACGACTAACCCGTATTCAGAGAGTGTGGGCGTCGCCAGTGGGTGTGGTCACAGCAGCGGGGGAGATTTGCTGCTCTCAGAGATGGTGCGCGTGCGCTCCTACAACTACAAGACCATCAGCCTCTCATACGGGCCTAACTTCGCTGCTTACTGCATTGTCAAGTATTCTTCTAGTGACGCCGCCTTCCACCTAGAGTTTGGTATGTCATATATATTTGATATTTCAAATGAAAATAAACTAATAAACTAAATTAAGTTAATGTAACTACGCTACATAGATGAGAAGAAGTATTTTTATTGATCCCTATTTATTTTGATGTCAAATTTTGCATTATGATTTTGTGTTGTTTTATGTTCCAAACTTCCAATTCCCATGATTACTATAAGTAATGTCGCATAATCTTCATTCCAATGTAAGGAAAACAGTTGTGTTCGTCATGCTCAATGTTGTTGTTCTTGACAAACTGCTAGGTTTTGTTAATAAAGCAAATTAGATTATTGACATTGATGAAAATGCCAAAAATGTAAAGGAGAAGAAAATTTTGCGATTACAATTAATTGAAAACTCCATTGTCAATTCAACCATCCTAGAATGCAAGTAAAATCAATTAGTTAACCAAAATTCACTAGGATTGCCGAATTGGCCGAATTGGCGATGAAGTTGGAATTCGAAACGTTTATGTCTACTATCAATATTTTGGAATTTGTGTGCTATTTTCTTTCTTTTTAAATTCTTGATAAATTGTCAGTTCAACCAATCAAGTGATCGTAATGTAATGCAGGTTGCGAGGGCGGCGTCCGTGGTGGTAGCAGCGGCAACACTAGTAGCACGGGCGGAAATAGTGGCAGCACAAGTGGCAGTGGTGGCAGCGGCAGCAGCAGCGGCAGTGGCGTGTGGGCCATCAACCCACACAGTCTGATGAAGGCTCAACTGCAGGAGGAGGTTGAGGCGGCCAAAGAAGACGGCCTCATCCGCCTCGCGTGTCTGCTGCACACAACCTACCAGCCCTGCCTCGCTCTCGCCAACCTCCAGCCCACGCTGCATCCTGGCGTCCTGGAGAAGGTTTGGCCTCCTGAATGTCTTATTATTTAATATTAAATATTTTTTATTTGGCCTCCTTCAGTTTCTCCTGAATGTCTTATTATGACATAAATTTTGAGTGGCATGAGTGGGGACTTGATCAATGCTGCAGAATGGCTTTCTGAAAAAAAGCATTCTGTTGCCTTTTTCGGATCCGTTTAATCTCTGTCTTCAACTTTGCATTAATGCCCTACATTTTTTTGACGAACTGTAACAGTTCATTTCGATTTCTCACGAATCTCTTGCTTGGACAATATATTGCCAGTTCTGTTGTTGTTGATTAATTCCTTGTATTTCAGCAATACATGGGTTGTCCGGTGAAGGTATTAAGTGTTACAGAATATCCTCCTTAAATATAATATTAAGTTAAATATTTTAGGTGTTTTAACAAATTTCTGGCGATTGACCGTGTATTGCTAATGTTTATCTTTAATTTTTTCATAATTTCTTGCATTGCAGCGCTACCTTGGCTGCCCAGTGGAAGTGTTCAGCGTGGTGGCGCACTCAGGCAGCGTGGTGCGTGTGATCTATCGCAACCTCTACTGCCTCGCCATCCAGATGTTGCCGGGAGGGCTCGTCGCTGTCAGGGATGGAGCTTTCTCTTCTTTTGACAATTCCAGGATCATTGATGAATTCCACCCTATTCAGGGTCTCAAGGTAAGCTGTATGCTGGGATAAATTTTGCCTTAGTAAAATCTCGAAGCAAAGATTCCAGTGAGTTTCTGTGACTTTTGTGATCTAACTTACAAGATGAGGGGAAAAAATTTAAATTTATTTACCCACGCTAGATATAAATGAAACTATCGATAGATTTTAGTTTGTACCGAGAAATGAAAGTTTTTAGGGTAATTTTTTGGCATGGACGATATTCATCTCTGTTGCTCACGGCAGCTGAGCTGTAAAGCGTCTAAAGTTTGTCACCCAATAATATAATTTGTTTGAATAATATAATGTGAATAAGTAATAAATTGTTATAATGTGCGGACAACAGGCATTCCTTAGCAAATACGTGGACGAGAGCGCCCTCAGTCGGCGCCGCTCTCAGTCCGAGGACGACAACCCGCCCACGCCCGTCGCCCTGGACGACTCGCCCTGGCCCGTCCCTGCGAAGCCGTCCTCCCCCGCCAGACACGGCCCCATCACCCCACCCGTCTCCTCAAACCCCCACACCCCTGCCAGCCCTCATCCCGTCAGTACCTTGGTTTTTGTTCTCACTTTTAATCTTTGTATTATTACGGGACCTCTCGGTCCCAGGCAAGAGAAATATATGTATTATACAAATAGCAATAGCATATAGAAATAGCATTGGCAACGGTAAATATATCCGTAGATAAACGGATCAACTTGTTTCTAGTTCCCTCAAAATGAAACGTGCACTCGAAGATTTAATTCTACTTCATTCGTCGCAATAATCTCTTCGTAGAATAATAATAATACAAATGAAAATAATCTTGAGCATCGTGTAGTAAATATTTTGAATTCCAAATTGTGTGATACAAGTACCACAAAGCTGACCTCGTTTTGTGGTTTCTTTAAAGATCGTGTTGAAATTAGAAACAAACCTTACCTATGATAGAATTTCTTTCATGTGAACTTCGTTGGATGAACTTTTGGAATAGAAAAATAAGAGATATTTACGTGCGCCTGCGGGTCAAATATTTGCAGTACTCTGCGTAACACATCGAAAGATTGCTAGGCATAGATGAACGTATTTATTTGGTCCCGTGAGCTATTATTTTGCATCACCATTTGGTATCCAGCCGGCTGGTTTTTCACCGTAGGTAAAGTGACGTTAATACCGTTGTGTTAATACTGTTGTGCTAATGGTGACGTAGTAACAAAGGTTGCTGTTGTGCTAACAGTGCAGTTAGTTACGAAAGTAACTGTTATGCAAGCGATGACGTAGTAACAAATGTTGCTTTTGTGCTAACGGCGACATTAGTAACCAAGTTGTCCGTTGTGCTAACGGTGCCATTAGTAACTAAGTTGTCCGTTGTGCTAATGGTGCCATTAAAAACATAGGTTGCCAGCGGCTTCAATGCCAGCCCGGCGAGTGGAGGAGCCTTCCCCCTGGCCTCACCCCCGTCCCTGCCCGGCATGAATCCTTCCCCCGCTGGAGGCCACATGTCACACCCATCACCTGGGGCGTTCCCTGCAGCCTCTCCGTCAGGCAGCCTGCAGCAGCAACACAGCGTCGCGTCCCCAGGGTTCCTGACGGTGCCCTCCCCAGCAGGAGGAAATGTATCAGGACTTGCGGCCATGCAGTCGCCTGCCGCGTACATGCAGGGTCAGATAATACTTACTTATATTCGCTGAATTTTTTTACAGGGTAACTCATTCGTTACAAATGCATTATTGCACTATAATAATGCATGCTCTGCATTGTCAGTGCAGTAGCTAAGTAGTTTTTCCTTTGTGAAAAGTATGAGTAGTAAACTTCGTAGTCTTCCAATGTAACTATTTCATGTACATTTATCTTGGTTTACCAAATCTAATTCAACTTTTTTTATTATCGATTACTCTCATGGTATTTTCATTCATCATTATACTTAGAGGAATTTTGTCTATTCAAAAATAATATATTTAATTATATACATGTATTGTAATGTAGGTATTGTAATCCAGTTTCTGTTGATATAGTTTAAAAAGAAGAATTTAAGAAAAAAATATGTTCTAGCATTCATAAAAAAGTGTAATTTTGAACGAAATTATGAACTATTATTAACTAGGATTGAATTACAGGCGGTAATAGCGTGCAAATGTCACGAGTGCTGCCGAACAAGACCTACGCTGCCGCCATCCCCACGCTACTCTCACACCACGCCTTCCACAGCCTCTGCTCCCAGCCTCCTCCCCACCAGGTTTATAATCGTCTTACTCTCATTAAACCTCTGAGTTTTTGTTATATCAATAATTTAGAATATTGTGCAAGACTGACATATCCAACAATTTTTAGTTATATCAATAATTTAGCATGTTATATTATACTGAAGTATCCAACTCACCGATGCTTAATACTACTAAATGCTTTTAAAAAAAACTTCTGATTGTGTATAATCTAAGATGAACAGGTGTATATACAACATGTATTCAACAAAACTGTTAGTGTATATACAAGATGGTGTGTTTTGTATGAGCAGGTGGTGGGCGAGGAGAGCGGGGGGCCAGCTTGTGTTCTGGAACAGTTCCTTGGATCAACGTATCTGCGTCGTCATCTCCATCAGGCGTCGAAAAATTACAATGAATCTGTAAGTAACTTGATATTGCAATCAATTATAGTCGTCTGTATTCAGTAGTAATTGTCTTCTCTTCTGTCAATTCCAGTTTGGGATCTTGTTCCAGTTTTCACGATTCTTGTCACCATGAATGCTGGGCTTAGTTTTATTGACTCAAAAGTATTAGTTTTTCTCACTGTTTCACGTTTATAATTGCTCTGAATCTAAATATTTTTAATCAATGGAAAATATTACTTCTCATCAACATTTTACGGACTCTTTTGAGACATATATTTTCAGTAGCTGAAGACTGTTTTCATGTCACGCTGTCCTAATTGTGCATGATTTCAGTCCAAATACTAGAGTAACATTCTGTGAATGAGTGAGACTTCATCCAAACTACGATGCACTTTTTACCCATGTTTGGGTCATCAACACGTCAAATACACGCATTTGTGTTACATCCGCTCATAGCTCTTTCCGTGGGTTAGAAGGTATCACTATTTGCTTAGTACGACCCAATCATTTATCATTGACAAATATAGTGACATTTCCTCCTTGTCACTGCCGCACAGCCGAGTACTGAGGGCGGCAGCGTGCAGTTCAAGACGGACAGTTTGTTGGTGTGCGCCTCGCTCGTCTCAAGCCCCATCAACTGCCTCAACCTCAAGCTCCAGCCGACCCCTGAGTACTCCGACCGCTGGTCTCCAGAGGAACTTCAGGTTTGTTTATCCTTTTTACTTTATCGTTAAATCTTCTGAAATATGCGAAATAAGATTTATCACTTACCGAAATGTTGATCTTGAAATTGAAAATGTTAAGACTTGAAAATTATAGTTGATATAACTATTTGTCTACTGATATATTCAGCGTCGTCTTAGCTATTCGTATCTAGTGCCTGTTTACTAGAGTTACCTTCAAGAGACTAGAGTTCCTTAACTTATTTATGTTCTAGATGTAAAATAAAATGTATAAAAAAAATTTTTAAAGTCCACGTTTTTCATGTGGACTCAAAAGTAGAAAATATTTTTCGGCAGCTACTGATCTCTGTTTGCTTTCATTCTCTTGGTCTTTTGTATTTCAGTGGGAAAGTTGGTGAAATATCGATTGCAAGATTTGATCATCACAGACACGAAAGCGAGCTAAGAAAAACGTGGTAAAATAGACTCTTGCAGCTTTGATATAAAAGTCAATTAATAACGTTCATCTATAACGTTTAGTACTTGAGTCTAAACAATGAGAGTCTAGCCCCTGCCTAGTATAAGTTTCATGTATGTCTTTCTCGACCTATTAACTAATATTAAAGGGAGGGCACTTCTTTTTTTGATATATTCAGATTTTACTCTTTCTTAAAGCTATTCAGTTTGATAAATGTATCCTGATTTATTGTATGTATTTATATAATATCTTCAAATGCCATTGTCCGTTTTTCAGGTCCTGGAGAAGTTCTTCAGCCTCAAAGTGGCCTGCGCGCCCTACAAGCCCAACGCCATGACGGCCTTCCACCAAATATTGCGTTTTCCTCAGAAAATCCTGAAGGATTGTGTACGAATTATGCAGCTTGAACTGGTAAATTCATCAAGAAAACATGGTTCTAATTAAATAATTAAACTTTAAGCTTATTCAGTGGTTTCCTCTTATCTAAACTGAAATTTGTGTCGCATTTCATTTAATAAAATGTGTACTCAATGCTCGCGAAGGTTTGCTTCTTCCCAGCAAATGACTTTGAAACTAAGTTATTTAAGAAGAGTGAATTTTGATTGACTTTTCGAAACAACGTTAATTAGTAAAGCCCAATCAACGTTAGTTCAAAGTTAATTATCTAGTGGGTTCTCTTGATGACGTTCAATGGGTACCTCAATGGATTAGCGCTAACATTTCTGTTATGTTATGGCACAGCTGGGCAGCGGTCAGACGGGTGCCAAGTGGCTGGTGCAGTGGTGTCTCACTGTTCCTCCTATCGGGCCTCAGCTCGTACCGCCCGGGGCCGTGGGGGTCATTTCGACACGCAACAAAATCCTCTTCTTCGTAAGTATTTTACCGGGGAAGACATTAACTATTAGGTAAATAAGTCTGTGTTACTTGTTCATTCATATCCAGCTTCACTTCCTGCACTATTCACACCTCGTTGTTATCTTTTTTGAAAGCTGAAATATCTGAGTAAAATTACAAGTAAAAGCTTCCTTCTCAATGCTGCAGTGATTGATTTCAAGTCTATATTGTACTCATGTTCAAATTCAGTTGACCAAAGCTGGCGTCAGAACGAAGAGCAATTACTGATGATAGATGACTTTTTTAGGAAGCATTAAATAATAAGTGTTAATGGCACTGCTGCTGTTTATACTCGACTTTGACTCTTCATTATTTGCCGTGCTCAGCTTCAGTTGACTCGAGCTAGCACGAGCACCGAGAGCGACTCAACAGGAGGCGGGGTGATCGTTCCAGTGGTGCACGACCTCAACACCAACAAGACTCAGATGGCGCGTCGCTCTGAACAACCCGTGGCATCGCCATCCGACATCAGCTCTCGCGTGTCGCAAGCCATCAATGAGCTCATGATGCGTCCGGTTCTGCCTCTGCATGAGAGCTCCGTATTCCCGGGTGTGCGCGAGCTTGTAATGCACTTGAATATCGGTACAGATGGTCTACCTTACCCACCTACTTCGCAAACACCGACGCAACCGCCCACGCTACCTTCTGCCAGCACTAGCTCCTCGGCACAGATCGCCTCGCCTCATAGCCTAGCGTCTCCACACAACATGGCATCTCCGCACACTCCAGTTGCTGCCAACGCAGGTCTCTACTCGCCTGCTTCGTCCGGACACTTGCAGTCGCCGGCCATGAGTCAGACACCCATAGCACCCAACTCCTCCATGATGCAGCAAGGCAGCATGGTTCAGTCCATCAGCATGGGACAAAATACTGTTATGGGACCAGGCAATACTATGGGACCAGGCAATACTATGGGACCAGGCAACGCTATGGGACCGGGCAACGCTATGGGACCAGGCAATACTATGGGACCGGGCAACGCTATGGGACAAGGAAATACTATGGGGCCAGGCAATACTATGGGACCGGGTAGTACTATGGGACCAGGTAATGCTATGGTACCAGGCAATACTATGGGACCAGGTAATACCATGGGGCCGGGCAATGCTATGGGACCGGGTAATACTATGGGGCCAGGCAATACTATGGGCCCGGGCAATGCAATGGTACAAGGTGCCGGCATGGGAACAACATCCTCGATGGGTCAACCTGGCTCCATGGGCCAGCCTGGCCTCGTGACGCCCAACATGGGCATGCAGAGCCCTCGTGGTATGCAGCCCGGCATGCAAGGTATGCCTGGTATGCAAGGTATGCAGCCTAATATGCCCGGCCCGCAGAGCATGCAAGGGAATTATGGCTCAGGCATGTATCGGTAAACGAGATTTATTTCTCGTGCGCAAATGTTCGAAATTAGGTTCTTGTTCATAGACCTTCCTTCAGCCACCTTACAGGGCGTTGACGGGATCATTCTAGTGGTTGTAAAATGAGTATTGAATATGCGCCTCTACTTGATTACGCCTAGTAATATTTATTGCATTGTTCATGCCTGCGAATTATTAAGATAGGAATTAGTTGGTCTGAATTGGTCAACGATGTCTAGACTTGAATGACTCGTGTCTTGCTATGTGTCTTACTACGTTCTTATGATGCTTTATGAATTCTATTATTTTAAAAAATTCCCGACTATTGTTAGCCTAGACTAGTTGATTATCTTCATTCATGTGTTAATACAGTTGAAGATGTTTGCTATTTATTAATAGTAAAAATTTAAAATCATAAACAATGTTAAGCAAATACACCTCATTTTAGCTGAAATACTTCGTTATAATATTTTCGAAGCACATTGTCCGTTTATCAGGTCCTGGACCTTATGGGACCTGGGTCTCATTTCAGGTCCTGAGTCTAGATCAGGTGTACAATTATAATTTAACAGGCGTCTAGATTAACGCTGTCGCACAGAATTGACAGGTTTGTTTAAATTTTATGGATGAATTTTGAATAATAATCTGGGCCTATACTTTAAAAAAAATTAAGAGATCGTAAGTTCATCAGCCAATCTTTGACGGCCTTTCAAGATAAATCCACCAATCATAGACAAGAAAATAGAGCGTAAGTACTTACGTTCACTTAGCGAGTTTTGAAAGTATGGCCTCAGGTCTCCGAAATGGTTGCCCGAGTTTGATTTTATCGTTCCACTGTGAACTTAATAATTTTTGTTTATCATCAATGGTGGCAAAACCAAGAAAAAATTGTTTATATTGTATAGTATTTTTCGTAAGAAGATATGAGGTCTCTTTAGTATTGCTAACACGAGGTCCATTCATTCTGTCTTCTCGCCTCATTTGGTGTCTTTCGAGAAGTTCTGTTTAAAATCCAGTCACGAAAATAAGTAAAAATCCATGCCAGTCACGAACTTGTCGTGGTTCTCAATGAATGCAAATGTGAGTAATGATGATCTTGAACTCTCTGGTGGTGAATGCGCTCTTCAAAAATAGTGACTCGAGCTCATTCAATTATTTTATTCTGACTATACGCGTTATAGGTGATGAATTTCGTGCTAAAACGAGTATGAAATGGTGTTCCGTAATGAGCTGCTGGGGTAACAACCTAACAAATATTTTTGTGGCTAGTTCATTGATAGGTTTAGAGCCGTTTAAAAAGTGCAACATAAGTAATTATTTAAATGTATTGGACCATTTTATATATGCAAATAATTTAGTTGATGCGCGAGGCACTTACATTTTGTGATGTTCTACTGTTCAATATTGCTGTCGCCATTCCTGCTCGAATGGTTCATTGCGCCATAACTCTAAGGCTCTGACACAAACTTGTGCGGGCTCAACGGGGTAGGGAAAAGTTGACTTGCTTTTTCTCCCGTTTATTTGTGAACGCCGGGATGAGTGAAGATTTTAAGAAAGAATAGATGAGGATAGGAAAACATAGTGCGTTGAATCTGACGAGTGACGAACGACGTCACAGGCTCTGTTTGTCAGCGTTTTAGAAAAATCATCGAACTATTTATTTCTGGACATTAAAGTATTAAAAAGTTTCTTCTCCAACTTCTGCCATTATGCCCATAGCTGACCAGTGGAAGAACATTAACTCTGCCATCCACACTCCTGAAAATGGAGGGCGTAGATTTTATGGTGTCGTTACCCTTGTGCAGACGAGACGGGTTTTTATATAAATTATAATTCTACACCAGACATTTTGCTGGTTGTCGCTAATTGTTCAAGTGAAATGTATTATATAATTATGTTCTATAATGAGTTCATGTATAAAATGTTCAGTTGCAACATCTAAACGCTGTCTGGTATATTTGAATGAAAATGTTCTAATATGATGGCACTCTAACCTTTTCCAACATGCATGAAGCATACAATGTGTGTTACATTGATTAATGTGTATTACATAAGCAGTCTTCATTTCTGTTGTTTGATAGTAAGAACATGAAAATTCTTATCCCTGAATATACTTGTAAATATAGCATTTCTTCCAGCTTGTATCAGCAATTCTTTCACAACTTTTTGTTTCAACTCGGTAGATTCCGCAACAGTGTTCATCAATATCATTCATCTGTTTCATTTAATAATGTAAGAAGCTTGTAAAATGTTAATTGTTAAGGTGCCTGTACACAGGGATAGTACTAGCCGCTAGTTCATCCGGCGCTTGAACTGTCCACGCTACTAGCCTCGTGTATAGGGGTTCAGTCCGCTCCTGTGAAGTATCTTGGGTCAAGTGAATCATGGCTTGTTTGAACGATAATGTTTCTAAGAGGAATCCAACAAAATGGATTCCAGACGATATTCAATTATTCTTTGAAATAGGAATTAAAGTGGAATGTTTGCCATGACGGTTACTCCAACAAAATGAAGAGAGGAACGAGTATTTTGAAACTGGAAGAAGACCTTATTAGTTAGGGTTTAGTTGTTCCTGACGTTGCATTTTTAAAGGTTAGAATAAAGAGTATAAAAACGACGTACAGACTCGAGTTGTTGGAGGTGATCCCACTATCCATCTTCGCAGACCTCACTCGACGGCTTCTAACGACGCACTGGCGGGCGCGAACGAGAAGATAGCGGCACCTTCTACTCTCCTCGTGTGTACAGGCTTACTAGCCGGATAGTAACCAAGCGACCGACACTAGCCAGATTTACTAGCCGTCTGCACTATCCCTGTGTACAAGCACCTTTAGACAAACGAACGAAGCCCCCTGCCTCTAGATTGCGCCGCGGTGAAGGTATATATACTGAGCGGTCTAATGAGGACTTTATACTGCAAAATTTTCAGTAAAATTATGAAAATTGTGTTATTTTATTGATTCTGAACCAAATATTTTAGAAAGTGAAAAAATATAACTCAGTACTCACTGAAGTAAGTGACAGAGAGCGCATTTTCTCGTCGACGAAAACTTGAGGTCACGGGCGGACGGACAGACAGATAGACGGACATGGCGAGCACAATAGTGCATTTTTTTCATAAATGAGAAAATGCGCTAAAAAGAGCTGAAGAAATACTACTTTCTTTTTATTCCGCTTTTTTTCCTAATTCTTCGCTGTTAAATGCTGTTGCGCCAACTCTTTACCTGTGTAAGTATTTTCATAAGTTTGATACTAATACCGAGTAGTAACTGACATTCAGCAAGATAACACTTACCTTCGCGTGTCTATTTCCTTAGCGTCGTAACCATGTAGGGGCCTTGGCAATTATAACTAATAAAAAAATTTAACTCATCCGCTTGCCCGTCATCTATTCCTGCGGCCGCTTTTCCCTTTCCCTGTGACATAGAAATGTTAACATCTTTAAGGCTTACGATGGATCTTTACTCTCAAAACTCTTTGAAACCACCCGAGTGTGTTTAGTGTGCATTAATGAGATTTTTTCAGATTTAATTAACAAGTTATACAGCAAGACAGACAAATCATCGGTGAATAGTTTATATATCGAACAAACATCAGCTCGAAAAACCATTTCCCTACGTTGATTTTCTCATTAAGAATAATCTTTGTATGGGCTCGAATAATCGTATTACTCATGAATGAAAAAATTAAAAAGTGTATACTGTTCGGATACGAGCAGGTAATCTCATGGTTGAACTATAAAAGGATTATTAGCGGTCGTCATGAATAAAATGACACTTCCCAGGGTAGCTAACTTACCTTTTTTTTATTGGATAAGCTAGACATATTATTTTAGACTTGTCCATCTTGATAAAGTTCATTCCCATCGTTTAGCTACAAATGTAGCTGATAGTGATACTCCCTAGCCATTTTATGGCTGATTATTATTGAATCAAATGAATTTTTAAACAGGAAATTTTATATGAAGATAAACCTACGAAATAGTTTTTTTTTTCTTCATATGCTGTAGCTATTTACGTAACGACTGATAGTAAACATGATGAGAACACGTGTTAACATGTTTCAAAGTAGAAGGGGTGGCACGGTAATGAAGCTGGAAGAAAAACTCAGTTTATCTGTCACCAACCATAGTAGGCGCAATGCAGCTGGAGATCGGAGACACTACACTGCGATTGTAGGTCAAACATAGTGGATCTAATGAATCGGAATAATTTATGGGAGAAAAGTCACATAAGCAAATAATATTCATATTCGGATGTAATAAATTATTATTGAAATTACTGCTACAACACTAGGATATCAAACCTATTTTGGCTAGAAAATTTGTAATTTCGCGCTGATAATCTATTCCGAGAGTTGGTAGCACTGCAGTTCTGGCGATTTAGTCGGGATCTCTTCGTCGCAGTGGCAGTGCCTAGGATCAGTGATCATCAGTCGTTACTTCGACACGTTGTCGCGCGGTTGTGTGACGCGTACTGTGACACCGATTAAAAGAGCTCACGCGATCGACGGTTTTAAAGCATCTTTTCAGTTCTGTATACCCCTGCCATATTATTCAGTCTAGGCATGGGTTCATTTAAAATCAGAAAAATATTGCTACTAGATGGAGTTGATGCAATTTGTGCTACTAAACTGGAGGCTGCTGGGTTGGAAGTTACCATCAAGCCTAAACTTTCCAAAGACGACTTATTGAAGGAAATACAGGTAGGTCAGTATATTATGATACCAATCATTTTGAACGGTAATTTTAGATTATCACAAGAAATAATAAACAAACTAAATTGATGCTATGCTCTCATTTATATGTATATTTTTACGTTTGAATTTCACTTTTATTGTATAAGTAGGTATATAGTCGTATACTGAAGTAGCTACTATACCATAGGATAATAGGATTAGGTATAGCCTTCCGAGAAGAAAAATTTATATTTCTGTATGAACTTTAACCCCCGTTTCTGGGACGTGACATTTATTTCAGAGATGTGACTGTCAGAGACGTAACATTGATTTGATGGAAGTATTGCTCACATTATTGTTTTCGGTATATATACTGAGTTCTAATTAACTACACAATGAGAAGAGAATACATGTGCATGTGGGGGCGGGTGGGGCGGGGCGAGTGCGACTGTGCGAGACTGACCTCTAACAATCATTTACAATGTCATTGTCCTTCAGTTTGAATCGGGTGTTGTATTTTGAGATCAAATGTGCGGTTATGTGCCTATATTTGTTGTATAAAACTTTGAAATTAAAATCACTCATTTAGCCATGATGAAATGATTTTTACATAAGGTTTAGTTGAATTACAATCGAATGCAAATTATTCGATTTTAAATTTCTAAAGCCTAACTTTAATTTCATGCTATCATTGCCATGTGCTGTTTCTTCAAGTTCGTTATGTTTGACCCTGCCTCGAAAAATGAAAGAGTCGTATTGTCCAAAGGTACACACTTTCTTACCCGCAGAGCTTATAGCGGTCGTATCACCGATAGTCCTTCCCTCCTTCAGCCGGACCAACTTGTGTGGGTGAAGTTGACTCATATTGAAGGATGTGTCGTTATGACCCACACAAGGGCCAAAAGTAGATTACTATTTGGAGAAAAGCTCGCTCATTTCTCTAAGAATAATAGCCTAGACGTCTCTCTGTGCAGAACTATGAAGGAGTTGTGGTGCGGTCTGCAACACAGATCACAGCCGAGGTGCTGGCAGCAGGCACCCGCCTGCAGATGGTCGGCCGGGCCGGTGTCGGCACCGACAACATCGATGTCGATGCCGCTACTCGACGCGGTGTCTTAGTCATGAAGTGAGTGAAAGCAGCTGAGTTATCTGGTTTTTCACTAGTTTACGACTGATGATTATAGGATTCTTCGACCTCTTTGATCATGGATCAGAGATTTTCTAGTAGGTAGACGACAACGTGTCAGAATTAAAGGAACCGTGTCAGACTGGGCATCAGTGCGCAGTGGCGTGCCACAAGGAAGCGTCCTGGGGCCTATTTTGTTCGTTGCTTTTATAAATGATCTGCCAGAAGTAGTTATCGCCAGTCATGAAAAGATCCGGTCAAATGACACGAGTTTAGATCTATGAACAAGGCACGAAATGGAAAAGAATCGGCGACAGGCCACATCAGGCCTACACTTCAGAGCCGACATCACTATGTTATGTTATGTTATGACATTACCATCAATTTCTCATGCTCTACACAGTACGAGTCCAAGCCGTAGCTCGTCAATGGAGACTATAGAACTGACTTTGAAAATGTCTGGCCTCTCTGTGAGATAAGAAAGGAAATTTTATACCATTGACATCATACGTATGAAAAATAAAGAATTTTTCGGTAGCATAAAAAAGATTTATGAATACAATACATCGATCAAGAGAGAATTCTTGTGTTCATGATAATGTTAATTCTACTTCATAATCTCGGAAATCATCTTATTAATTAAACGCCTTGCTCAAAGCATGACAGGAATATTAACGCTTTTGGGTCTTCATTGTCCCGTTGTTCATAAACCTCGTCTTTAAATATGTACATGAGTAGGGGAAACTGCACTACAGTCTGTAGGCTACTAAACGGACGACAATTTCTGCATTATTTTGTGAGAATAATTGAAGTTTACATCTTAACCCTCTACCGCGTGACACGAGTACCGGAGCAATATTGTCACAAGCCTATTCCTCAAAAAGAATGCGTTGCTAGTGAGCGCAAAATTACTTACACTGATTGTTGCCGCCACGTGCAAATTTAAAATGTTCTCTGTTGCGTACAAATGTCCTCAGGTTGCTACACTCAATAGTTAACGTATAATTTAAGATGAACGTTGTTCCCGGAGAGTGACAAACGGCGTGAACATCTAGTTGACTAGGCTCCGACATTTCGGGTCCGACAGAATACACAACAATTTTCGTTTTCTTATGGAAGTCAATACTCGCAAATGTGATGTGATTTACTAGTTCTTAGTCGTAGGTTTTTTTTTCAATTATCTTCTTAGTGGTAGAGTATGAAACGAAAAATTCGAGCGGTAAATATGCTGTTTAGCACGAACTTTCAAGTGCAAGCTTTGACGCCAGCATTATAAATCCAGTTTTGCGAACTGCTATTATTGTAGCCTGCCCTGTAGTGTACGATTGACTCGAAAATTAGCCGCTTATTGCCATTGAGACTTGATAGGAAAAAGTCTTGTATTGGAATAACACGTACAGCGGTACTGCTACTCGCCGTACACGACTATCGTTCATTGGTGCGACGAAGTCATGACGGTTAGATACAAGGCCACGTTTATGGACTGAGGGTGGGGTGGGGTGAGACCGACCACAAACAACCCACAGCAGAACTGCACTTATAGTTAGGCATAGGTACTGAACTTGTTAGCCCACTTGAGGCTAAGGCATAAAACAGTTAGGCCAGATAATGAAAGATACGTAGTAGGGAAAACGACCGTCTTGGTTCACGTGATGGATTGTTCAACTTCGAAGTATTCGTGCTGTAAGCAAGGAACTTGTATGTATTTTCGTTCAGTATATTATAGCTTAGTTTAAAATAGATGCAGCTGCTGCTAATATTGAATCGACACGTGCTCCTTCAAACATGTATAGGTAGACGATTTCTTAAAATCTGGATGATAAAATTCAAGCATGTTCTAAAGTTTACTAATATATATTATTAATATATCCAAATAACCTAAAAAAGTCCATCATAAACATGGAATTTGTCCAATCTTCGATGAGTGAGATGCATGCATCGCAGCATCCATCGCTGATCATGGCAGCATTCGCATGTCTTGCCTGCCACGTGAGCAGCGAGCAATGGCTGAGCCAGACAAACATGAGCGGGACTGTGTTCGATCACAGCCAGGATGACGGTTATTTGTTAACGGCCATGACGATCGTTAACGGCCACGACGATCGTTAACGGCCATGACGATCGTTAACGGCCATGACGATCGTTAACGGCCATGACGATCGTTATCGGCCACGACGATCGTTAACGGCCACGACGATCGTTAACGGCCATGACGATCGTTAACGGCCACGACGATCGTTAACGGCCACGACGATCGTTAACGGCCATGACGATCGTTATCGGCCATGATGACGGTTGTTAGACGGCCATGGTCGAATATCCGCGGGGTTTCATTTTTGTTGGCTCGTTTCCAGAAATGTTCAAAAATTATGATGCCATTTCCAATTAAGATGCCATTACGTTTCCTCCCTAACGAGGTTCGGATCTTCCTCCGCTCGTATTTTCGATATAGAGCTTCTCGGTTTTTCCGATACGCGTAATCAAATTTACCCTTCATACCCTTTACCCACTTCCACAATAAACATGATTCGTTTGTTTGTTAAAATAATTAACTTTTCCAGGTATCCCTGCACTAGTCATCAATTGGAACAATTGATTGAATCAATTGGAACAATTGATTGAATCAATTGGAACAATTGAAAAAATTATTTTGCAAGCTCAAGCGACAAAAAATTCAATAAATAAATCAAAGCAAATTTTTTGAAGAAAGTACAAGAATCATTTAACGGATCAAACAAACTAGTCGTTAGTTCACTGCTTAGTACCTGGTAAATTCGATCACCTGTCCTATTTATGAGCCTATCATTTTCGCAACAATATCCTTCGTACTCGCGATCCTTCAAAACTAAGCATAAATCAATACATTTTCGTCCGCACCGACCCTGCAACTCCTTGGCTGGCCTGGCGCTGCGGATCCACGCTGCCTTATCAGGTTTTCACTGGAAAAATCCTGTTCCCGCCGCAGAGGTTCGGAAAATCGCCAGAAAAAACGCTCTACTTGAAATATCGTCGAGCAGATGATATGAAATTAAGGCTGGAAAAATGGATATGTGCAAAAGGTTGCGTAGGTACTTTTTTCATGGAGAGCGGTAGAACGCCCAAGGTCGAAAAATTTCAGTTTACATTTGCAAAAAAAAAAAGTTCTAAAAACGTTAGTAATTATTATGAATTAAGTTCTTCTCTGACATTTTTACTTTTCTCAAACTCATTGATAGACATGAATCCGTCCAGGGTGGTATTTTCTTGAGTTTTCGGAACCTCATGTCGCACACTATACCGGTATGTGAAATATATTATATAATATAATAGACTATAACATATACTGTAACTCGTCCGCAGCACGCCTACCGGCAACACCATAGTATCGGCCGCCTCATGTGGCACACTATATGTGAAATATATTATAATGTATAATAGACTATAATATATACCATAACTCGTCGGCAGCACGCCTACCGGCAACACAATATCGGCCGCCTCATGTCACACACTATATGTGAAATATATTATAATGTATAATAGACTATAACATATACCATAACTCGTCGGCAGCACGCCCACCGGCAACACAATATCGGCCGCAGAGCACACATGCGCCCTCATCTGCTCGCTGGGACGCTGCCTGCCGCAGGCGTGCGAGTCGCTCAAGGGCGGCGTGTGGGACCGCAAGAAGTTCATGGGCAATGAGCTCTACGGCAAGACCTTGGCCATCATAGGGCTGGGCAGGATCGGCAGAGAGGTACTGTTTCTTATGGAGTCTTAGCCCTACAAGACCTTTTCTATCAGGCATCTGACGTTGAAATTACGTTAAATATACGTTATCAAAATGACGTTTGTTATCGATCACTTTCGAGTCGCGACCACTTACGAGTCCCGAACCACTTACGAGTCTCGAACCACTTACGAGTCACGAACCATTTACAAGTCATGAACCACTTACGAGTCACGAACCACTTACAAGTCGCGACCACTTACGAGTCACGAACCATTTACGAGTCACGAACCATTTACGAGTCACGAACCACTTACGAGTCCCGAACCACTTACGAGTCATGAACCACTTACGAGTCCCGAACCACTTACGCGTCACGAACCACTTACGAGTCTCGAACCACTTACGAGTCTCGAACCACTCACGAGTCACGAACCACTTAACGAGTCCTGAGTCACTCACGAACCGCGAAGCACTTACAAGTGACGAGTTTTCTGCAGGTCGCACATCGCATGCAGGCCTTCAACATGACCTGCATCGGCTACGACCCCTTCGTGAGCGCCGCCGCGGCAGCTGAGTGGAACATCGAGGCCTTGCCCCTGGATGAGATCTGGCCCCGCGCCGACTACATCACCGTGCACACGCCGCTGCTGCCACACACCCGCAACCTGCTGGGGGAGGAGGTTCTCATGACCAAGTGTGAGTTGTGGAGCTAAATGCAATTTTTACTTGTGGCCCCATAGGTACTAATATTCCATCACGTTATACGGGACTAGTTTTCCAGCTGAGATAACGCATACAGATTGTGTTTTAATGACGCTAGAAACAACTGTCGCAAGACCGCGTATATTGCAAGTCATTTTTTCATAGAACGCATTGGTACGTACTGTTTGAACATAATTACAGTTGTCGATGGAAAAGGTATTTATTGACTGAGACGCCGAAATAGGCTACCAACCTCTTAAAATTTTACGCATATCAAATGCCGTATCAGTTATCTGACTTTGCTAGACGTTGCTGTGGTCGCCAGGTAAGCCCGGCGTGAAGGTTGTGAACGTAGCGAGGGGCGGCATCGTGGACGAGGCGGCGCTGCTGCGCGCCCTCGAGGCTGGTCGCTGTGGGGGCGCCGGCCTGGACGTCTTCACCACCGAGCCGCCCACAGACTACGCGCTCTGCCGCCACCCCAAGGTGACCAATACAGTTTATAATTCATATGCTTTTTTGCACGCCTTTACAATTTTAAATTGTTTTATTCGTTTGTTAAATTATTTTGAAATGGTGTCGTCCGCTCGTCTTATTATTTTCAATACTTTCATACCTTCTTTAATTACCTATTTTAATTCTGTTTATACGTTCTTTCATTATTTCAAATCCTTTTATGCGTTTGTTTACCTATTTGAAAATGGTTTTATATGTTAATTTAACTATTTAAATGGTTTTATGCCTTCTTTTAATTCTCGAGTGGCACACTGTGAATTGTAGCTTGTACCTGAGGAAGAAAGGCTAAATGAGCTCATATTGTGTTGTCAAATTAACAATTTCCGTAGACTTGTCTTTCTAAAAATAACAACAATAGAACGACTAGGTAGCTAATTTTTATTTTTAAAACGTATTCTTCACTGTAAGATGAAATTAGTCATTGTTTGAGTTGCCTTGGCAAAGCAATGTACTCCATTCAAAGTCAAGTTTCAAAAGTACCCGTGAAAATTGACTGGTATCGCATTATTATTGAAGATATATGGATGCAGATGGGAAGGCAAAGGCTATTCCTGCTCTATAAGCTCCAATGACCAGGGTGGAACTTTGGGAATGTTGGTTTTCGTATTCAATTTTGATTCTGCTGGCTCGCTTGTACAAGGTGATTTATAATGGGAGTGTTTGAGGTCTCTCAGTTTGACATGACAGGTGCATTATGGGTGGCCCAGATGTTACAGTTCTAAGTACCAAGATTGAAAGATTGAGATGCGGGTTCGATCCCAGCTTCCTGTGACAGTTCAGGACAAAATAGGTGAGATGGCTGGGCTGTTGAGAACACGATTACAGCTGTGAATTGCGGGTTTGTAACCCCAGCAAACTGTAAAGTTTCTGCGATGTTTAGAATTGACAATAAGCTGGATTTGGCTTATTAAATGCGAAGACCACGATTAATATATGATATCATCTCCAAACTTTCATCCTGAACCCGTCAAATAAAATACTTGGCAAATTTTTTAGCAATGGGAAAAAAATTAATTAACAATAATAATATAATTAGTAATTTAAAAAGTAATTAATTAATTACTTAAATGGAAATATTCAGGTTGTGTGCACCCCGCACCTGGGCGCCAGCACATTCGAGGCGCAGGAGCGCGTGGCAGAGGAGCTAGCGGACCAGATGGTGTCGGCGGTGTCGGGCGGCCCCATTGCCGGCCTCGTCAACGGCGGCGCCCTCGCCACCGCCAACAGCAGCGACGCCCAGCCATGGCTTGCCCTCGCATCTGCCCTCGGACAGGTGGCCGAGGTCATCGTCTCGGGGCCTTTAACTTCTGTCACTTTGGTGCCCGCAGGTGATGCAAATACTTGCTAATTTTATGTGATAAACTATAGTACTACTGATAAGATATAAATTATTAACCTATTAATAAAATAAGTTATTGTTTAACTTATTATAAGTTATATATACTACTACTGATGATTATAAGTTATATATAATGTAACTGATGTTTAGAAATTATGTGTAATACAACTGATTTTTAGATTCTCAATGAGTTGTAGCTTCAGCTTCTGTCACTTTGGTGCCTTCAGGTGGCAGAAATCCTTAGTGGTAGTTAACAAATGCTCCAAAGATAGCGCAAAATTTGCTTCTACGCAGAAATGTTCATTTTTGGCATCAAAACAACTATGTTTTGGCAAACAGGTGCTTTTGCGAACAAAAATTTGGCGAACGCGTTGTGCAGCGCCGTCCTGGCGGGGCTGCTGAAGAGGTCCAGCAGCGGCACAGCAAACCTCATCAACTCCTGCGTCCTCGCTCAGGACTCGAACATCTCGTGCGAGGTAACTCGTCCCCGTTCTTGTACACTTTTAATCTGTTTCTGTTTCTTGTGGGTTAATGTAATAACTTTGTGATATTCATTTCTTTCCTGCTAACGATTAATTGACTAGGGCTTTCTGGTAATTTTAATGTCTCGCCGGCTTCAGGAAAAGACTGCTGTATCATTCCATTTCCCGTTGTGTATTACTATTTTACTCAATAATAGCCAATTTTAAATCTTTATATACCCATACTTAGTAAATTTAGCTCATTTTTTCATCAATTCATGGGAAGTTAACGTGTTTTTTCGCCTCAGATTGTTCCTCCCAGCGACGAGCTGAAGCCCATCTTGCCTTCTGGGGTCGATAACGGCCTTCTTGTTGCCGTCTCTGGCGCCAATTCCAACGTGAAACTCGTTGGTCAGTTCGAGGCTTATTTCACTCCTATGAACGTCTGCTCTTAAATCGAAGTATTTATTATTGTTATCCTTACAGTTTTCAACAAATGCTCAGCTAAGTGGCAGTGATTTGAAAAGTTACCTTCAAACCTTCTATTTTAAACATTACTTTCTTAATGTTTTCGTTTAATTCTTTGATCTAGTTAGCCACTACATTGATATGTTCTGTTGATTTTAATACTAGACTACGGAAGAAATCCAATGTTTTTCCACAGTGTCGGGTTCAGTGGCAAATGGCCAGCCCCTGCATGAATATCAGTGCTCGAACAGGAATAAAAATAGAACGTTTGATCCACCATCTCAGGTTCGTCGGCTAACGGCCTGCCACTGCTGTACTCGGTCAACGACAGCTCGTGGCCTATTGCCGTGCCCTTGTCTCGCAGTCTCGTGCTGTATCGCTCATTGGCTGCCTCGTCTCCTCTCCCCGCCATTGCCGCGACGCTGGTCAAGGGCGGCCTCCTCAGTCTCGCCTCGTCTGCTGGAGGCTTGTGGCACGTCGCCACGCTAGACTCGCCTGTCACTGAACTAGACGCTAAGGTTCAAGATGTAGAGTACGTCGGACAGGTGTCCTTGTGAGGCTGTCACTAGGTTTAACTTATGGCCAAACACTTGTTACGTCGCCACGCTAGACTCGCCTGTCACTGAACTAGACGCTAAGGTTCAAGATGTAGCGTACGTCGGACAGGTGTCCTTGTAAGGCTGTCACTAGGTTTCACTAATGGTCAAACATTTGTTACGTTGAAGTATTAGTCTCTCTTCGTTAGAAGGTAGATTTTTTTACAACTTTGCTCGTCTTGTCTTTTATCGGTCTGCCTTCCTATGCTGAGCGTTCAGTATGCCTGGTGCTAGAGTGCTTTTTTTTTAATTCTTGTTGGGTCGAATTATAAAGCAGTGCATGCATCATTTGTTGACCGAGGTGACATGCCGGATGTTCTAGGTGGCATCGCAGCGCGGCATGCCAGCTTTTCTAGATAACATCCCGGCTCTGTCTCCTAGTGAAATGACAACTTGTGTCTCCGGAGTTCACGCAATTAACGTAAAGTGAAACGCTAATTAAAGTGTATTTTTGATACGTTCAAGGCTCGTAGATTCTTTGATTAGGTGATGATTTTTTAATATTGTATTCGCAGCATTAACATAAAAAATTTTCTTGCTAATAAACTATTTTCAAACGAACAATACAATTGCAAGTATTGAATCATGCAAACTTTCTGGGATTTAAATACTTTTATATTGCCCGGTGACGCAATTTTTTCATTTATAACTTTATAAAAATGACAATTTTAGCAGCAATAGATAGTCATATATTATCTATTCATTTAGAAAATACATGCTTTCCTTATCTAAGTAGAACCTTTTCTTCCACATTTCCGCTATTACCCAAACTGTTTCATCTCGCCTCTGGCCTCGCCAGTGCGCTCTCCATTATAGTGTTAGTATTGCTTCTCGCTGAGGATTCAATTATTAATCAGAAAATTTCGTGGTTTAAAACTATGTTCCTACTCGTGGTTAGCGCGCTTCACAACTGTTAAAGAACCCAAATTCCAAGTTAATTCAAATCATTCCAACCTCCCCCATTGTTAGGTTGAATTTGCAATATAGTTATTGATAAGAAACGTACTCATTCAAACGGACGTGCTGGAGTGAGGGCATGATTACTCAAATACGTTTCCTTGCATCTTACAATGATGCTTAATGTTAATCACGCTATGGCTTCTTACTCCAGTATATTGTATTTTAGGCTACCAAGCTTTTGAATAGTGTTACCATATTGCACCGTATTATATATTTATCTTAGTGTTTGCTATTTTTCAATATTAAATTGAATTTTAACGCTAGTGTCCTTAATTTTCCTTAATAATGCACTGAAAAATCTCGTCTTAAATTTCCTGCGTTATTACTTGAAAAGCGGCTCATACCAACGAATTTTAATTGCTTTCATGCGCACCTGTCCGTGCGTGTGCAAACTGTCCCTTTTATTGTCAGGTGATGTAGGAAGCTACGGTACAGTAGTTGTTGGAAATGGTCCATCTTGGGGAGAGAAATTCGTTGGTTTTAGGTTTACGAGTGCTCAGACGATTTCTATTCTAGTTTGAGTAATGTGAAAGAGCGTGCAAGTTTACCATTAATAATGAGAATCTGGCGGAAGCAGAAATATAGTGATGTAACTGCGTCAAATAATTATTACTATGGTAAAGTTAATAATAATAATAATAGTGGTTTCAGCGTTTATTAGGCCGTAGGCCTGTCGCCGATTCTTAACATCGCAGAAGATGCACAGCATTTTGCGGTCTCGAACTCGCAACTCACTGCTACAATTCTGCTGTGCTTAACCGCCCGGCCTCCTCGCCGATTCTGACCAGAAACTGGCGCACAGAGCTGGGATCGAACCCGCACCTCTCTAGTGCTTCAATCCTGATACTCTGAACTTTAACCACTGGGCCACCCTGCCCAGTTGAAAGTTGAAGGAAACCGTGTAATATATGAATGACGATGGTATTTCTTATCTTTTTAGCTAATGATTACTCTTAATGGCACACAATAGGCATTAAATACTTTAGCTTGAGATGGTTTGCAACGACAAATTTTGCAGCTTTTTCATAAATATTGCAAAAATTTTCAAGTGTTGTATCGTATTTTACGGACCACGCGGCACATCCGTATGCATCCCGTTATCTGTCCGACGTCACAATTTGGGTGGGCCTTCGTAAACGAGTAGGCTAAACGGCCATAACGAATTGTTTCTAAACTGCAACCATGTTTTTTTTTTGCCCGCACAATTATTCATAGCCTCATCCTATTGTCTATTGCAAATTTCGCTTTTAAGTTTATTCATGTAAGATCAAAATTTGTGTCCATTCCATATGTTGAAGTGAACAAATAACTTCCAAATGACTCATCCTGAATTCCTGTAAATATAATGTGTCACTGTCACTCCAACGTTGCTGCCTCTTGGGTTGTCATAGCAAATAGTATGTTGCTGTCTTCCAATAACAACTTTTCAGGAATAAAATTGTATGAGAACTTTATAGCAAGATCAATCGCCAAAACTGCTGCATATATATTTACTGTATGCCAGTGTATGGTAACTGATGTTTTGAAAACTACAAATTGAACTTTGAACTTTGAAGGCAATGATCTCTATTATTTATTTATTTATTATTTGGTTTTTATTGAAGAGTTGTGTGATGTGTCTGGACTCTGGAGTAGCACAAGACAAGACTTATTGTGCACAAGACTTATTATGCACATTCTTTTGGGTAACGAGACTAAAGTAGTCCAGGGCCAGGGGCCGGATTATCAAAACTTTGTAACTTTTTGTACTTACGACAAAAAAATTCTGTGGTACATAAATATACCCTAATTTTGGCATTATCAAAACTTTTGTATGCAAGTCTTAGCTAAAAGCCTAAATTTTTTTCCCGTGCAAATTTTCCCGGCACAAATGTTTTTATGATACCACCGCTAGCATAGTGGCAAACCAGAGCTTTTTTAGAATCAGTTCATTTTTAATTTCCTCATTTACTCAAGATTTGAACCAATTTCTTAAGTATGATAATGCTGGTATCCAGGATACTTTAGGCCTACTGGTCTACTTATAGAACTCAAAAATGAACTTGAGGGAGAGTCTAAAAAACTCTCTGCTTTGCCACTATGACCGCCCATGGTCAGGAAGATGTGCCAGGTGCGCGGGAATTTATTTTGTCATTTTAACAACCTGCGCTGTGTGCCGTACTATGCTGGTAAAAAAATGCACCGTGCGCTGTACTTTAGAAAGCTAAAATAGTTCTACTATTTTAGTTGACAATATACGCGAGTATATTGACTACGCAAGTTGAACTGACAATAATAAAATGTAAGACATGTCCGGGTTACTTCTGACTCTTCCGCTTGTCCGCCTTGTCGGATACGGAAGGTACGGACGGTACGGTAATCGTAAACTGCGGCTATTATACATACGAAATGTAAACAGACGGTGTTCAGTGTTGCCATATGACTTTGGAGAAAATTTCTTCTAAAATAAAGTTCTAGATTTCTCATTCACCAAATTTCCGTATCAAGAAAAATCATATATTATTGAAAGATAATTAAAGGCATACTAAACTGAGTAATGTGAGTATTACGTCTGTTCCTCCACAAACTGCTCGTGCGGCGTGCACGGCAGCGCGACATAGAATTGATGGCTGGGATTGCGCAAACACGTGTGCGAAGATAATCAATTTTCATTACATTGCGCCGACTGTGCACAGCAATAGCTTTAAAAAAGTGAAAATGCGCAAGAAAATTCACCAAAAACATACATCATCCTGAGTGTGGATGACCGCTAGTATTACGTTGTCATAGCAACACCATTTGTAAGTCGATCGTGCTTACTTAGGAAGTTTTAATAATACAGCCCCTGAAAGCCATTCAGGAATTTGAAAATCAGGCAGAACTTCCAGAACACAGAAGCCACCTATCATGACCTATGAATAAGATAAAAATGTCCATGCTTTGTGAAGATTGTGCTTGTAGAGCTATAGTATATTCAAACTAGCCCTATTTAAACTAGCACTGTATGTAGCAATGGTTTTCAATACATGTACCTGCTTTGCTGTGAGTCAGATGGATACAATCCTGTAATTGCACTGCTACCAAAGCCCACCATTATTAGCATTACCTGGCATTGAACGTGTGTACGTTGACTACGTTCACTTTTTGGCGTACAAAACAAACATAGACATGCGGACACTACAAGCATTGACACCTATCGGCATTGTGAGAAGATAATACATCGTAGCATAGCTGCAGCTCATGGCAGCAGCAGGGAACCAGGGATTGAACTATATTCAATTATTAATACACTACAAGCATTGACACAAGGCTATTGGCGTTGTGAGAACTGAGAAGATATTACTTCATAGCATAGCTGCAGCTTTTGCCGGCAGCAGGAATTGAACTATATATGGTTATTAATACACTACAAGCAATCAAGCATTGACACCTATTGGCATTGTGAGAAGATATTACGTCATAGCATAGCTGCAGCTTTTGCCAGCAGCAGGGGCCAGGGATTGAACTATATATGGTTATTAATACACTACAAGCAATAATCAAGCATTGACAGTTATCAGCATTGAGAGAAGATATTATGTCACAGCATAGCTGCAGCTGCTGGCAGCAGCAGGGATCAAACTATATTATACAGTTATTAATACGCTATGTACATTGCCACTGCACCACATGGCTGTATTGTTGTTGCCCCACACCCATGTTTAATCTTCTATTGCTAGTAACGGCGCACAACAAATTTTTTTTCTTTACTTATTACTGTGCAGACTGAAAAATTGAAGACATGAATTCCTGTGCACCTGGCACATCTTCCTGCCTATGGATGGCCATGGATTTGATTTCCTTACGTTGATTTCTCATTCCTATGGCCTTTTCTTGGTTTCTTCAATGAAAAATGAGAAAATGGCCTTTATTGCCTATAATTTTGAAGTCCTCCATGAAATCATCATTTTTGCCTTCAATTTTTAGAAATTTGTGCCAATATTCTTAATTGGCCTAAGGCACTGGCCATTGCATTTCAAATCTTAATTTTTCCTTCTCTACTGCTTTTCTATTGCATAACTTTATTCATGAAATGAAGTTAGTTCAAACATAAGATTTGTAAATGATTAATGTTGCTATCAGAGTCACACTCTGGTAAGATGTTTTTCTAATTATAATAGCTACTCCTAAAACTTATATTTCAAAACACCTATTTGGCTATTTTGTAAATAAATATCAAAGAAGTAATTAAGAATCTGAAAAATTAATAAAAATTGTGATTTAGAAAATGTGTCTGTACAGACTGCAAAAAAAACCTAGCCAACAAGACAGCAATATCTTATGGAACTGTCTCAACAAACTTCTACCAAAACCATTTGAAATGAAGCTACAAAGTAGATGAACAAGTTCTACTGTCAATCATCCATAATAATATCAAGAGCACTACTGATAACAAAAAGATAAAACTTCTGATCTACTACAAAATATATATATAAATCTTGCTAATTCTGATCTATGACATATATATATATATAAAACTTGCTAATTGATAACCAGCTAACCAAGAATATGGTAAGGTTTGACTAATTTGGATGTCTTTACTTTCAAATACTATTAGACAACAAACTAAAAATCATGTTAGTTGAAAGTAAAACCATGAAATGGTATAACAAATTCTCATCACAATAAAAATCTGTGTTTTTTAATGAGCCTAAACCAGAACAATGGCCTCACTGTAGCATGCACTAATAATAAATATAGCACTACTACTTTTTATGTCCAATTGTTATTGTGAACTGTTGCAAGTTGCTAATCTCTTTCAAAATATTTTTGTGCAGTGTATATTCTGGTATATAGATACTTACAAAAATGGAACAACAGTTGGATTGTGCACTAGATTTGATGAGGCGTTTACCACCTCAACATATAGAAAGGAACTTGAGTGATCTTGTGGATTTAGTGCCAGCTCTTTGTGAAGACCTACTTTCTTCTGTTGACCAACCTCTTAAAATTGCCAGGGACAAAAACACGGGAAGAGATTACCTGCTGTGTGACTATAACCGTGATGGAGATTCCTACAGGTTGGTTCAATATATATCAACTGTTTGCTGTTATGAGTCGTGTATGTTTGCTGTTATGAGTCATGTTAAAAAATTGTCTTGACTTAATTTTTCAGATTCATTGTGTAACCATTGTTAATATTGCTTTCTCAGGAATTTGTAGAACCTCTTTTGATTTTCTTAGGCCTTTAAGTGTTAATTAGTATATATATTTATAATTTCCCTGTTGTCTTGTATCTTTTATCTCTCTTCTACAAGATTCAAATCCATCTAGCATGATAAGTTTTTTCTAATTTATTTGTTATTTTCCATTATCTCAATTGCATAGTTAACAATTATATTAATCCCACAGATCACCATGGAGTAATGTGTATGACCCTGCCTTGGAAGACGGTGCCATGCCCTCTGAGCGACTGCGGAAGCTGGAACTGGAAGCTAACCATGCTTTTGATCAGTACAGAGACATGTACTTCGAGGGTGGAGTATCATCAGTCTACCTCTGGGATTTGGAACCTGGCTTTGCTGGTAATGTACAAGAAAAGTTTTCCTCTAAATTAATCTGATTTTCATTATTAACTCCATTATATAATATATTATACTTTCATCTCTGTTGTGCAGATTATGTTATTGCTTGTGAAGTAAACAAATTTTGAATTTCTAGAAGGCATATTATTTGCCTTTTATTGTTTTTCTGTCTATAAGAAAGTTATATTTTGCTATGAAAAATTTTCTCCTTCAGGTGTTATATTGATTAAGAAAGCTGGAGATGGCAGCAAGAAGATCAAAGGGTGCTGGGACAGCATTCACGTTGTAGAAGTCATTGAGAAGAGTAGCGGACGCTCTGCGCACTACAAGCTCACATCAACTGCCATGCTGTGGCTGCAAACCAACAAACTAGGATCTGGCACCATGAACCTGGGTGGTTCTCTTACTAGACAAGTAATTACAATGATTTGAACATCTTGCAAGTTGATATCTGCTAATTTTCTTCTACTACCTTCAACATTTGCAAACATTCTTTAGACACTGATAACAAATTTTTTGAAGCTGAAATAATGTTAGAATTTGCCATTTTGATTACGCATTTAATGTTTATTTTTTTTTTTTTTTGTGCAGTCAGAGCAAGATAACACTGTGTCTGAGGCATCTCCTCACATTGCAAACATTGGACGCATGGTGGAAGACATGGAGAACAAAATTCGCAATACCCTGAATGAGATATATTTCGGCAAAACCAAGGACATTGTAAATGGCTTACGTTCAGTCCAAAGCTTACCCGATCAGAAACAAAAAGATGCTCTGCGCAACAGCATCAAAGAAGCTCTCATCATACGCCAAGCTCGTACCACTTCCCAGCCGTCTGAGTGATCTTACTTTGGCACTTGAAAAACGCTAGCCTCTCTCGCCTTAACCCTTCAATGTGCAAATTTTTGCCAGCATAAAAGAATTTATTCACGGTTTTTTTGCCCACTAAAGAAATTTTTACATTTTAATTTTTATTAAGGGAAGAAACTTAGTTTCTTGTCAAAGATCATTTTCTAGATTTTTTCTGATGCTAGCGTTGCAGGGGATCTGGTACAAATATGAGACATGCCCATAATGCTTCAAAAGCGTTTACTCCAGCACACCGTGCCGGTTTGCTCAGGTCACTCGATGCATTTCAGCTTGTTTATCCGCATGGGTTTCTGAACACAAATAAATATATATACCCAGCAATATTAAAGGAAGCGTGAGCACAAATCTTTTTTTTTAACAAGGGTCTTGCATTGCAGAGGCTTTTTACCTGTTTCCCTGTAGTGCGGTGAATGCACCAATGCTAGGTATCTGTTGCTAGCGCGGCATCGGTGTTACTCTGCTACCTGCTCTGATAGTAGCTCTAGTTCTCATGTTATTCAGAATTATCAAATTTTATATAAACCAACATTTTCATAGGAAATTTTTCCGTTCCTTCTATTGCTTTAGATTTGTTTGTTTTCCCCATATACAGTTGTGTATGTTAACTAACTAGAACGTTTTCTGTTAGTCGATGTTTTTTTTATATTCTGTACTTGATGTTTTCAGACTCCCACTATTTATAATTAATTTTTTTGTAGAGCTTAGGTTGTACCTTGGAATTAATATGCTATTTCTCCTGTTATTCATTTCTTGTGATGCTTGATTTGTGTCAAATCTAAATCTTATCTTTTATGCGTGTGTATTATTGCTCCTAACGCTGTCTGTAAATTATTTGTTTATGAAGAATTATCAAAATTTTGTTTACTGGGAAAATTAAATATTAACAAAGACTTTTGCTAAAGTTACGCCCCAGTAAGTTTCGAACCGATTCTATTGAGTTGATTTGTAACTGACGACAAAGGTTATGTGGCTAACACCACTACTAATGCTTGCACTATTATGCTAATTCTACATCTTGGTCTGAACATTTGAATGATTTTATGATGATAAATTTTCAACAGTAGAATATAAATAATAATTTTCCTATAACTAACCTTGTAGCCAGTAGTATAGTTCATGTATTATGACGTGCAACGTTAGACCCATGGTTGAACCACGTTTAGATAAGTCTTGCCTGACGTCCATTGTTCAGATCGCAAAACTTGTACAGCTAACGTAACTGAGACTCAAACTTTATTATTTTAAACAATCCGTGCGTCCTCGCATATATCGATAAAAAATTTCACAGCCAGCTGAAGCTCAAACCCGAAATTCAATGCTCCAATCTTGGTGATATCGACCACTCCTCTTCGTAAATACACTCAAATCTAAAAATGTTCAAAACCGGGAAGTCTTTACCACAATACCTACTAGTACAGTGAATGAGCGTCCTGCGGTACATTAAGACACCGATGTGCCAAAGTTTACAGAGATGGCCAAAATCATTAAATTGAAGTTCAAAATCATAGTCTTTAATTATCATTTCATTGATATGAGCATGGTAATATTATCAGTATAATTAGTGGCTACATTACATTTTTTGTATATTATACGCTCTCCAACGAGGCACTAATCATGTACAAAGTATGGGGTAGTATAGAGTAACGAATTTTTAATGCTTCTATTTCTTAATCGTATCATGAAACTTATTCGATAGCAGACCGGTACTCCGGGTCCGGTAGCTTTTAATCAGATACGAATTTTCCACCATCAATCCGCCGATACCACCGGCAGACCTAACTTATATAATGATTTTAAAAATTTTCAATTAGAAATTGAGAAATCCTGATTTATGAAGTGAATCTGATGAAATGTGAAAAACTGGCGGTATTATTGCAGATTAACTACATCCAAAAAAAAAGGGTGTTTTTTTTTTTAATTATGTGTTTTTTGGGGTGTAGATTACGAATCTGAAATCCATTTTTGGCGGTCGGCATCGGAAAACCGATTTTTTTCGCGACTTACTAACATGGGGGTTACGTAACTTACGTTACCCACTCACCTTAAAAAAAAAACACCCTTTTTTTTGGATGTAGTTAATCTGCAATAATACCAAACTGGCTGCCAGCTTGCCGTCTGTCTTCTCTCTTCTGATATAATTCAGTACGCTCGTCTCAGACGCATAAGTCTAAGATAAGTAGGCTAGGTAGGCTAACAGATTGAAGTTAATCTCAAATTTTAATAACTAAGTTAGTCCTGTTAGCAGAAGAATGACCGACCGTAAATCAGTGATTTTAAATCTGTTTGGTGATAAACACCCAGGTTTGAATATATATTTGGAATGCGTATCTCGTGCTTACCTATACGGCTTGGCAACTTCAACGTTGAGTGAGTGTTTTTTTTTATTGTCAGTCTCTGTGGCGAATAGGTATAATTGGAGTCATTGACTCATTGGACAGTCGTTTTAATGGTTATTTTTGGAAATGGGAAGTACTGGAGCCTGAGCCCTGGAGGCTGGACTCGCTGGAGCCCCAGCCTGGACTGGGAAGGCGGGAAGCTACGAGCGAGAACTGAGTACCTAGTTTGGGGCACTTTGGGCAAAACAATAAATATTGGATTAAAAATTTGTGAAATGAATGAATACCTAGTCCTAGGACCTAGGCTGTTTTTATTTGAACAATTACCTACCCAACAATAGGTGGAAACTGTCAGGTAACTCAGGTCAAACTAAAAAATTATTAGATATTTTAACTTTTAAACCTAGAAATTACAAATTATGAAATAATATTTGTGCTTACTGCTCAATGCTCATGACCCTAAACAGTCAAGTTAGTGACCACTGACCAATCAAACTAGCAAAGCAGACAGTTCTGCCTAGACTCAAAGGGATGCAGTATAGACCCTGCAATGCAATGGCCTGCAATAACCCTTGCCCACCATAGTGGCAAACCAGTGATTTTTTAGAATCAGCTCATTTTCAATTTCCTCATTTACTCCAGATTTTAACAGATTTCTTATGTACCTATGAAAATTCTGGTATCCAAGATACTTTACTGGTCTACTTATAGGATTCAAAAATGAACTTGAGGAAGAGTCTAAAAAACTCTCTGCTTTGCCACTATGTAGCCCACAATTCAATATCTATCACTATGCCTTTCCGCTTGTAATCATGCTAGAGGGCATATTAGCCTGTGTGAATAAGTGTCTAAAGGCAAAGCCATAGGTGCCATTTCCTTCCCTGGAAATGAATCAATCAGCCAGATAACATCAAGCCGCCAAAGCAACAGCAGTGGGCAAATAGCCAAACTGTTGCGTGCTTGTATTAAACACAGCCTGGCATCTTCGTGACTTTTGAAAATAAGCGCCCAACACAACAGCGCCGTTACATCACAGCCACTGCTTCATCGCTCTCTACTCCACAGGCAGATGCGCAAACTGCCATCCCTATAGCGCCATGCCCCGGCTCTCCCCCTTCGCAGCCAGCAGAAGGCTTTTCTTGTTGCCCGATCAGTAATGCACCTGGCGCGATAGAGGGACCTAACCTAACCTAACCTGGCGCACAACTGATCAGCAATTGAAGAAAGCCTTATGGCTGCGAAGGGGGAGAGCCGGGGCATGGCGTTAATAGGGATGGCAGTTTGCGCTTTTGCCTGTGGAGTGCGGCGGGATTACGCCAGTCCTGCAAATAACAGAGCAGGTTCACGGTGATCCGGCGTGGTCTGCGGCCAGTAAGGCTTACGGCGTGTGTAAGAAGTTACAGTATGGGGTAAAATTCTGTGGAGTAGGACCTGTTGACAATTGACTATTTGATTCAGCAGGCTGTGGAGTGAGGTAGGTGTTGCTTAAAATTGGTGTGGGGAGATGACTCAGTTAACTACAGCTTCTTGGGTGTGAGCTGAATTTAGTTATTGCATTATAGGGTAGGCGACAGGTGTTGGCGCTAGGGCTTGTTTATGAGCTAAATTTGTGGTGTAGGCTGTAGGGCTGTGCTCTCGACTCAAAAAGCAAAAAGGAACTCTCTCAATCTCTCTGCTATTTCAAGTCTTAGAGAGGTGGAAAATATGGCAAGGTCATCTGCATAGAAAGCCATAGATTGTTAACACACATTTGTTTGAACAGCTCCTACATATTTACAGTGCTAGATTTCAAACATAACAATGTTAGCAAGTACCTATACATTAGATTTGAGTTTGACAGCAGATATACAAATTATATGGCATAAAATGCCATGAATCTTACCCATGTAGCTCTGGCAATGTCAGAAAGTTCTAGACACAACTTGGAAAGTAGAAATTTTCAGCACCTGTTTTCAAGGATGTATTAAATTGCTTTCATTGAGTTACTGGGTTGAAAGCAGTGTATATCTGCCAAGTGGCAACTTTGTTATTATTGCATTAGTAAATCATTGTACAGAAAGGGAAAAAATATCCAAAGATCTTCAGCAATGCAACAATATCAAAATTTGTCTTTTGGAGATCATAATATCATAGATGTCTGTAAATTTTCACTGCTAAACTTTCTTGGGTAGAAAACGTAAATCTGTGTTTTATTATTTTATATGACAAAATCCCAAGTTAAAAATGATTTCTGAGACGACTTTCAAATAAATGTGTTATGGAAGGTGTTGATCAGTGTATATATAACTTGTCACATTTCAGTATTGCATTTTTTAACTTTCTTACTTAACATTATTCCAATAACTTATCATAAAATTGTTTTCAGGTTTTGCTTGTAGCTTCAGTGCTCAACGTTTACTCTCAACTTCTCTGCCATATTCAAGAAACGGGCAACTGCTGGTGTCAGCTCTGATTGCTGCTGGCACAGCTTACAAAGTATCCACTACCCGAACTCTAGCCTGCCAAGAAATGTGGATGAAAAATGAAGAAAACCATAGAAGCCAGTTAACTCTTTCCTCTGCATCAGACAGTAGTTCTATTTCATGATCTATAGCTTTTGTATCAATAGTGAATTTATGTTATTAGATTTTCAAATCGTTCATTATTGTACCATAATGGTTATGTCAAAATGCATATTGTCTTGGAGAATGATCAGGTTTGTTATAAAACCAAAAAGTTGCACTATCATCTCCCCATTCGTCTCAGCATTGCCACAATGCTTAGCTGGGCATCATTACATAAGCAGTTCCTGCGGCACTTATCGAGAAATGAAGAAGAATTTTGGATACAGGGTGTCACCAGACCATAGGAGCAACATTACTCCTGGCAATCGACCTGAATCTGAATTGTCAAATGGTAATATATATCAAATCTTGATGTAATTTGTTACATGAATGACCTAAAATAAATGTTTTGACCAACTCAGGTAGGTATTGTGTAATGCACGCCCAGGTAATTTTCAGGCATGCAGGCATCAGGCTGTATTAATTGCCAAGGAACAAACAATTTTTGTTTTATATTCCATATTGTATCATAACATGCAGTTATTTTCATCCTATCTTGAAGTATGAAAGGTCTAAACACTAATGAGCTCTTCTGTCGCATACAATGGAGAGCTGGCTCTTACATATGTCACATTCATGAAAAAAGTATATACAATATAACAATTGTCCTATCCAATTTTATCTTTGTCAATAGACTTGTTAATTAAAAGGTAGCTGATTTGGTTAATTTTGTTTTTCACTTAAAGTTAGGTTTAATACAATATTTTAAATTTAAATTTTCTCTCCTATATTAATCAAATATAATTTAATCTATCAGATGGTTGCTTAAAATTTGTATAATAAAAAGTAAATGAATGATAATTTGCGTGAATAAGTAAATAGCTTGGAATTGATTGTATTTTGCTGTGATTTTGAATTGCAGTGTCTATATATGGACAATTTACTTTCAAATAAATATACCTCCTTTTTTAATTGCAGCTGACAATGATTCCCTGGTTCTGGATGATGCTCAGTATGCAGCTCTGCTGCATGATGCAGAGAGTTTTGGGGCTGGAGTGGTGAGCAAGGCTTCGATCAAGGGAGGAGTGATGGTGGTGTTACCCTGGGTGAAGTGGGGACCTCGACAGACACTAGTGACATGCCCTGAGCGGGTGCTGGATGAAGCTGCCGCACTTATTGGTTCCCTGGACAATGTAACTCTCATTAACAAGGTAAATTATTGGCTATTTGACCATGGTTATTATGAGCAATTTTTGTGTGGTTATTTGTGCTGTCTAGAGTTGATCATTTTAAATCTACTCATTTGTATCTTAAACCTCTAGGCTTCACATCTAGTTTTTGAAAACATAAACTCTAATGTAATATCTTCTTTTCTGTGAAGCAATTTTTTCTGTATCATGTTCCACCACAAGAAGCATTAAGCATTAAATTATATTTCTTTAAAGGAATTTAGCCTCAATGTATAGATGTTGTTCTAAGTTACTATTGTTACATATTCAACCCTCAACAGACTGCATAATTTTACAACCTTATAATCTTACAAAGATTAAGCACAGTTATCCCTATGCAGTCCAACAATGGTTAAAGTGAGAAGTAAAAAATTAACAAAATGAGTGTTTTATCTTTGCACTTCCTCGTGCAGTCTGTGGTGAAGGTGCGTTATATATCCAAGAGCATAGTCTTTGGACCAGGTCAGCTTGAACAACTGAAAGCTTGTGTTGCTGATCTGCCTGTGCTCGCAGCCCTTTTTGTTGCAGTGGACCGCCTTTCTAGAACCCAGATTCGGTAAGAACATGATTTTTAACTATTTTCTGAAAATTAATCATTTACCTTGTACATTTAGCATCATTTTTACAAATTTGATCTTTATAGCGCATTTTCTCGTTTATGGAAAAAATCCACTATTGTGCTCGCCATGTCCGTCCGTCTGTCTGTCCGTCCGTGACTTCACGTTTTCGTCGACGGGAAAATGCGCGCTCTGTCACTCACTGCAGTGAGTGCTTAGTTATATTTTTTCATTGTTTTGAGCAATTTCTGAAAAGCTATATTTGTACTGGGCTATTAGAAGTAATTTTCTAAATCTGGGAATAGTTTGTTATTAAACCTGAATTCTTTTATTTCAGAACTCTGGAACGTGAGCTTGGTGTGCGAGTCGTTGACCGCTACTGGGTTGTACTCTCTATTTTTCACCAGCATGCAAAAACCGTAGAAGCTCGGATGCAAGTTGCTCTTGCTGAACTCCCTTACCTCAGGTAGATGAGTAAAATAAAATTTTATTTAGATTCCTATTAAAGAGCAAAAAAATTAATCTTTGGGACATTACATCATCTAATGACAATTGCAAACCTCAAAATGGCAGAAATTTAAAATTCTTGCAAGTACCTGAAATGACATGAATTGAAAACTTCACCAATATATGATTAGTACGTTAACTAATCTTATCAGTTTGTCATTGACTTCGTGCAGGTATCTTTATTCCTATTTGGCAGCATTTAATCTTGCCATTGAGCTGAAATTAAAATTGAATAATGAGTTTATGTGGATGAAAAAGTGGCCTGTGGCCTGGTTTCCTTATGTAAATCATTTTATGTCTCACTTACAGATCTATGACAAAGCTAAGCACTGAACAGAGCCTCATCGACCAGCGTATCCGTCTATTGCAAATGTCTTTGAACAAACTATTGCGTCATCGCATGCTAGTCAGAAACCGTCGCAAGGTCTCCGACCTGCCGTCTGTAGCTGTTGTTGGGTACACAAATGCTGGTAAATAGAAACTGATTTGTCCTCACTGAAACCGTTAAAACATAGTAAAACCTTTCTGTTTTAGGAACTCAAACTACCTTCCTAAGAAAATGGTTTGAATATATTTACTTGAGAGTTCTCATTACCTATCCTTGTTCTGCCTCACTTCCTTAGGCAAGACTTCCCTCATCAGTGCGCTGTGCGCTGATGGAAGCATCCAAGGTCGCGATCAACTTTTTGCTACTCTGGACGTAACGGCCCACGGTCTATCACTGCCTTGTGGGGTGCGCTGTGTACTGCTTGACACTGTAGGCTTCATCCAAGACTTGCCTACTGAACTTGTCGCCTCTTTTAATGCCACGCTCCAGGATGCTGCTCAGGCTGTTAGTTGGCGGTTGAAATTATTTTGCCAGGAACAGTTGTGATATAATTTTTAAATTGAGGGTGTTGATACCGTTTGCGTTGGTTTCCTATTGCAAAGAACCCAATTTGAGCTGTGTTTCATTGATGTAATATGAAATAGAATGTAGTTATTCATGACTTTTGAAGATAATTCTCATATTACAGGATGTGATCATCCACGTGCGAGACTTAAGCCATCCTGATCGTTTACTTCATCATACGACTGTGATGGCTGCACTATACTCCATCGACTTGCCACACACCACGCCAATTATAACTCTGGATAACAAAGCAGATCTCGCTCCAGATTTAAGAGTATCTGAAGCTGAGCAGCCTTGTACTTCTTTCTTGCTGGACGACAAGCAGTACGAGAAATCGTGTCGTCTCAAAGGCCACAAAGATGCTGAGTCGCATACAGCGAATTTATACCTACTGCATCAATTGCAAGATCATTACTCCTCCACTCCGGCACTTGCTGTGTCTGCTACGACTAAACAAGGTCAGCTTCAGTCCCTGGTGTGACTTGGAATGATAACCTGTAAATTTGGCTGTATAATAATTTAATAAATCAAGATCTCAAAATCACAAGCACTTTTTAATGAGGAGAAATGTTTCTAATTACATCATTACCTTTTTATCAAGAGACATATCCTGTAAGTAAATAGAAATTGAACATCAACCTGTTGAAGGCCAGCTCTGTACGTATAATGCAACTTCTCGGATATAGGTACTCATTCCGTCATCATGGATATAATCATCTCCTCTAATTCGATTTTAAACTATTTGTTTAGTTTGTTATAATTAACCGTTATGGTGTCATATATCGCACTTTTCTGGCTTCATATCGTGTATTGTTTTTTTTTTTTTTTTGCCAGGTTTGGTGCCGGTAATTACTGCCCTAGAAGAACAGCTGCTAAGAGTCACGCAGAGGAAACTTTTTCGAATGAAATTGCCAACTGGCGGGCCTCATCTAAGGCAAGTGCTCAGAAATTTGAACTAGTCTTTAATATATACATCTTTTGATGCCGGACTGCAAAAGTTGTTCAGTTATTAAAAGTATTTTTTCGGTTAGTAGAGCCTTTCTATATATCAGAGTAATGAATTTCTTTTTCTTGTCAATTTTGTACACAAAAAGTTCGTTTCTTCATGTGCTTTTTATCCCTTTTAATTTCATGTTTGGTGTTGCACTTAACGCTTGAGCAAACCCACCTGATTTAAGACTTGTGAATAACCTCTTATAGGGGTAACATCTAGGGTAGACTAATCTAACTGTAGACGCCATGGATGTGAAAACCTCTTGCGGCACTCTTAATTCTTATAATGACTGGATCTAGGGTAACATCTAACTGTAGACGCCAAGGATGTGAAAACCTCTTGCGACGCTCTTAATTTATAATGACTGGATCTAGGGTAACATCTAACTGTAGACGCCATGGATGTGAAAACCTCTTGCGGCGCTCTTATAATGACTGGATCTAGTGGAATATCTCCCTGTAGACGCCATGGGTCAACATTTTCACCCCGTACACAAAACACAATTAATGCTATATATTGTTTGCTTGCTCGTTGACATGATCGTGTGTATGAAGCCTGATACCGTAAACTTGCAGACAATTTTCGAGAGCGGATCAACAATACCTATCACGTTGGGATATTACAAGGACGTGAAATGTTACATTTTAGAGTTGGAATTATGAGACATCGAAAAATAGTTGCTGGAAGGAAAAAATCGAGTTTCAATTCGATTCGAATTGCGCTGTAATTTGGTTCGCTTTATGAGAAAAGGAAAAGAATTTATATTTCTTAAATTTCTCTGATTCACATCACTTGAGTTTGAAATGCATTATGGAAGCAGGGAAGAAGGCTTTTTAACAGGAATGTCATTCTCATGTCCACGAAGATAATCTATCCTGCTGAGCTGATCTTTTAATTTTTTGTTATCAAAACTGGACTTGACCTCCCCTTCTCTGGTGCCAATATTGCCGGTATTTCAACTACTCTCTCATGGGATGTCGATTTCATAAATATTACTTCAACTCTTTGCCAATTTTGTGTTATTTAATTTCTGGTCTTCTGGGGTATTGAAGAAATTTATTTTCTTAATTTCCTTGCTATTAACACGGAAATAATTGTGTTGGCAGGGCGCTGCGCAGCGTTGCTGGAACCCCCAGAGAGACGCCTTGTCCCGATGATGCCAACTTGTGTGAAGTCGTTGCTGCGCTCACTGAAAAACAGTTCGCTCAGTTTAAGAAGCTCTGCTCGTCCATAAATAGCAACTCCTGAAATATAATTGTACGACTGCAACTTTCTATAATGCATCTATGTGTATAATTATACTGTTATGTAAATAATAATGAGCGATTTTCCTTTACCAAAGATCCAATTTCAGTGTTTGGTCAAGTCCAGGCAGAAAATGAAATAAAACTTAAGCTGGTTGCTATCTTGCAGCTAATTCGTAGTTCGTAGTACCTATAGTGTGTTTTATTGTTTCGTGATGGTTAGTTAGCATGTCGACAATGAACGCTTAAAAATTTAAAATTCTGGGCGTACATCACCGATGAGCCTGCGCTCCACTTTCCAACTGTGGCAACTCATTGTCCTGTACGTCGTATGTTCCAGGATGCTGTAAGCCCATTTTCATTGAACATCACGCAAGTAATTTTAGTTCATTGGCCATAGGTGCAATGCGCACAGTGACAATGCAACGCGAGTAACCTGCATTTAAAATAATCATAACAGCACTGTGAGCGATGATGATGAGCCGGCTAAGCCTGATGCCATTTTTAACATCGCGGAATTTTCACAGCATGCTGAGTCTCAGATTGACTTGTTAAACAATTTTTGAGATTAATGTGTTCTGTTCTTGATGGATGAGAATGAAACATTTTGCTTGCGACAATGCATCTTAAAAAGCGTGTTCCGGCTTTATTGAAATGTTCTTTCAGAATTATCAGATTGGTCTCTGGTGTGAATTTTTGGGTTATTAGTGACTTGATGGCTGATGGGAAAATAAGAATTTCTCTTTATTGATCTGCGCTAAATTTAGATACCTCAATTTGCAGTGACATGATTCTTCATTGAGCCAAGCAAAACTTTTTTGGTTATGCTAATCGATCAAAAACTAGTTTTTCATTTGTCATTAAGTTCTTCTTATCTCTCTAGCTTATCTTTAAATTAACTTTTAAATCGATAACTTTGAGGTCAGAGTTAGTTTGAGTCACCGGCTAATTAAACAAGTTGCATCATATTAATGTTAATTATGTATGACTAATGGAATCTGCATACACTGCAGTCGTACTCCACAGCCCGCTTATGTTTATCTTGTAAAAGGAACATATACGTCATTGTCTGTGAAAAATTATTTTTTTAATTTTTACAGTTCACGGTTCGTTTATTTCTCCATTTATAATGTAAAAATATGGCAGTTTTTCGAAACTTGCAATAAGTTTTCATAAAATCATTTCACGATTTTTGCAAGATGACGAAAATATTCCGCTACATTTGTCCGGATAGTTTGAATGATGAAAACGGCTTAATTAATTGTTTTGACTGTTTGTTGTTAACATCTGCCAATGTGGTGAAATTTGATTATTCAAAAACACCACTTCAATACTTGAAATAGCGTTTATATACATTTTCTATTGTTAATTATCGAAATTTGCGCATGGTAAATGTATCACACCTTGACGAATTTGTAAAGAAATTCGTTCATTGGATGGTGATTCAACACGACAACACGTGCTGTACAGATTTTTACTACCTACTATTTGTTGTGCTCTTAGACTCTTAGTTATCAACGAAATATTCAACAATTTAATATTGGCCAGGCTGCAACTGATTAGTTTCGAAGATGGTTTAAGATTATTCCTAAATCCTGATCAAGCAGGAACAGATTGGTGGTACAGTGCACAGTGGTACTACGTTCCTAGGCTAGAGGCTTAGAGCTAGACTCTTCATCAAGTTCAATTTTGATTTTTGAGTTCTATAACTATAAGTACACCAACAAAGTATCATGGCTACCTACCAGCTACGGTGAGCTACCACCTACCAGCCTACCACGTTATACCACTGATAATACCAGGCTACCAGCATCATCATAGATAAAATATTGTTTTAAATCTTGAGTAAATCAGGAAATTATAGTATTTTTTATGTGTCACCATGACTTAACTGTTAGTTAGCTGTCAGTTAGCATTGATCTAGATTCTAGACAGGCTGAGGGAGGCTGAGACAGCTGACAGCCAAACTTCAAAAATGCTTCATATACATAGGTGATAGGCTGGAAACTATGCTTTGCCCACTGCCGGCCACTATGCTTACTGCTTAGTGCTTACTGCTTACCCAGTTACCCTTAGCCTCTTAGGCCTTACCAAGTTACCAGAGGTTGAAGTTCCAATGCCACACTAGACCAAGTCAGGAAAAGATCTACTCTGTGAGCCGCGACTGGATTTTTTGAGCCGCAAAATAATGAATTTTCAAGCCGTAAGTCTATTTCTCAAGCCGTGGAAAGCCATTCTTGAACCGCGAAGTTGCGAAATCTTGGCGGCGATGGCACGCGCGCAGCGCCGCCAGCGCGCGATCACGATTCACGAATAAGCTCAAATTTTGCCCTAGAAACAGCAGTTAAACATTATTCCCTTAATTTCCTTAATTCACATGTAGTTTAGCTCATGCTAATGCCTACCTTACGTCTTACGATATTGCAAAAATATAACACAGTTTTACAAGAGTCTGAGAGGCGAGTTCAAGATCTTCATCTCTTGCTGCTGTCACAGTTTAACATATACGTTATACGTGTATGACGAGAGCGTAGTACTAAATCGCGGAGGCGCGGACTTTCATTGCAACTGATTTCCGGACAAGCTTCGCTGCATCGTAATCCATCCAACGTACCGGAAACCTTACTTTTTTTTCTAAATAGTTGGCTGAAGACTGAGAAATATATTAAATGCAAGAATTTTAATCTAAATGTGTTGGCAAGATCTTGTGAAGGCGAAAATTTTGCCGATAATGCGTCGCCGTAGGTCTTTAAATCTTCGTTCACTCTCTGCACAGTGGCTAGCACACTGCCTTTAGTGCCTTCTATTATTATTCACCAAATTAAAAAGACCAACAAGATAATACTGTCTTAGACTAGAGTGTAGTTTACTAAGTTCAGTAGTTGAATCTATCAAAGTAACCCTTTTCCACTCTTGATTTTTTTTTTTCAGAGGAGTGAGAGCACTAATGACTAATGTATTGAGGCCTTGAGGTTGAGCAAGAATTTTTGGATAAATTTAGTAAATAATCTGAATAAGTTATTTTGAATTTTTTTCTTCAGGAAGTTGGTACTTTTTTCATTGAGGCCAAAGTAAGCATTGATCAATCACTCATTTTGGAAAGGTCAAAATGAAGTCAGCAGATCAAATCCAGTATTCTGACAAATACTATGATGAAAAGTATGAGTACAGGTAAGACAATTTGCTATCTCCTGTGCCATAATTTTTTAATTTTTAGATCAGAGCAAATTTGTATTGGAAACTGTAGCATAGGTTTAAGAAATTAGGAAACAATGAAATATGCATTAGAAGAATCTTTATGTAGATTGTCGAGACAATATCTTCAATTATGCAGGTTTGTACGGGTCATGGAAAACCTGGAAAGTCATGGAATTTGATTTTTCATATTCCAGACGTGGAAAGTCATCGGATTTCATTTCAGGTTATGGAAAGTCATGGAATTTGCAAATAGAAGAATAAAAAAGAAGTGTTTTTCTGTGCTGCATGTGTTTACTGTTTGTGTACTATGTGCAGTCTTGTATTTCCTGCATTCTGATTGATTCTGCAATCATGTGAGCTTGGTCACTGAGCTCAATTGCATTTGACAACTTTTTTATGTGCAGTGGCAGCGTTCCATCTTCAGCGTGCAATATCTACATCACCATGCCTAGAAAGTGTAAATTTAATGACTTGTGGTTAAGAATTGCAGCTTCTCGTGACTGGTTTGCTCGCCATCCAAAACATGAAGGTATGAGGCAGCAAACTCACAAAGTTAGCTAAGCAACACAGTGAAGAGAAAAGCAAGGTGCAGTCATGCAGTTCCAATTTGTGGTCTGCTGACAGCAATGCTACTGCAGTTTCCTGCTCCAAAATCTGCACAGATGTGGATGGTGTTGTTGTTGTAATTGCCATTCTGGCAGTGGCGACTAGGGAGGAGGGGTTATAGGTCAGTTTTTCCGGGCACTCGGTACCACTGGTAGTTCTACAATCATCACTGGCTTGCTGACCTGCCAAAACCATTTGATTGCATTACACAACACCCTGGACAAGCCAGGTACTCATTTATCAACCATAATTGGATGAATGGCTGAGTTGACCATGAGCTGAGCTTCCCGGTAGAACTTGTCCTCAGTGGGACTCGAACCTAGGTGCTGGGTGCGAGAGACAGAGTCTCTCACCACTGCACCACCACAGCTTGTGTTGCAGACGAGATGTGCAACTTTAGAGATGAATCACAACATTGCAGTGAACTGAACACACTGTTTCAAGCATTTACAACTTCTGATCAACTGGACACTTTTTGGCATGCCATTCTGTCAAAGAGCACCTACAACTTACAAGAAGCTCCGGAATGTAGTGCAGATGCTCATGCTCATGTCTCATGGCCAAGCCACGGTTGAAATTGGGTTTTTGTTCAACAAGGAAATCATGACGCACAACATGAAAGAGCAAACGGTGGTTGCCCTGCATGCTGTGGTTGATCATGTTGCACATGTTGGTGGCCTGGACAAGATGACCATCGCCAAGAAGATGCTGCTTGCAGCTGGCAGTGCCAAAACAGCCTACAATAATTATTTGGCGGAAGAGAAAGAGCAGAATGCAGAGGCCCAGAAAACCCAGAAAAGGAAGGCTTTGTTGGATGAGCTAGATCAACTGAATAAGAAGAAAAGGCATACAGAGGAGGGCATCAAGGCCCTTGAGCAAGCAACAGATAAATACTGTCAACTGGGGTTACTTTGGCCACCAGGGTGACTTTGGCCAATGTTCATTTGTTTCTGCTGTAGTTGTGTTATGTTTTGAAATAAAATGTTATCTAATGTAGTTTCTTTCTTATCTATTGATTGAAAACTGTTTTGTTTCATTAATTGTATATCCTGCTTGACCTATACAAACTGAAAATGGCCAAAGTCACCCCAAATTTGGCCAAAGTCAACCCAGTTGATGGTATGCAGAAACAATGGAGAGAAAGGGGGATTTGAAAATTATTGCAAAGTTCAACGCCATGAGGCGATCTTTGAAAACAAAGCAACAGGAGTTAGGCACTCTTCAACTGAACATTAAAGAAAAAGTTGATGAAGTAGCTGCCAGTTGAATGTTAGGATAGTGGTGTTGAATAATGTTCTGAACTGTATTGATATTATCATGTACAACTTGTGTGCATTACTCAATTGATATTTGTTATGATTTGACACTATTGAATTCATAATAATAAAAGTGTGGGCTTGATATTCAGATATGTAATTTTTGTTCCTCTGTGTCTGCCCCATCTATGCATTAACACATTTGCTATTTATCTACTGTTGGAGATGAAAGAATATGCAAGGTTAGTCTTTCATTCATGCTAAACCTGTCATATACAAACGAGTCTTGGAAAATTATATTGATGGTCATTGAAAGTCATGGAAAAGTCATGGAATTTTTTTTCTAAATACCAGCACAAACCCTGCTTATATTGGCTAATAAAAAATGACTTTCTCATGAATTTCACGTGCAACACATGCATAGAACCACTCGTGCATCAATAAAGGCTTCAATGTACAATAAAAATTGTTGCACCTTAATTATCATGACACAACATTGAACTTTCTTCCTTCACAATCTTTTATTCTTTCTCATCTGTAGATGATCCTGAAAATTTGTTTTCTTCCTTAAGGGATAATTGGGACCTAATTTTAATATTTGCTTCCAGACATGTCATCCTACCTTCAGACATTGCAAAGCTGGTACCCAAAACTCATCTTATGTCAGAGACTGAGTGGAGGAACATGGGAGTGCAACAAAGCCCAGGCTGGGTGCACTACATGATCCATGGTCCTGGTAAGTTGATTGTAGTTAGATATGTTTATGCAATTTTAAGTCTTCAGGCTTTACTCATATTTAGATTGTGTTATCAATATACTGGCTGTGACTACAAAATTAGCCTAATTCTTCAAGGTGATATAAGAATCAAGTTTAGATATCTTCTGTCTACCAAGATGGTAGACAAATATACATGCTCAATAAGTTATCTAATACCTATAATTCTCAAGTTGCTCTTAATTATTCTTTGAGAATCTCAGTTTTCAAAAGTGCTATCTATGTACAAGCTGGCTTGAGCTCCAGTGATGTGCATATGTGACTCTTGTTTTAGATAAAGTGGATAGCTGATAAGTAAATCCTGCTTTAGCTTTTATCTCATTAAAACTTCTATTTAACATTTGACATTCTAGCATTTTCTATCAAGCAAATTAAGTTCATGATGTAATGTGTCACAGAATTATTGAATTTTGAACATGGCTTAGACTTTTTTATGGTAAAATTGTTCCTTGTTTACCCTGGTATCCATTTTTTTTTTGCAGAACCGCACATTCTCCTGTTTCGGCGCCCACGAACAGACTTATAAATGCTTCTCGTGGACATGTGCAAGTGCCTTGAGAGAAAATGCATCTCTCATCTGCCACTTTTGTGGTGTCTTCCTTTTTTATAATCTCAACATAGTGATTGAATTTATACCAGAGTGTCTCAACATTGGTTTTTTTATGCATATTAATGCTTCTTACTCTGTCTTGGGATTGGTTGTTCTTCCTCAAAGTGTTTGTATTTACCTAATCAATTAGCACTGTTACATTTATTTCCAAACTGTTATTGGCTTTCACTGCGAAGAAAGTTGTAGCAGAATGTTTTCCTATTTTGGTTTACCATTTTTATCCTGAAGTATTGCAGACTAGAACATCATTGTAAGCTTATCCGTTTGCCTCGAGTTTTTGTGGGATGACGTGCCCTGAATTTATCAGGCTGCGTTAGTTACATTTGCTTTCCTTCATTTGTATGGCTGTAATGACAGTTTGCACTGTTGCCGTCTCATTTTCTAATCGCATCCTTATAGTATCTTGTGTCTCTTGAATTTATTATATACTCTCCAGGAAATATATTTGTGTCTTGTTTCGACATACATTATGCAGTACACGGAGTTTTAACAAGTACATAACAACTTAGAATTATATCTTGGTTTGCTCCTCTAAAAATCTTGAATTGTCTCCGTATTTTTTTTTTTTAATCTTGTAAAGACAAGAAAAAAAGCTGCTGCCACATTCCTTGAATGTTATGCCAGTTAGCTTTAATTCTTCTAATGGTGTGAAAGAAGCTCTGAGAAATAACCCATGCCGTCGCCATCTGGAGAGTAGTCTGGGACGGTGCAGACTGCAGAAGGAATTTATTTCAATCTGGTATTTCAATCGAACGAAGAACTTACCAACAGTGTTTCTGAAAATACAGTAATACATACATATGTATCCTAAAAATAGAACAACTAGAACAATGACATCAGTTTCATGGAATCGCATTCTATTTTCTATGGCCCTGCAGGGTTTCAGTTGCGTAGTGCACATTCAAAAATTAATTTATGCTTCAATCCATTGGTATGTTTTTGAGGTAGAAAATGATCCATTGACACCTGCTTGCAGAACTTCATCTAGGAACACTTCCTGGGCTTCCCGCCGCAGAGCTCATGACTGTGAATCCAAGTTGTGGAGTTACATGACACGAATGCGAGAATTCTTCCGTACATCTTCTCTGTTTTATGATGGTGGCTAACTTCGCGTGTAAGCAACCGTATGTGAGAATTTATTCGTTTATACTAAGTTTACCCGTCTCATTTTTGTCCCTGAGATGCTGCCTTCTCACCTCGCCACGTTTTGCGCGATGACGATTTTAGTTTTCCACCCATGCGAGTGATTATTGATTTACGAAATTCTAAACTTTTCACCTTATTGAAGATTGAAATTAAGTGATTTATGGTGTCGGATAGCTTCATAGTTGATGCACTGGTGAACTACTTTACTAAATGTGTTACTTTGATATCCACGCAACCATAACGTTTTTAAATATTTGTTTTAACATACCGTTCTTACATTATTTTTGTGTTCTTGACTAATTGAGCAATTCTTTTTCAAGATCATATAAATATGTATAAGGCTCAGTAAGGTACTTATTTGTGTAGCTTTACGCGAAGATTATGAAATCTCTCTTGTTCATGTAAGCATTCATGATAGGTATGATGAAGAAAATTTCATTGCCTTCAAAGTGATCGCTTAATAAATATTTTTACGGCCATTTTGTTTAATTATTTTCCTATATGTATATAATTCTTTTTACATGTCAATGAAGTCTAAGAATTATCAAACAGTATAGGTATTGGTTTGTTATTGTTATTGCGGTTTTATAAAAGCAAGAATATTTTTTCGTGATTTGTATGAATTAAAATCGTCAAATCAATACGCCAGAGAACTGCACTCAATACATCCGTTTTATAAAAGTACATGATGTATTTTTTAGGGAGTTCCAGTTTTTGACGCTTTGCCGCTGTAAGTACATGAGGAATTTAGTTGGGGTGCGTGCTGACCTCCGGTCAAGACATTTAGATCGGGCATTCAGGCTGCATAAAGATGGAGAAAAATCTGGTCATAATCGTCAGTTTTTGAACCGTAATTATTAATCTAGAATCATAATAGTCAGTTATGAAGAGATCGTGTTCAAAAGACCGGATCCCTTGTGGAATCGTCACGAAAATACATGAATCGGCAACAGGCCATGGGCCTATTTCTTCAGTGCCTACACTTCTATTCTAGTCTATTCCGTACTGAATCTTTTATTGAATGAGAGTAAAACGAATTAAAAGTTCACATCGCACTCGGCAGTAAGAAGAGATCAGTTAATTAGTATTCACTACTGGCCTAATATGCTAAAACATTTAGTTAACATGTCAACATCCTAAAAAGCGAAAACGATGTACTAAAACATTCGGCACGGTCACTTTTGCCTTCCCACCCTACCCTCTATCGACCCTCCACTCCTCAAGACCCCACTCTTCGTCTCTTATCATTTTCCTCCTCTCCCTCAACCTAAAAACGTTCTCCAAATATCTCTTAACATTCTCAAACATAACTGTAGTTGCTACCTAAGCTAGACGGGACGACTGATGTGGGATGAGGCATTGCTTGTTTCAAGCTGGTGTGGCGAGATGAGGCAAGTAAGAACAGCTGCATAGGTATTAGACTGACTATTTCTATTGCATGTAGAGGGTTGGCATTGGCTTTTGGGCTGATTTAAGAGTCAAATTTTTGGGCTACGGCAGCGCTCCCAGCTAGACCCACAACCATTGACATCCGCTCTTCGCTTGCTCTCTCATACGTCATACCCCACTTCGTTAATCTCATCTCACTCATTCAGAATCATCTCCATCATAGACTGCCGCTCTCTCTCATACGCCCCACATTCCATCAACAAGTGCACCACAGTTTCCTTCTCATGACTCATTCCCATCACACATAAAACATTAATCTTCCCTCCTCTCATTCCACCTGTACGTACGTCCATTCACACCAAGCGCTCCTGCCCTCACACAAAACAGAAGGTCGTCACACCCATGGTTGAACTAGTATAAGGTTGACCCATCAGAAGCCCATTTTTGCGGATGTAGCTTATTGTTCGCCTGTGACGTCACTGATCTCAGTGACGTCACGAGCAATCGAGCATTAACCAATCACCGAAATGCGATCAAACCAGACGACCAATCAGACATGGGAATGACGGGTTTCTTTACGTTTGTCGATCTACGTGACGTAACAAGAAAGCTGAACTGAAAGACGGAACTTCTCGTGGGTCAACCTTATATGGTTCAACCATGGTCACACCTACCACCATCATACATGCATTCATATTTTGGCATCGCTTACACCTGATATATATACAGTTTTAGATTGTCCTTTCCCTCCATTCCTTGCATCTACACCTTCAGCTCGTAGTTTTTCACTCGCTCTTTTATTTCTCTTTTCTACGCTTTTTCATCCCACTATGTACCTATGAATAAAATAAAAACAAGCCAAATGGTAATAAATAATAATATTATTATTCATTGTCATTATAATTATGAAGTAACATTATATATAAAAAAACTCATAAATTTCTAATTTTCGATCGATCTTGTCATTTGTAATGGTTCTATTGTTTACTCGTTAGTAGTTAGTGGAACACTCGTTGGTTCCACTAACTCATTCGTGCTGCTTGGACTAAATTTCGATTTTCTTTGATCGGAATGATATGAAAGTAAATAAGGAAAAATGTTACAATTCGGTAGGTGAATGAAACCGAATGTCAGGTTATAGAGGGCTTAGCCGCAATTTAGTGAACTGCTTCCCTGTTCGCATAATTTACAATTGTGTTTATAACCTCCATCGTATCTTCTATAAAAGACACTTCCTTGTCGGTCAATTTTTGAACAGCTTTTCCCCATGCGTCGAAGTTGAAGTTCGAACTTAAAAAACGTCAGTAGGTGCGTGGCATTGCTGGCGGAAGAATGCCGCGGATCCGCTCTGCTTTAAGTGTTGGTAGTTCTCAAAAGGCTTTGCCCTAGCTAGTAATTGTGAAAATTTTTCGTCCTTAACAAGGGAAAGACCGCTCTTTCTAGGTGAGTTTTCAGAGAAGTAACTTGATGAAATTTTCTCTTTATCATTATACGATGGAGCTAGGAGTTTGAAAAGAGGATTGACGACTTTTCCATTAACTGTTTTGATTGTTCACAACAATCGAGAGATTTTAAGTGAATTCTAAGATTAAAGAGAACGGTGTTAGATCGTACGCAATTTTTCAGATGGCGGTAACGTTTGGCAAGCTGATGTCAAGACGAAGGTTTGTGCGTGCCATTGGCCAGTATCTGTTGGTGTTGGTGATGGTGGGTTTGGGACTCCTATCCCTCGGAACGCATCCTGCACTCAACATATGTGATGATGGTGAAGATCATTATATATAGATTTTATCAATGAATGCATGATGAGCTAATTTACGTACAGCAAACACTCGATGGTTTCCATTGTAATTATTGTTATTTCAACTTTATGGTTTACAGTGACCTGTCCAATCTTGTTTGGTACAAATTTCATTAATAAACTTAGGTAACTATTAAAGCTTTTGAATCTAATCTTATATTTCATTTTCTATTATAAAACTAAACTTCATATTAAGTGCATGCATAGTACGTAATCTAATTTTTGGAGCATTAATTTTATCTTTGGTTACAGAGTGCAGTATCATCACATTCACACGTCCGCCGCATTCAGAGTCTCGAATGTTCATAGAACACATCATTGACAATGTTATAGAACCTCAGCGAGATTCTGCACCATGGCCCCTGACACAAGAAGAGATCACACAGTCAATTAGACAAGACACTAATGCCTATACAGTTAATCAGTTCCTTATGGGATACATTGATGACATAGTGAGTATTTACTTCGAAAAACTAATTTAAATAAAAATGTATGCTCTATGTTACAAGTCAGTGCGTTTAGTTAGATTTTACTTCTAAAAAAATTATCCACCTAGTATGTTGAATTATTGGAATGTTTTCTTGTGCAGTCAAAATCGAGGCAAATACTTTCACCCTGGAAGAGACAGGAACACCTTATTTTTAACTCCTAATTTCAGGTCAATGGTACTTTTCTGGAAGTTGGAGCAGGGAACGGAGAGTTCCTCTCGTTTTCCAGTGCTCTTGAATTGATGCAAAACTGGCGCGGGCTGTTAGTAGAGCCGCGCCAACAGGCGTACCAACACTGCCGGAAGCGGCGTAGAGCGGCTACGGCGAACGCTTGCGTCACCGGCACCGATTACCACGGCAAAGTAATAGCACCTGGAGAGACTAATGTTATCAAATGAACAAGTATAGACTTTTTTATGCTTCTATGAAACTTATAATTTTACTGAATAATTACTACTAGTATGGAAACTATAGTTACATTTGATCGTTTGGAACGCAGTTGACAGGCAGGAAAACGTTCTAATTCGTGTACTGATCAGTATTCGGTTGCTGAATTAGCTCCTATTTGAGGCAGTGGCTCCCCATCGTTTTATTATGTATAAACACTTAAAAAGATCACAGTTTTCGTGTATTAACTTTTACTCATGGCTTATAAGGGCAGGGTGGCCCAGTGGTTAAAGTTCAGAGTACCAAGATTGGTGCAGAGAGGTGCGGGTTCAATCGCAGCTCTGTGCGCCAGTTTCTGGTCAGAATCGGCAAGGAGGCCGGGCGGTTAAGCAAAGCAGAATTGTAGCAGTGAGTTGCGAGTTCGAGACCGCAAAATGTTGTGAATGTTCTGCAATATTAAGAATCGGCGACAGGCCTACGGCCTAATAAACGCTGAAACCGCTATTATTATTATTAAATACAAGGTCCCAGAAGGATTACTAAAATTTGAAACAAGAACCAACACCAGAAGCCACGGCTATAAACTAAAAAACCGCGTTGTTATTACACATCCATGCGAAAACATTTCTTCTCGCTTCGAGTCACCGACATGTGGAACAGCCACCCTGATAGCATCGTTGACGCTCCGAGTATGAACGCCTTCAAGAAAAGACTAGACGAAGCTATGCAGGAGCATATGTTCAGTCTTAAGAGGCCTAGCAACTTACGAACCTGGCAATAAGTCCAGCAGCTATCTCAATCAATCGTCAGCTATGGAAAGATCGGGTTCCAAACGCCGGATCCCTTGTGAATCAAGTCACGAAAACTACAGTAATCGGCAACAGGCCATGGGCCTATTTCTTCAGTGCCGACACTTCTATTCTATTCTATTAATATACTAATACTATTAGCCACTAATATGCAAAATTATTTGCATTTCATTCTATTTTTTTTTCAAGAGTGCATGAAGTACGAGTGTTTTATTTTGTATTTAATAGTTGGCCGCTGGGACACGATATGTGACAATTTTTGCAAATGGTTGCGCATTGCAACACGGTAAACGTTTTGTCATGTTATGCAATAAAGGATTATATAATAAATAATATACGTTTAAAAATTACTTTTTAAAGACAACACTTTCAAAGAATCCAGTATCTCCAATCTTAAAGATGTACAATGAATTTCTCATTTAATTTTCGAATATTAAAAATATCAATTTTTCAATTTTTTTAATATATAAATTTTTTTAATATATAATTTTTTTCAAAATTATTTATTTTATTAATTGATTCATGCATTGCCTCTGATTTCACACAAGTGTGCAAAATTTCAGATCAATTAGACAGGTAAAAGTGTGTCAAATATCAGTTATAAGATTTGTATTTATTTTGACATTTGATTCATGCATTGTCTCCAACTTTACACAAGTGTACAAAATTTCAGATCGATAGGATAAGTAGAAGTGTATTAAATTTAGATTACAAGATTTGTAGCAGACAGACAGACAAACAGACAGACAAACAAGAAGTGAAGTTAAAGAGAAGTGTTGTAAAAATATAACTCAGTACTCACTGAAGTGAGTGACAAAGAGCGCATTTTCTCGTCACGGACGGACAGACGGACGGACGGACAGACGGACGGACGGACATGGCGGGCACAATAGGGCATTTCTTCCATCAATGAGAAAATGCGTTAAAAAATAAAATAAATCAGAAATAATTCATGAAAGTAGAAGATTTCGCGTCCCACATGCGAAGCCTTTGCGTTCCACATTTGGAAAATCTCTGATTCAAAGAGCGCGATTCTGATTTATTCCCAATTTATGCTGGTACCGTTATTAGTACTGCGTTTATTGTGAAAGATCTGTAATACTAGCTGAAATTTTATGCACTCAAAGACTTACGAATGAATGCTAACTTTTCGAACGAATGCTAACTTTTTGCGAGTTCGAATGAATGCCAACTTACGAACGAATGCTAACTTTTATTTCAAATCACTCAGCAATTAGTGTGGACCCCAAAAGTGGACACTACGCTGCCACTTCAGTTGCAGCAGTCCACGCTCTCCAAAGCAGCCATCATCGACTACGTGGACCCGGCTGTTAGTTTGTCGTTTCTTTCTTCGTTTATATTAAGAATGTTTTGTTATTGGACCTGCATTTTCAAAGAGCCATAAATCTACTTTTAAAATTGTCGAGACTTCTAATTTCATTTGCTTATAAGCATTTGAGAGTGTTTATAAACCAATATTGGCATTTGTTCTAGATTTTTAACAAACTTGAAATTATGAACAAAAATTTTTACATTCAGAAATAGAGTGAATCCGTAGTTTCTTAGTTAGAAAGTCCGAAGCGAACGTTTTGCTCTGAACTGCAGGGGCCGTATTATCATAAATGGTTGAGAGTTAGTAACTTCGTCAGTCTATCACTGACCGCTTTACAAGCTAAATCACATGCGAGAAATTAGTTGCTACATGTACTTCGGCCGCTACATGTACTTAGGCCGATATTTATACTTAAGCCGATAGGCGTTCCTAAGCGAGTTGTGATAGTACGGCTCAGAAGAAGAAAATAATAAAAATATCATTTAGAACAATTATATATTATCTCCAAGGACCGCGATGATGGCGATGTCACTCTGGTGCAATGCTATACTCTGGAAAGCCTCGTCGTGGCCTACCTCGAGTCCATCAACGCCACAGACCAGCCTATCGACCTACTAATAGTTGACACCAACGCGGGGGAGCTTCATATCATGGAGAAACTTTTGATACCGCGATACAGAGTGAGTAAAGAATGTTCTTATTAAAGTATCTATTGTAATAAGTATCTAGTAAAGTATATCTCATAGTTAGTACCTAGTAAAGTATCTATCATACTAAGAACCTATACAAAAACTGTCATAATGGGGATACTTTATAAGGCCAAGTGACTATGTCGTGATGTAGAGTAAGTTAAGTATCTATCTTAGTAATTATCTATCGTATTAAGTATATATCTATCTTAGTACCTATGTATCTAGCGCAGTAAGTATCTATCGTAGTAAGTATCTGGTAGAATATCTATTATAGTTAAGATATATTATTGGGACTCGTGGCTATGTTATGATGTAAAAAAATAATACTATGTAAACAAACCAATTTTGTCTTACCCCTGTGGCGAATTATGTTGTAGGAAGATTCCAAATGTTTTTATTGGTGCATTTTCTTTGTCGACAACCGAGCTAAGTTTGAAAGATAGCAGATATGAAATGTTTTCTTTTCTCGCAATAGTTAAATACTTTTCAATGTGGGTTTTGGCACTTTTATGGCATGGTTCTATCATCAAGGTGTGATTCTATCATGAGTTATTCTATCTATTAATGCATGACTGAAATCAAAATCTCATTATTTTTGCATGCCTTCTGAAAAGTTTTTCTGGCCTGACGTACTGACAATTTCGGACACTCTTGCACGAAATTGATATTTCTGTCATGCTCTGGGCTTGTCATCGCCTCATATTTGGCTGTAGTTCATCGTTTGTGTTACTTCCAGTCTTTATACATGATTATTTTTATTACATTAAGTCATAAGCCAAGACACGATTTTGAAATAAAATTTGTTCATTAATAATAACCTGAAATCAACAGGTTATATGATCGCCCTTTTTTACCTCCCCGCCTATTCACACGAATTTTACAACACTTCTCTTTAACTTCACTTCTTGTTTGTTTGTCTGCTACAAATCTTATAATCGATATTTAACCCACTTCTATCTCTCCAATCGATCTGAAATTTTACATATTTGCGTAAAGTCGGAGATTTATCAATTGACAGAATAAATCATTTTGAACAATTTAAATTTTTTTTATTTTAAGAATAAAATTAAAAAATTATTAATTTTCTTAATATTTCATAATAAAATTAGAAATTCATTGTACATGTGTAACACCGGAGACACTGGATGCTTAAGAAGTGTTGTCTTTAAAAAGTAATTTTTAAACGCATATTATTTAACTATAATAAAGCACAAGCTACCGCGCGGTTGTGAAATAAACTCATTAATCATTAATAACCAATAATACTTTTACGACGTTTAGCTGCCAGTATTTTTACAACTTTAATTACACTGTAGAACTTTCACGAAGGTAAATTGCCGATACTTCTATAAGGCAAGGATGCTACCAATGCTTATATTTATAACTTTAAATAGCAGATACTTTCAATTAGTTAAAATACCGATTAAATCAAGAAATGCTGTTGAACGAGACCGTTTTTTTTCAGTACGTGTTGCTCCCAATACGCGACAAGTACGAGTATCAGTTTGCTCTGAGCATCGCTGGACAGCTCGAGCTCAATATGACCGACGACGGAATGCTTCAGGACGGATATGCGCTTTTCCAACATAAATCTGTCGGTCGCCATATTGAATTTGTAGCGGAGTTTGTATGACGTCCATCTTGATGATGAGGTATGTTCATTGTTCATCGTGTTTTCAATCCCGCCGCTAATGATTGCGATTGGCAAGGACTTGTACCTTTAGCACCCGTCATTATAGTAGTTGTGATTAGCAAGTGACTGTGTAACTTAATCCCTGCGTTGTTTAAAGTTCGAAACAATATAATGAATTGTAAATTTTTTATAGATTTTTCACTTTCTAACTATTAGCGATCGAAATAATATCGTAAATAAATAAATTAAAGTTATGAGGGTAAATTCCTCCTTATATAAATAACTTGGTATAGGCTAGCTTCCGCAACGAATGCATCATCCCTGCACATTCATCGCGTTGATGAGGTTAGCCGACTTGTTTTAATTATCCAGAATTAATAGCGTTTGCTCTGTGTTTAGCTCTAACTGAGACAGCAGGGTTCGTTCATGCCATTATGCAAGCGTTATAAAGCTTCGCTCTCGTCTAAAACGGTCTCCGAGTTTTGTCGCCTTCAATGAATTGCGTGTAGTTTATAGTATCTATAATCTATTATATATAATAGATATTCTGCGACTTTATATTCTACTATATACAATAAATTATTACACTCAATCACTAAATCATTGTTACTAACTTTCCAGTGGTTAACGAGTAACCCCCGGAGAGATGATCTCTGTTAGTAAGAAGACCAACTATTTCGCATGCTAGGTATAGGTATAACACATCAAGGGTAACGTCAGAAACCAATATTAGAGCCACCAATTATTCTCACAGAAAGGCAAACATTTGTCGTTCATATAAGAAAATTCGATCAATTCTATAAACATAAAATCTATAAACACAATTCTATAAACATCAAATTCTATGTTTTTTTTTCACCGAGAATAATTCTTTGCATGGGCAGTTTTTTCGTATCAGCATCGCTTGCATTAAAATAAATTCTTCCAAAATATTTCTAAAGCCAATATGCATGCGCATGTCAGCAGATTTCTTTCCAACTAACGATGAAGTTTGATCCAAGAATGATTGCGCGTTTCATTTCCATGAATAACTTAGTTCTACAACTAATAACATAGATTGACAGCTTTATATTAAAGGATAGTGACGAAATTTTTTTAGAATACCGTGTGTTACTGAAAGATATTCTGTGATTTTTAATTATGTAGTCTTATATGTATACAGCATCGAAACTGTGTAATATATTTTTATAATGTCAACAAATGCGTATAACCCATTCTCAGGTCTACGTTTTCACTAATGTTAATTTATAAATTTAAGGCCCGTTAATTATATCAACATGTGCAATTATATTTACCAACTGCAGATGATACTGGCGCACGGATCTCGCCATGGCGTTGACATTTCCACGGTGACGGACAGGCTGGGCCTCCAGCTTGTATCGCCGGTGACCGCGGCATTCGGATTTTCCATCCTGGCGCATCCTTCGATGTTACGAGATACCAGGACTCCTGCAGCACCTACTCCATAACCCTAAGCATCTCGTCACAAACGGCATAGCCCTAACCATCTTTTTAGTACAACACTTCTCTTCTAATTTATGCTTGTTGTTTGTTCGACTGCTACAAATCTTATAATCGATACTTAACACACTTCTTCTTCTCCAATTTTGACCTGGAATTTTGCACACTTGCGTAAATTCAGAGACAATGCTTGAATCAATTGACAAAAGAAATAATTTGAAAATTAAAAAAATTATAATAAAAAAATCAAAATCAAATAATCAATTAAAATCATTTTGATTTTGATAAAAAAAAAATCGAATAAAAAATAATAGAAGTCAAATCAATCATATTTGTCTTAAAAATCAATCATTTTATTTTTTATATCAAAATAAAAAATCAATATAGGTATATAAAATCAAAATTTTACATTAAATCAAATCAATCAAGAAATTCATTGTACATGTGCAACATCGGAGACACTGGCCTCTTTAGAAGTGTTGTCTTTTAAAAGTAATTTTTAAACGCATATTATTTTTTGCTGTTATCAATTCAAAAGTGTTATTTACGAAATCTGTTAGATGTCAGTATCAAAATCATCAGCAGTATCGTCACTTCTAATTAAAATTTATTGATACATCCCCCTAGCTTGCCTTTGATTACATAATATATATGATATAATAATATAATGAAGCGTTTATTAGCCCGTAGGCCTGTCGCCGATTCTTAACATCGCAGTACATTCACAGCTTGTTGCGGTCACGAACCCGCGCCCCTCTGCTCCAATCCTGGTACTCTGAACTGTAACCACTGGGCAACAATGACGAGAAAAATTATATATTATATATAATTATATATACATAAATTTTTGGTGTAGTTTGGCAGAAGATTTTCTTTAATGCAGGTTTCATTGAAGACCAGAGAGTATTTCTTATTGACAATTTTCTTATTGTTTTTCTCTATTCGGCGAATTAGGCTCTTGATAGGAACTGAAAAGTCAAATATCAGGTTTCCAAGGGACATTTTATTATAATTTAATTTTACGACGTTTCGAATGCAACTTCATTCATTATCAAATAGAGGACGAGTTTTGCAACAAGTGAATTTGAAATTTTGAAATGACAATAGTACAAACATAGGGTATAATGGATACAGATTGGAATCAAAGCTTGAATTACGAGAACAATTTTAACGTCCTGACAAATCCGGTAGTTTGTAAATTAATAGCTGGAGACTTGCTTGATGATGAGAGCCTCAGCTATGGCCAGTCTCGTGGCGTCTGGGCATCTCATGACGATTTTGGTGTGGGTCTCCAATGTCGCGCGAGTGAGTGTCTCATTATGAGCCTCCCTCATGTGGTTCTTCGGTCCTCCGGTCTGGAGGTGGCATGTTAGGCGGCGGCTCAAAGTCGTGCTCATGGCAACACCGTTGATTTGATGGTAAATTTTGTTGTCAGGTGTCCGGAAAGGCGATTCTGAAGTACAGATGCGGAGGAGATCAAGTAGGACCTTTTTAGGGACTGGTGGAGCCGGTAATCTTTCATTTGAATAAACATGGTTAGCAATTATTTCCAAAGTTTCTTCTGTAGGAACGTTGGTAAAGAGGTTGGTGACGTCAAGTGAAGCAAGCATACCAGATGGGCGCCGACCGCGAAGAATTTCTAAGAAATCGTCTCTAGATTTAAGTGAAAATTTCTTCGGGATGTATGGTTTTATTAGAGCATCCAACTCCTGGGCTGTCCTGTAGATTGGAGTTGTAACCTGAGAAATTATGGGTCTGAGCGGGTTATTCTCTTTATGGTTTTTAACGTTGCCGTAGAGGTAGCCCGGTGAATAACTGCCGACGATCGGGGTAAACTTTCTTGATCCAATAAGTGAGTTTGCAGTATTTATTAATTTGTTGGCTCTTCTCTGAATTTGTTCTGTTGGGTCTCGTCCGAGGCGACGGAATTTAGATTCATCGGAAACGATCTCATTTATTTTTGAATTGTACTCAGTTTTGTCTAAAATAACAAAGATGTTGCTTTTATCCGCCTTTCTTATGACAATTTGTTCGTTATCTCGGAGTTGCTTTGCTGCTTGGCCTCTACGCTACGCCTACATAAATTTTTGTAAATGATAATTCAATGATATAGATTTTTCATCTTGGCAGAAGTTCGATAATACGTCCGCCGTGTTGGTTGATACTGGAGAGACTCAATATTTTGCCGATTTTTGCTCAAGATTTCTCATAATGTTTAAGTTAGTAATGACTGTTGTATGTATGATTATTTATTCAAACCTATATTTAGGCCACATTATGTTGAATTTATCAGCAAGCTTTTTTATTAAAACAAATTAAATACTATGATTGGCACAACATTTTTCCATCATCATCATTGGCACGTGGCTGCGACACACTATCACTATTAGTTAATAACATGTCAATCCCACTATTCGTGTATTATAAATAATTATCCTTGCATCGTCTTATGTCTCACATCATCAGTTCATCAGATATTCTGATTTTTTTGAGGCGGAGAAATTTTGTAATTTTTTAGTCATGTCGGTTTGGAACATTACAACTTCAATAGTGCAAATTAAGTTTGAACATCGTGCTGCATAGAATAAGAAACAATATTATTTCTAATGAACATCATAAACATAGTTTCTTATACGGTTGGGTCGAATTTTTCCGCGCATGCCAGTGTAGTGGACTGTTCCATCCGAAGCAATAATAGTCAACGCTTATTATTCTAAACAAGAACAAAATTGTCTTACTGTTTGAATAACCTTCATTAAAGATGTAATAATTCTCACCGGTATGTCTCTAAAGGCTACTCAAAGACTAAAGGCTACTAAAGACTCTAATCAAAGACTACTCAATAGAAAAATATTCCTCTATAGTCTCAAATCGATAGAACTACAGCTGCTTTAATTAATTAATGCAAAGTGCAAATGCTAAATTTTCTATCAAATTTTATCATTTCACATTATCAATGTCCATCATCAGTCCAAAAAATTTAAGAATACAATCGATAGAGAAAGCAAAATTGGTATCGAAAGGATTTAAACCTTATTACCGATCATACGGTCGTAAAAACCAATTGATTAACAATTTTAAGCGTAAAAATAACAGTAAGCTTGATCAAGACAATGATTCTGTTGAAAAATATGCAACGATTCCAAATTACTTGAATCAAAGGCAGAGAGGTGTAATCTAAAGCCGTACAATCGCTCTCAGACACAGGTAGGTTTAAGTGCCTGGGAATTTACGGAGCTTGGTGACTGCTCGGCGTTTCCTTCACTTCTTCTAAATTCTTGCTATTTATAAAAATAATTTTATTAACATCTCTTAAAATTAAATATTGATATCTCGTAGTAATCAAAGTGTGAACTTTCAATAACCGAGCGAGATTACCGGCTTGAAGTGCGCGCATTTACGAGTGTTGAGGATTTTGGAAGTGCCGGTACTTCGATGCAGATTCGGGTTGCCAAAAAAATCCCGCTGAAAGCCTGAGTCCAAAGCTTATTTCTTTATTCCAGTTACCATAAAAACTGTCGGTGATTTAGTGGAATGTCTTTAAATTGTTCCTCAGTCTATTTAAATTTTAAAACATGCACAACGCTTTCAATTATATTTTATCTGGATCTAATCTGGAATCGGCAAAAATTGTCGCTCGTTGTTCAACTAATCTGTCATCAGTTGAAAGGTGCAGTTTTTTAACGTACACCTACCTGGATAATTAGGACTAAACTTTGGACGTTGAACTGCTGAAGTTTCTGGAAAAGCGACCCTTAGTCAATTGGTGGAGATTCAGTCGTAGACTGGATAGGTGGCGGAGCGGTCTATGGTCATGGAGTGCTGGCTGAGAGCAGTTTTGTTTCGCCTCGCAGTCCTAGTAAGACTTAATTCTCTTGACGTGGTTTAGGCCTGATTTTATGACCACTTTACTGTGTGCTGGTTTCCATTAGTGTTGATCAATACGATCTAAGCCAAAACGAGGATTTATATAGTTGGATGCCACCGTCTGTGATTATTTTCATGGTAAAAGAGCCCCTTTTTGCAGTTGCTGACGATTATATCAGGAATTAATGCGTTGTTTTTCAATTGAACTACATGTTTATTAAACTTTGTTAAACTTTACTGAATCACGTTCAATTAGGGCGCTTTTTGTGTCCATTGTAGGCGAGTTTTTATTGTAGTTTTACTACTGAAATGCCCTCTTCAGCTGAATGTCTATTTATTTTGATGTACCTACATCATGAAGTTCGCGTGTTATAAATAGCAGAGATAGTTAACAATTTTATATTCCACAGAGATGTGATTATCCTATTTAATAGATTGATCTATAACGATTAATATAAAGGTAATCGTGTCAACATAACCTCCTTAACTAACTTGTGTGGATTCTATCACTTAAATGAAATATTATATTTATTTACCTAATAATTTCCGAAGAGTTTCTGGCACGAAATAGTTGAACTCCTAACTTGATTGAATGCCTTGCCATTTTGCTGTTTCATCTTTCCGCTTTCCTTGAAATTGTTCCTACCTCCTCAATCAAACAACGTCAAAGATTAAGGAAAATATACTTCGGATGGAAGCAATGTACCTTATCATGATTGGACGATTGTTCGTATATATGGGAGTTGGACTATGGAATAGACCAAATTCGAAATAATCAGACAAGTAAGCTTTAGGCTTCGTGCGTTGCGTCACAAAATTTATATCAAGAGTTGTATTAGTAATCATGGGAGCACGAACGGCACAAATTTTTACATTCATCGTTCTAAAATATTGAAACTTTGTATTTGACGGATAATTTTAAAAATATTCTGTCGAAAAGCAGCAGCTAATTCCTTGAATTGCTTTCGAACCAAAGTTTATCATTCAAATTCGAGATTTCGCTGTAACCAACCCGTTTGAAGCTTCCTTCTTGTATTTTTTTACAGTTACAAAAGAAAGAAGTGAAAGTCTGTTCTTCTAATCGTCTGCCGTGAAAGGTATTTAGCCATTTATATTTATACAGTTCTGAAGTCTGTAATGAAGTTGAGCATAACATTGAGAGTTCGTGTGGATGGAACATGATCTTCGAATGAACTACCCAAGTTAGGTAACGGCTAACTTGTTAGCAAATTTTTCTTATTCCATGCACTCTTTGGTCAAGTTTTGCGTCTATGTTTTAAACGAAACGATGTACAATTGCGTATGTTGAATTGATATTTCAGCAGGTGCAAAAAATGTGCATAGTAAATTTCGTCAAGGACAAATTTATTTGTGTTCAAGGAGCCTGATTTGTAACTGCTTGCGTATGTTTTTTGCTTGCTGAGCAAGTTCAGTGCAAGGAAAGTGAAGGTCTTGGCAAGCACTACTTCTGAGAGCCGTCAAGGTCACTGCAGGTTTGACCTTGGCCTTGTGGTGGTTGTGGCGCCTTGTTTCACTTTTCGTCGACTCGATGGGCAATGAATTACTGAGCCAAAATGTACAATATTCTCAACGGCTGAACTTCTTAGTCCGTTTACCGTTAGTTAACCACGAACTTCCGACTTGCATATGACCTAAACTCTCAACCGTTGTTAGTTAACCAATGAGCTATGAACTACCGAGTTAGGTACCGATTACCAGTATTGTCAACTGTGTTAGTCAAGTGGAAATTACTTGGAAGCTCTACGCTGAGTTACGTAACACACTAACACTTGATAAGTTCGTGGAAGGCTGGATGGTCAGACATGGTATGTTGAGCGATATTAAACAATGGATCGTGGATAATTCATTATTTTCTCTGAATTTATGCAGAAAATAAAATGACAAATATAAGTTGTTAACGTGCAAAAATTAAGGAGGCCAGTAATTACGGAACATTATCCTATAGATAAGAGGCTGTCAAAAAAAGTTTTTTTATTCGGACTCGAATTGTTTTCAAGTTGGCATCCTTGGTTCTTTCTGTTGTGATCGATGCGCCAAAATCTGCGTACAAAGATTTTGAATTGTTATTTGAATCACATGCCTCGTAACTCGTACTCTTTGCCCAACGGGTTTTGTTATATTAAACTTTACTAAATCACGTTCAATTAGCAATCTATCTTCATTTTATTTAAAGACTGAATCGCGTTAACTGAGTTCAGTTAACTGAGCTTGGTTAACTGTTGCTTCTCACGTTAACCGAGCTCAGTGGACCTTTCCAGTTTGCGTTCAGCCCAGATTCCAGGTAGTGAATTGTTTACCGCTGTTGAGTGAAGCAATTTGTGTAGCTTTCGACTAGGGAGCTAGAAATCAAGTATGAGTTTTTGAATGATTGCTTGAAAGATCGTCTAAATGCAATACTTTATGTAGCTATTCGTTTCCGAGAAGTTATATATCACGCTTCTTGATCTTAGGAAGGTCTGAGTCTCCTCGCACCTAAAAATGGCTAGAATGCTTATGAATTAGTTATCCGAATATGTATCCAGCATTTATAAGATGTTTACATCATATCACTCTTTTGTAATTACCGAATATAAGACCAGGTAACTATTTTCAATCCAACTATGGTTATGACGTCATGCGTATCCATGATTATTATTTAAAGGGATGGTCGGCCACAAGACGGCAGCACTCGACTGTGACGCCGCGGGCTTAGGGTCACAAGGGAAAGGCCAAACGCCGTGATCGTGGAGTCCTTGTTTCAAGGGAGCTCCTTGCAATAAGTGAGCTATGCTCGGTCCTACTTCCTGCAAATTTCCAGCCACAATCTGGATTTTGGAAGAGGATAATTTTCCATGAGCTCACGATCGGCTTCTGCAGCGGTCACTTCCTCGTCAGGACTGGTGCGCGGCAAGGGTAAAGCGATTGCTCACTCTTAATAAAATTAACATTTTCGGATTCGTTATTGAGACAAAATCGAAAACTGGAGACGGATTGATTGTAAAACTCAATTAACGAACTATTTTTGTTTTGAGCAGTAATTAAGAACGATCTCGTATGTTGTAAATTTCTGTTCGTGCGCGCTTCAAAGTTGGCTTCGAGTTTAACTTTAATTAATTTTTTTTTTGCAAAATTCCACCGGCGAGTACTGACGTAGAAGATTGACAATATATCCATGTAGCTGGATGCCAACGCTCGTGACTAACTCATTTAGTTTGAACACGTGATCAATGCTTTACAATGTCAGTGAAATATCATGACCGTTAAGTTCAGCAGATTGTTATAAAGAGTTGCTCTGACAGAGCACTGGTCGCACAATATTTTAAAGTTATTAAATACTCTTCTCTTCGAATCTCCACCTTAATGTTCAAAAAATACAATTGCGTTGTCATCCATTTTACGTACAATAATATTTGTCGGCCAGGGAATTCTTCAAAACATAGTAAAGTGTAAAGGAAAGTGCTGCTTACCAAAGCAGCTAACGTACAAGGAGATAATGAGGGTGGGGCCTTCTTTCCGTTAGAGCGCTGCGTAGCCTTGGGCAAAGAACGCGTATACCCTCCAAGACCGTCCGTTCTCATCGCTCGTGCGTAACATCAGGCGCTCAGTTACTAGAGCGTGGTACTGCGGAAGTGAACTAGAATGACAAACTTTTTTATTTCAAGGACAACCATTTTATTGCGACTCGATTGAGGTACGAGAAGTTCTACATCGCTCAGTTTTTGGTGCAGATCTTGTGCTGAGCGTACGGGATGTTCTGTACGACGTACGAGGCAGGACAAGTTCTAACGCCTGCACACTCTACATTTATCTGACGAAATGTCTCTGCTAAAGAAAAAGGTCTCTTATATAAAAGTATTTATAACGCATAGAAAGATGCACTGTAGTTTATAAAATTTCCTATATTGGAAGTTTTGGCTATCTTTCACAACCCTTCAACTGATGAGCCGTCGTTACCGAATAGACTCTGTTCAAAGAACTGACTATCGAAGCTGTAGTTCGTTATGCATTTCACGGAGCTCAAGTTTCTTATAAATTTCACGGAGTTGTATTTTCTTACATTTAGCAAAGCTGTATTTCCTTACATTTTGCGAAGCTGTATTTCCTTATATTCGTGGCTCGTAAATTATTACAATGGAACGTTATTCCAACCGTTAACAAACTAATGACGCTTTAGATCGTTTTTCAATCGTGACACCCGTTGTCATCCCTGGGGCCTTGAGGCGGCGTGAAAGATTATCAACGCGGAAACAGGAACACTTGGCGTCGGGTGCAGGCCCCTCCCTGGATCGCTCCTGCTATGATAGAAGCATGAGTGACCTCGCCCCTTAAACTCCTGCCTGGGTGGAGGGGTGGAGACGCTGGTAGTGAACCTGTCTCTATCCGGATAACTCCTGCTATGTCGTGGAAAAGAAAGTGGTGGGCCGGACTCCGGCACGTACTATTTGACGTTTAAAAGCCGGAGAAAGTGTTGAAAAGAAACTGGTGAACCTGTCATGATGTGTGTAACTCCTGCAATTTCATGTATAAAAATCTTGAGAACCAGTCTCTTCGGTGCGTAATACATCTGAGACTGCGTTGAATATAGGAGCCGGTGAACTTGTGTCGGCCCGTTGAACTGTCTGCTTCGGTAGCGCTCGATAATCAGTAGTAATACGTCTATTATAAATATATAGCATATAAATATATAGCATATAAGTATATGACATATAGATAAATAGCAACTATCTTAATATCACATGTGATATTAGGATATGGCGAAAATGTTTACTTGATCATCGTTTCTTTGAACCTTTCTCGGTTTTACAGCGTAAGCTTCGATTTAAGGCTATGAACATTGTACATTGCAACATTTTTCAACACGGCTCCCTAAAAATTATATATGAAAACTCAAATATTTTTCATAGTTAACTTAGTGGCCTAAAAAAATGTTGCTTCCTCCTGTCTTACATCCGCGTACTAGTGACTTATATGGCACGGCTGCCACAGAAAACA